CCTGCGTCGATGCGTGTAAGCTCCTAGCCGTATGCCTTGGTGACATGTTGCACGAAAACGCTGGGCACAAGATGGCTGCCTGTCCAATGACATGCCCGCGACGCGGCAGCAGGCTGTGACTCCCATTTTTATCAGAACGACATTTTTCGCGCGATGGAACTGAGGCCGTCAGCCGTGACCGGCCTCTCGTCCCTTAATACTTTCATGACCCGCCCCAAGCAACCCCAAGAAAATCGAAGTGAGCGTGGCACACTGGAAGACATCTGGGTCGCACACATCAAAACAACCAGCTCGAACAGAGCCGACAGCTGTGCAACTCGAAACCTGTCGACGTGAGGGCTGTTCTCGCATGCTTTTTGCAGCATGCTTTGTGGCCATGTTGCTGTCTTCTTTGTACATGTTTCAACCATGTTGCTTTTCTTGTTTGGAAATGTTCATGGTCGATCTGTTTCAATGCAACGTCACCTGCATGCCAGGCTTGAAGACATCCCCTGCCGGCCACAATGTCACCTGCACCCACAAAGCCACGCCGGTGGCCCATGTGAATGCGCATGAAATGCGGATGAACGCAAGACTTCTCACTCGCTGGGACATCTCTGACATCTCGTGGGTATTTGTGGATTTCTGTGCATTGCTTGGCCTCGGCCATATCCATGGCTTCGGCAAGGACACTGGCGAGGGTAGCCGGGGCACACAAATGTCGCTGCCGAAGCCACTGCATTTGCCTGTGTAAGCCGGCCTTTGTCAGACTCCGTGCATTAGTACCGCACTCTGCAACTGTCTAGCGATTAGACTCTACTTTGAAGATCTTTCAGCCATCTCTCATGCGTACAAGTAGCTGTGAACCTTTTGCAACCAAGCCAAACCGGCATAAATATAAGCTAAACAAGCACTTCCTTCCGCCCATTGTTCTCCGTGAACAACTCTTATTGCTGCCTTGCGTCTCGTGTACCAACATTCTTGACAAGTCTGCAGGTGCCAGCTGTTAAATTGGTTTCTTCTTCCCACGGGCGTTGATGTTCGCATTCACAAAACGCACCCACGGAGCCACGATGTCACTGCCGAACATCTGTTCAAACACAGGGCTACCAGCCTGTTCTATGGTTGTCTGGTCGTGCACGACGTGAATTTGGCCGGCATCCGGTCGCTGCTCTTGCTCCCCGCCCCCAGGGTGACTCGTTTCCATGATGTCGTCGCTGACGGTACTTCGGCCACACCCATCCAGACACTGTCGACTTGCTGGCACAGGATGAGGCATGAAGGAGCCACATGTCGCTTCAGTAGTCATGAAACTTCCGAAACAGATAGTGACAGCAACGCAGCACAGCCAACCGCACAAGTGTTTTGAATGCAGTCGCCTTTCACCAGAAAGTTCGAACGAGCTCCCCGAATTAGCATCGACTGAAAGCCCCATGAATCCCCCCCATACGTACACTTGACTGTGGCCCTATCGAATGCCCCTAGCCTCAACCAAACTCAAGTCCAACAACTGCGCACCAAAAACTGCAAAACATCGTCGACTCTACGGTCTGTGGGGCAAACCAGCTCACATCGGCTCTGCCTTTCTGGTGAGACTGTCCGTGGGACGGCGTGTGAAAGACTCACTCAGACTCGCATAGGTCTTTCTTGCTCTTCTTCTTGCCTGCGCTCGGCTGGTTGTCAATGATGCCACTCGCTTGTGCGACTGCACGCAGGCCAAACAAGGCAACAGGAACCAAGTCAAAGTGACACAATGTTGAGGGTTCAAGTTGGAGAGCTTTCTCCAGATAGCTGATATTGCAGATATTGCACCCTGCCTTTCAGTTTCGCCTTTTTCTCCTTTGTCTCTTTTTTATCCTTTTTCTTTTTCTTCTTGTCCTGGGTTGCTTGCATGCGTCATAGCTGGACAATGCTACATGGCTAGTACAGAGGGCGCACGGGGTCCTTGACAAGTTTCTTGATCTTGCACACTTCCTCCTGAAACCACAGCATAAACAGAACATATACAATTGACTCCTGCGATCGCCTGCCATGCCTTGTTACATATACAAAGAGCGCTCACTGCCCTTTGCAAAAGCTATTCTTCTGAGCAGCGACTGCTAAGCATTCTGCGTGGTCTCAAATGCATTGAATCAGCAAACATTGCGCACAGCGCATTGTGGGCTCAGCTCGGCTGTGGCACTATTGAGAACGAAAATGAAGATTGGAAGCCGGGCCCTTAAAAAAACAAAAACAAACGCATGTTACTTCATGTTGATTCATGTTGCTTCGCTCCCTCCGGTCCTGAATCCGCCTTTTTTCCTGCACACGATGAGCACAGTGATACAAAATGACCCAGTGAGTTTTTCATGTCCGGGGCACAGCATCTGGCACAGCTCCATCATGCTGATCTATATATATATATATAAGCACATATGTATATTATATTATATATATGTATATGCTATATATGCTATATATGCTATATATGCTATGTCTGCTATATATGCTATATATGCTATATATGCTATATGAAGCTCCCGGGGACTGTCGCGCTCCACTCCGCGGGGCTGTCCGAAGCCAAAATTCTCTGGGCAACTTCCAGCAGAATGTCGCAAGGGATATAGTAAGGGTACTACCCACAATGCCAAACACTCCCAAAAAGGCCTTTTGTGTCCCGCAGCGCCCAACACCGAGTGAGGAGGTGGAGAGGGGAGTTGAGGGGGCTTAGGATTAGGGCTGAAGGGTTGCCACTTCTTCGGAAGGATGCTTGGGATGAATTCGTGTGCTGGGCTCCTAGGGTTCTAAAGTTCGAGCTCCCCCCCCCTGGACCAGTGAGGTGGCGTCATCTTCTTGAACGCCTGTTTGTCGCTGCAAAATGCTGCAACGACGTGGACCCGGGTCAAAGGTTAGGATATGATGTCATAGTTTATATGTGTAGATCATAATTAGGTGTTATTCCTAAACCCTTTTGCCGCAGTGTTCTGCCTAAACCCTACACCCGAAACCCCAAACATCCCCAAACTCAAAGCACAAGTTTAGAACCCTAAACCCTAAACCCTGTAAGCTACGCCCTAGGCCATCCGAAGGTTTTGGACATGGAGAACTCCAGGTTCCCCGTCGAGCAGGTCAGTTCGTCCCTAGAAGCATGGTCATGGTAGCCCGGCAACGTATCAGAATACGGGTACCCTTGTTTGAGGTTGGTTACTGTATAAGGGGCCCTTGAACCCCTCAAAAAGGGCAAACAAGTACGTCTGGGCTGCCAAGGAAGACATGATTTCATGCTCTCTCTCTCTCTCTCTCTCTCTCTCTCTTACGGTTTGTCACAATGCAAAGACGCGAACTCGGGCCGCGGGGGATCTCAGGTGAGAGGTTAGGGTGTGATGTCGTAGTTCTCGCCACTGAAGGTTGGGACTTGGGGAACCCCCCCCTTCCCGGCACCCGGCATTCGCGTCTAGAAGGCAGGATGAAAACGCCCGCCTGTCGCAGACTGTCGCGCTCCACTCCGCGGGGCTGTCCGAAGCCCAAATTCTCTCTGCAACTTCAGGCAGAATGTCGCACGGGATATAGTAAGGGCACTACCCACAATGCTAAACATTCCCAAAAACGGTTTAGGGTAAAGTTTACCTTTCTCAGAATTTCTGGCCTCGCACGCTCCTGCAAGTCGTGCAAGTCGCGATGCGCAGTCACGGCACACACTTCGCGGTTTCGAGATGGGTGGAGGGTTTAGTTCACGCCGTAAAACCTTAAGCCCTAACCGGCCTGTTGTGTCCCGCAGCGCCCAACACCGAGTGAGGAGGTGGAGAGGGGAGGAGTTGAGGGGGCTTAGGATTAGGGCTGAAGGGTTGCCACTTCTTGGGAAGGATGCTTGGGATGAATTCGTGTGCTGGGCTCCTAGGGTTCTAAAGTTCGAGCTCCCCCCCCCCTGGACCAGTGAGGTGGCGTCATCTTCTTGAACGCCTGTTTGTCGCTGCAAAATGCTGCAACGACGTGGACCCGGGTCAAAGGTTAGGATATGATGTCATAGTTTATATGTGTAGATCATAATTAGGTGTTATTCCTAAACCCTTTTGCCGCAGTGTTCTGCCTAAACCCTACACCCGAAACCCCAAACATCCCCAAACTCAAAGCACAAGTTTAGAACCCTAAACCCTAAACCCTGTAAAGTACGCCCCAGGCCATCCGAAGATTTGGACATGGAGAACTCCAGGTTCCCCGTTCGAGCAGAACAGTTCGTCCCTAGAAGCACGGTCATGGTAGCCCGGCAACGTATCAGAATACGGGTACCCTTTTTTGAACCCCAAAACAAGGGGCAAACAAGTACGTCTGGGCTACCAAGGAAGACATGATTTCATGGCCCGCCTGGCGCAGGCCGAGCGCGATTTGCGCGCCGAGTGACCCCTCTCGGGGGATGTAATTTCGAGCTCACCCCATATTGAAATGATGTCTCTCGCTCACTCTCTCTTACGGTTTGTCACAATGCAAAGACGCGAACTCGGGCCGCGGGGGATCTCAGGTGAGAGGTTACGGTGTGATGTCGTAGTTCTCGACACTGAAGGTTGGGACTTGGGGAACCCCCGCCATTCCCGGCATTCGCGTCTAAAAGGCAGGATGAAAACGCCTGCCTGTCGCAGACTGTCGCGCTCCACTCCGCGGGGCTGTCCGAAGCCCAAATTCTCTCTGCAACTTCCGGCAGAATGTCGCAAGGGATATAGTTATTAAGGGCACTACCCACAATGCTAAACACTCCCAACAAGGGTTTAGGGTTTACTTTTCTCAGAATTTCTGGCCTCGCACGCTCCCGCAAGCCGTGCAAGTCGCGATGCGCAGTCACGGCAAAAGGGTGCCACTAGGCTACCAAGTTTACCTCTTCTAGGGTTTAGGCTGGTTCATAGAATGTTACGGCATGGCTGAGCCCAGAGCCGGTCCCCACATCCAGCGAAAGAATCGGAAGAATTCCCGAGACATGCTCTTCGGAGGCCTAGATGCTAAACGCTAAGAGTTTCTTTCGGCGCTGAACAACCTCTAAGCCTTGAGGGGCCTCACAAGAACAGGGTGTCGTATGACCTCTGCCGTGGCCGCGCATGCCTCATACGATCCAGGCTGCCTGCCAGAAGGTTTCGAGCATACACGGAATCAGACGCTATCTGTTGCAGCTCATCCTGCATTGTTTCGGGTCTTCCGTTGCACCTTGCCAGTGCTTCTGTAAGAAGACGCCGAACCTTGTCACGCGTCTGCTTGCGAGGTCGGTGTGGTAATCGCCTCTCATGATCATCATGGCGGTGGCAATATTGGCACACCTTGCCTCGAGTACAGCCGTAACGCGAAAGAAAGAAAACACAAGGCCTGCAAGTCCCTTCAGCGTGCGGATCAGACTGCTCATGCGCACTGGTGGCATGAGTGCTGGCAATAGCCGCAATAGCCTCGCCATCGGATGTCCACTTGGTTGGCTCAGAGACCTCCACGTCGCTACTGTCGCTGCCGTGGATGCCGTGCGGTCCTCCATTCAATCGCAGCAAAACCTCTCCTGTAGACGCCGAGCTGGGGGTACTGACGGCTTCTGCGTCATCCGGAACATCGGAAACATCACTCGTCATTAGCGTCTACTCACTGAGCCACAATGCGCCTGAGCCAAAAAGGCTACTCTCTCTCCCTCCTTCTCTCTGCGTCTCTCTCAAGCTCTCACTCTCTCACTCTCACTCTCTCTCACTCTCACTCTCACTCTCACTCTCACTCTCTCTCTCTCTCTCTCTCTCTCTCTCTCCAGGTCTGACTATAGGGCCTGATCCTCTTGGAACTTGCGGAGCTTGGCCTGGCTCAAAGGGAAGGGCACAAAGGAAGAATGGAGAGCTGTTGCCGGGTGGCAACTTGTCCATGACAACATATCGAGGGGTGAGAACCCTGCGATATCGAGCGCCAGGCCGGCATACCAAAAGCATCCTTTTCGGGAGCTTTCGCTGTTCAACTGCACACTAAAACTGACGGATTCGGCACTTGGTCCACCAGGTCACTAGGCCAATGGCAATGGGCACAAAACCCCCCCCCCCCCTCAACCCTGTACCCTCTATCGCCACGTTCGTGAAGGAGCCTGAAGGAGTCTAGAGGCTGTGCGGTCGAAAAGGCTCAATCGCTCACAAAGGGGATCAAAGGGGTGCAGGCAAGATCGCAACTCTCTTCCCACATCCCCGGACCCCTAGGCACCCCGCAGACGGAGGGCAGAGCATGGAAAAACTCGCCACATCTGACTCCTAATGCAAAGGCGCCTGAAACCTGTCTGCGGCTTCAGCCTCCTTCTCCTGCGGCTTTGAGCATTTGAGGTTTAGCTGCTAAAGCTGTGACAGGACATCTTCGTACTGAGCCAACGGGTTCATGAGCGCAAGAACCGAGGCCCATCGCCACCTCGAAGGACTTCCGCTTCTTCAGCTCGGGCTTCTTTGGAGCTGGATGCGGGGGCTGTATATGTACTCGCTTTGCGGAACTGGGCTTCGTGGCTTCACAAGCTTGACGTTTCCTATCCGTTCCATTCGGCTTCGGAACTCAAGGATTGGGAAAATTGACGCTGCTAATGGTAATTGCGATTTGACTTGGAGCCTGGAGATCCGGTCAAAAGTGCCAACCGCCACAAAGCCTGCACACCTGATGCCAGATTCCTGCCCTTAGAAGCTTCAGAAGCTCCTGCCGTGCCAGTTCCTCAGGTGTTGTACCCCGCCTGGCTTCACCTCTGCCAGATCCTCCTTCCTGGGAACTAGTAGTGCCTGCGACCAAGCTGTTTTCACTGAAGGTGCCAACATCCCCACCACTTAACAACGCTTCAGCATTCTACCTCGGCATGAGGCCTTTTCAGGCATACAACCGGACTTGGGCGCCTTCTTGACGGGCACTGCAGCGTCCTGCTCGGACCTTGCATGCGGTTTGCTCATTTTGGTCGTCCTGCATGCTGCGTATGCGCTTGATTTGTGTCCTTTGGCAACATAAAGTGCAGCAAAGTGCAGCAGGCCCCAAGTGGTTTTAGCTTCAAGAATCTACAATGCGCAGGGATGCGAAGTGCTTGCTGAGTCTGCAGATGAAGCCACCATCCTTCCGAACCATGAGCACATGCCTCGATGGAAAACACGACAGAAACACATGGGTCAAAAGAGTCCTCAGAACCCTGCGTTGCACAAGTTGAGCCAGTAAGCCAAGATGAAGATGAGTCCAGGACTTCGCCCGGAGTATCCCAGAGACCCATCTGTCTTATTGCCGCAACCAGCAAAAACTCATGCAGGATGATCACACAACGCACTGCCTCTAACCAAGCCAGCACGTACTGTAAGGCCTGAAGCTGCGTAATGCCTGAAACAGCCTGAAACCCTAAACCCTGAACCCTCAACTCTAAACCCTAAATCCTAAACCCTGAGCTGGGTCTTTCCTCCCACCCCAAACCCCGCTTGGCTTTGGGCGACTCGCTCTCTGAGCTTTCGGAGCCTTCTGAGGCCGGGCTTCCTCCAAGAACTCAGCAACAGGGGGGGGGGCGGTGGGGGGGGGGGGGGGGGGGGGGGGGGGGGGGGGGGGGGGGGGGGGGGGGGGGGGGGGGGGGGGGGGGGGGGGGGTGTGGGGTTTTACAGCCCTTCTCCCTGGATGCCAGCGTCCTTCGGTCACCAGCTTCGCCGACTTCGCGACAGGGCCAGCACAGCGCACGCAGCGCTGCCGACCAACGGCGACCTCAGAACTTCTCCGAGCTGGGAAGGATTGGGGTTCGAGAGCTCAGGGTTTTGGGGTGAACGTGTTGGGTCTTGCAGTCGAGTGCCCTTGAGGCATTCCGCAAAGCTTCAGAGACAAAAGACAACAGGAAGACCCCAGAGACCCTACACCCACAAGGCCATCAAGGCCAAACCATATATTATATTGGCCCTCAGGGCAAGTTGGCATAGGGACCATCTCCGAGCCCCTTCCAAACCCCTAGATCAAAAGGACCGATTGGTGCTTCGAGACCCACGTCGACCAGAACCTAAATACAAGCAGCGAGAACAACAGAAAGGCAAGTATTAATAATTGAGGTAAAAGCCCGGGTCAAGGAGAGCTTCGATTGGCGTGCACAGGCACCAGGTATCAGAGACAAGCTCGGATATCCTCCAGGCTTTATGGGAGGTTCAGCGAAGCCGAAGTGACAGACCGACAGACATACGCACATATGTTATTATCATGCGGGTGCAGACATCCATAGCGCCAAGTTGCAACTTCTGGTTCCAGTGGCCGCGAGCACTCACCACATCTAGCGACCTGCACAGGGCCAGCTGGCTTGGGATGGACTTCGGGAGTGTAACAGCCGCAGCAGGTTCAGTGAACTAAACACGGCGACATTGTGCAGTCACATACAATCCTCAACCGGGCAAGGCTCTGCTCAGGGCCTTCCTGGCGCCATTGCCCAACAAGAGGTTCGCCTCGAAGATGATTCGACATCGGGTGTCTGGGGGGTCGTTGGGGTATCTTTAACAACAGCTTTTCAAGGGCAGAACACTGACAGAACGGTGAGACGGCGAATGTTGCGAGCTGCGCCCTTCCCTGCCTATCTGATGCTAGCTGCATCCCTAAATGGTGGGGCTCCAGCTAGAAAGCTTTGCCAATAAGTTCGCAAATGCTTCCTCTGAGATTTTGAAGGATCCTCTCATTCCCAATCCGGGGATCGCGCCTGCTCTGAGAGGTCCTCTGTAGGCAGACCCAGGGCATCGGCCTCTCCGCTCCCCGATGCTTTTGAGGAACTGTTGGCCCTTTTGGGAGCCCTTTTGGGGCACTGCTTGGGTTTGGGCTATGCCTTTTTTTCGGGCTGGGCCTCGCGGCGCTCGCGTAGGCGCTTCACCGCCTGGTGCAAAGCAATAAACTACGCCCTCAGATCACTCTCTGCGATTCTGATCACAGCTGCTGCTCTGATTGAGCTGATATTGGTATCAGGGTATCGCTATGTGAAGTCCTGGTCCCTAGTGCACAAATCATGCAGCCGTCGCAAACAGCCCGGCTCTTTGACATGAGATTCGGCGACCTTGTGCAGCGGTTCATAAGTGTGTGGCACGGGAAAGTGATGAATTCAGGGTCATGGCTACAATGTGTGCTCCGGAGTTTTGGCCTCCTTGTCCAACCCGCGCCCCGGCCGATATGCCATCGGTCTCTACTTTCTCAATCTGCACGCTACCTGAAGTTGCGTGCCTGTTTTACGCTGACGGCATGTCTGGATGCACGCTATTGCACCGGCGACTTGCTCCAACTTCCGCATGATTGAAGCTGGCTTTGTGCTTCTGTTTTACGATGTCGAGTGGCCATGAGGCCCCGGCGCATCCGGGCCAAAACAGCTGCTCGGCGCACCAGTCAAGACATTGTCACGACACATGAGCTGGAGAACGAGCGTTTGTGGCTTCGGGGAAAAACGATTCGTACTGCGAAAGCAAGCTCATGCATCAAGTATGAGCTACAGACATGCCAGGGCCGGGCCTGCACGCTAAAGCCACTCAGGGAATGCCAGGGCAACTGTCGGTATCCAATTTCCGTTTTGCGATGGCGGCCCACTTGTTTCACAAACAATCACGCCTGAGGCTTCAAGCATATTTCAAGCCCTTCATCTGTCGTGGCCAAAAGGGTCCTGTGAAGAAGCGACACGGGCCACCAAGATCGCTACCGTGCTGCTGGGCTACGCTGACTACGCTGACAATGCAGTTGGCTTGCTGCTCTGCGCATGACGTTGTCCTGAGCGACACATCGCTTCCCATTCTCGGCCAACCTGTGACCTGCGGCTTCGGGAAAGAAGATAGAGAACTCGCGGGCAGCGAGGTTCCATGTATTCTACGCATTTCCGGACAAGGTTCCAAGGATGACCGGCACAGACCAGACTCTAACAGGACATCGGGTGCAACTTTTGCAACGAGCTCCCACCGGAACCCCTCCCCCGCCTTACTAGAATCCAAAGTCTACCCTGCACGCCCTGCATGCCAATGTCCTTCCAGGCAGGTCCTTAAGCGCTTGCTGGAGAGCCGAGTGCCTGGGTCAATGGGCTGAGGGACATTGAGGAGGGTTCACGAAACGCCTCAAGTAATTACGCACAAGAGCCGTTGAAAGCACGTCTATCTAGCTCACAAGTAAGCTGACTGCCAGCACATTGCATCACAAACTGGCGGCAAAGACATCAGTCGGTGCGTCTAGCGCTGCACGCCTGGTACTGAAATCTGGACACCGCAGCTTTTTGCCGCGGTCAGATGCTAATTCGGACGGCCTGGTTTTCTTGGTATGTGAACTAAGATGCACCGTGAAATGGAAGCATCCTGTCTATGCACCCAGGCCGGCCACCAAAGCTACATGTTGAGATCGAGAATCGTCCAAGTCACTGAGTGAAGCAAGGGCAGAAGTAAACTGACTTGTGCGCGCAGCCTCCAGAAAAAACTGCTCAGCTAACTGCTGGGCGATGCCCTGGCTGTCCGTATCCAGGGACTGGCCATGCTTCTGGAGTCTGACACTCACTCACCGGCTGGAAATGCCACAGCTGGGAAGTAGTGCATGAAAACCCCGCTCAGTCGCAAAGTGGGCAACCTTCATCTGAACCTTAGGCTTGTTCGCTATTCCCTCAGTTTTTGCACGGACCCTCTCAAATTCTGGTCTTGTATGTTCGGCGTCACCAGATTTTGGGCCTCGTCCAAACTTCCTTACAAGCAAGTGACAGCCAGGCCTTGCTATCTTCAATTCAATGTTGTGCCAAGGGGCGCAGAGCAATCACCTCACGCTTTCGCCGGGAACTTACCCACACCACCTAGGCTGTTTTTTTGATGCCGATTCTGGCACAAGATTTCCCATTTGGCTGATTCCCGCTTGATGATGTTTGGATTATGTTTCGGGGCTGCAGCAGCAGGCTGCTGCGAATCACTAAGGTCACACGCCAGATTTTGTTGCAAAGTCATTGTAGCTCCATATGATTCGCTGCTTAGATCATTCTACCAAGGTCTTGAGCTCCATGATTTGAGGGCTGACGGCTTCTGGACTGCTGCTATTATCTCAGCACACTCTCGTCTTCTTCTGCTGGGGAAGCCAGGGTTTCCACCCTCTCTCTCTCGTTTCAACCCTGAAAATGGTAATCTGAGGTCTTGACCTGACAGGGCCCGAGAATCGCATCTCACTCTGAGACCTCCGTACCCTGAACCCTGAACTCATCCGCTCCAGCCACCGCTGACACGAAAAAGCCGGTGAGGAGTGCAGCCGCGAGGACGGCAACCAGGTATGCTGGGAAGCTCTGCCTAGGCTACGACGCCAAGAAGGCTTTATCTTGTGACTGGCACAGGACAGGCTGGTGCAGTCCCTTCTTGACATTGGGAGGTCTTGCAGACTACAGTGGGTGACGGGCAACTTGCCGACCCTTTTGCCATTCTTCTGACCTTCGCGGTCCTTTCCTGGCTGTAAAAACCCTGCAATCTACAGCATTCCTGTTCACAAGCGCCTGCGCTGCAAAATGCAGAACTTTTTTCAGCAAAGGACTCAAACCCATTATTGCTTTCCGGGCCCGCGACACAAAGGACTTGCATGAATGGAAGAAATCTTGCTGACTTTCCGAGCCCTCGGAAACACCAAAAGGCTAGAGAAAAAGGGACCGCGGCAATGGAAAGCTTCTAGGCCCTGAAAGGCGAATCGTTGGCAAACCCTGTAAACACGCTTGAGGCTTTCGGACTGCATTTCAATGCGCCTGCGTTTCTAGCTCTGCCGTTTCTGAAAAGTGACATCTTAGTGGATCCAACAAGGGCGGTGCACTGCAAAGCCGGAATGCACAGAACACCGTTCAAGTATAAAGTTGGTCCTGGGTACAGACCTTATTCGCAAAGAGAAGGTTCGTGCCAAGCAGCTTTGACCGTCTCAGGTTCCTCAAAGCGAATGCCTGGCACCCAGAGAAGAGAGAGCGTTTGGGGCGAAGGAATGCGAACACTCTGAGAGGCTCTGCGTGCTTTAGTTTGATGCTCAAGAAAATCTCAAGAAATCACACCATTGATTTTACATCATTTTGCAAATGCCGCCTCAAAACTCCGCTACATGCCGCATCACTGCACCCAACTCGTGAGGCATACATGCAACCTTCACCACGCGCCTTCGCGGCATCTTCCGTGGAGGCCTTTGCAGGTCCTTTCTTTTGCTGTGCCTTCTTTGCGGCCTCTTTGGCAGCCTCTTTGGCTGCCTTCTCTGCTGCCACCTCTGCTCGTTCGTAGGCAGCCTGCACCAAAAAGCTAGGTACTGGGTAGGCTGCGTGTGCGGAGGCTGGCCAAAAGCCACTTGGAACTCCAAGCCTCAAGACCCTGAACTCCATCGCGCGCCTTTCCACAGAGCCTAGCAGCCTCGTCCTCCAAGTTGAGGCCAGATATGCCCGACTGGCGAGCTCTTCCGAAGATGCAGGGAGCTTTGGATTCAACGGCGGCTAGGACAGCGGGATGGCATGATTGCTTTAGCATCATGTCCAGACATCTAGCGGCTAGCAGGGTTCCGGCTTGATTGCCCGTTCGGTGGGATGTGCTGCCGCAAATGAAATGATGAAGGGGCCGACGCACAGAACATTATTGACTTGCGTGATGTCCTAATTTCTGAATGTGCGCAGCCAAGGCAGTGGTGCGCGCGCGCGCGCACACACACACACACACCACACACAAACACACACACACACACACACTCACTGTACAACCTACAACAGCTTACGAAGCCTCTGACTCACAGCCATAGTTGGCACCCATCATGGCAACCTCAGCTTGATTTTGCAAGGGGCACGGACACATCACATGCGTGCCTAAACCGTCCAATGGCGCTGGAGAGAAGAGACAAGTCAGCCATGTTCGGCAAAGAGTCTTGCATGCAATTGTTGAGGCCATGCATGCTGCACCCTCGCTTGAAAACACCGTGTCTCTATGTAGCAGACGCAAGCCTAAAACATCTAAAGCCGACAAGGCCGCAGGCATCCAGCAACTTTTTCCGAAAGGCCACATTTGGGCAACCCTTATGATACCTGCTGTTGGGTTGCGTATGCCACGGCGGCACCCAAGCCATGGAAGCCTTGGTTTCGGCAAACTGGCTTCTGGAATGGTTGCTTCCAAAACTGGCCAAGACACCGTGCTCATCCCCCAACTTCTTTTGCATCTCGGACCTTACGGAGGGCGGTCTGTTATCACCCACACACACGCACAGACACAGACACAGTCACAGTCACAGACACAGACACAGACACACGATGACAAGGAAAAGCGCACACCTTTTGCAGGTTTAACTTGAGCACTACGCTCATGGTTAACCTTGCGTTCCAGAAGGTGTCAGACGCATAGACGAAAGTGACGAAAGGATGCTTTATCGTATTCACGAAGAGTGTGGACCCTCACGACCGACAATTTGGCCAGAATTTGGCAGAAGACCTGCACAAAGTACACAGATCAGGTTGGCTTCTGCAAAGAGAGCCGTGAGCTGGCTTGTGTGCATTACGCACATTATGCACATTGTCATCGTCTTCCTTTGCACGGATTCCGAGCATCTTACTTGCACGATATCACTGGAAACAACTCGCAATCTAGCACTTGTAAGTAGCAGCTGCGTGCCCAGGACGTCTCCTAAGATTAGCCATTGCCACCATCATGGAAGCCTCTTCATTTGGGAGGTACTTCCATGTGATGTCCAAGCGTGGTAAGCATTAACAATCAGAGCACACGCACAGACACAGACACAAACACACAGGCACAGTACCACGGTGCCACATTCTCAGCTGAGGGGCTTGATGCTCTGGCTGAGCTGGCTAACGCAGCCCCCATCTTCTTCAAACGGCTTGATTCGCTGCTCCTGTGAAGAGGCACCATGTGTTGTCACGAAGCCAAGAAGTATGGCAGTAAAGCTGTGATTTCCCTTGACCCTACACGATCTTCTTGGCCGTGCCGCAACACACAGCTCCAATGTCAACCCTTCGACTCACAACAATTAAAGCTCCTCACAGTGAGGATTGACATGATTGCCTGTTCAAGAGCGCTCCGCCTTCTACATGTGTCAGGCTCAAGGACGGCTAGGCGCAAGTGATCCCGCGAGAACCCGAAGGTTCAAGACCTCCTGCTCTTTCGCAGGCGATCACAGAAGCCGTTCAAGAAGGGAAAACTCCCAAATCCGAAAGGTCTGAAAACTGCTGAAGAGCTAACAGAACGCTCCTAGAACGACCCTGCCCTTCCCATTCAAGGGCCTGAACGTCTCTCTGGAGGCTCAAGGTCGCCTCCCCTGCTGCTTCCACGAGCTTGTCACAGGAGTCGCTCCTCAGCGGAATTGAAACGTTCTTAAAAACCTTCAGACGTAAGCCTGAGTAACCCTGAAACTTTTTCTGAGACCTTCGGCGATGGGTCAAGTAGGAGCTCGTGTGGATGACAGGTTCCATGTCCGTTTGCTGGAGTCTACGGACGGCAGTAGGCGCTTGAGATCTCAATCCAGTGAGGAGTTGCGTACTGTAGGCAATGCTCAGACGGATCGTCTTATCTACAACTGTCATCTGTTTCCAACATGTCTAGAATCCATCCAATGCACTTTTTAGTGCTGCCTCAATCCTGAATCCTGAAACTTCCACATACAGCAATGCATGCCCCAGCATCAACTGGCCGTGGAATGCATCGATGGCCTCCCAATGGAAAATTTGGGCGTGAAAGAAATTGAATGTGGACATGGCCCCCGAATACGTGGCGACCCTACGCAATTCAATCGCAACAAGCCGACGTGTCGTAGGAGTTGCTGTTGCTGGGTGAAGTCAGGACAAACATGTCTCCCAACAAGTTGACCGAAAGACGTCTAGACATCGATATATTCTCTCCAGTTTTCTAGTGGACCCCCGTGGATTCTAAGTACAAGGAGCTTAGCTTCCTACGGCTCTTGCAGGCCAAAGCCGATGACCGAGACATTTTCCGGCCTGCTGCTGCCAGGCATGCTCATCCTGACAGACACCGCAAGTTACCCTTAGCTCTGAGCAATTCGGCATTGAAAAGACTCAACAAGACCCTACTTCTGAGGGCTTCGTGTCTCTCTTTGCACGGCCATTGAAAAATCAGCAGTCCGCAGGCCTTAGCAAATTTCTTGAGCTTCGCAAGCATGTTTTTCACTGCATCGTTCTTGCCCGCCCCGTCCGACGTCATCGCCTCGCCGGCAGGTGTGTGATGTGACTTGCGCTGCAAGTCTTGGGCCTAAGACGAGTTCGGCACGTTAGGTACCGGTACTTCTTCAGCCTGGAACTGCAAGTCTGTCAAGCAGAGACTTCAGGTCGACGAGTTGTCTGCATACAGGAACGCAACACGTGGAATTCTAGATGTGTCGCATCCCGATGATGCTGTGGCGGTTCATCAAGACTGCTTGTTTTCGGGGAACTTACCTGGCGTTGATACAGAAACATGTTCACGGAAGTGCAGTGCAGATCTCCTGCAAACCCGCCCCTTCTGCCGTCGCGCCTGCAGCATGCTGTCCTCAAGCTTCTGTGGATTAAGCTGTGCCGTGATCTGATCAAATGCGCCGTAGTCAAACCTGGCGGCATGAGGTACTCTGTTTCAAGTTTCAGGGAGACAACCATCTTCAACCAGGAAAACCGCTGAATGGCAAAATGGCAGCCCTTGAAATCCCTCTCAGTGGAAAAAAGGCACATAAGTCACATAACCTCAATCAGATCAAGCGGCTTTTGCGACAGCTTCGCATCGCTCTGGACTTCCTTGGGGTGACTTGCGGACTGCTCTCCTTGCTGAGCTTGCTGCATTCCATCAGCTGGTTGCCGTGGATGTCTGTTGAGGAGTGCAAAGCGCAGGCCATTTCATGAACATACATGTGCCCGGAAGGCTAAGTTGCGTGAGACACTCTATCGCTTTACAACAACGTCCTGATACGCAAGCAGGCCTAGTGCAATTACAAGTTATTGCAAGCGCGTGGGCCTGCTAAACACAATCTGCCGCCAAGGGGCGGCAGGATTTGCGGCTGCAACCGCGAGCCAAGTGATGATGATGGCTCGATTCATCACTCTTTCCGCCTTGCTGTACAACATCCCTAAACCCAGGCTTGCAGACGTTTCAGCCGCAGGCTTTCCAGCATCTGTTCGCCCTGAACCGATGTGTCTCTCTTTGCTGCGGCAGAGTTGCTCGATGGGGGGGGAAGCCCACCCATTCAAGAGCTGTTGAGCCAGAAATGTTTCGCGATTAAGTTTCACACTTGGGCTCCGAAACATGGTACCCGGCGACTGTTCCGGGCACTTTACCAAACACTCTTGCCAACCTCTGACTCTGACTGTCGCAACGGCCAGATATGAAAAGTTACGACCAAGTTTAGACTCCCTTGGAGAACTCCGTCTGCACTAGCCTCCGATACCACCTCCGATGCCAGAAGCACTGGCACAATGCATCTGAATGCTTCAGACCTTCCCATACCCCGGTACAGGCTGCCTCGCTTCCCCGCAGCAGCTTTGCGAGGAGTCTGGGGATTGGCACATGCTGCATTGATGCTTCATAGATCTTCAGAGTTCCTGGTGTCGAGCCTCCTCAAACTCGGGAGATTCTGGTGTTCGCTTCTCACTGGAACGGCTGTGTGCAAATCATGTCAGCAGTCTGAGCCTTTCTTCAACTTTATGGGTAGTTTTCATGCTTGTGTCAATCCCAAAAAAATCACCACAAGAGGGCAAGCAAAGCAAGCAGACTGCACCTCAGGTACCAGACGTCCTGCTCCAGGCACTGGTCGATCCTGACAGGTGTATCAAAGGATTCTGAGAGACAGAATGGCACGGAGCGCCTCCTTTGTTCCTACTTCGACCTTGCGTCAGGTCGATCGAAACGACCAGCGCAGGTGTGTGAGGAGTGTATTACTGCGCAAGCTGCATCGTTGCGCTTCATTCTGCTCAGTTTGCTTGGGTGCCAGAAAAATATTTCGGAGTAGCGCGTCGGCAATTATCTACTGTCAAGTGGCAGGCTTCCAGACAAGTTTCATGGCACGCGGCATGGGGGGCAATGTTGAAAAAGAACTTGTCTCATGTCCTCGTACCACGGAGCTCAAACAAAACAAGACGGTTCCCAAACACACTGAAGAAGTCGGACTGACCTTGCAGCCTTGGTGGGCGAGCCTTCTGATTTCCCAGGATGCAATCGCGGGCAATCGCGAGACCTCTCCACTCACAGGCGCCCCACACGAAATAAAGGGAACGAAGATCTTTACTGTCCGACTTGTCGGATCGAACTGCGGAGCCGACTCCGACCTCTGTCGCGCACAACGAGTTTACCCCTGAAGAAGGCATCACGAGACCTTCCAGACACCCCAGACACCAGCCCTCCGGAGCTGCCCACACCCCTAAAATCCCCGAAGCCCTGAGCTGGCCCTCTGGGCGGCCCGGAGGATGTTTGCGACCTCGGATCTCCCAGAGCTGACGATTGTGGCACAAGCACAGCCTTAGCCTTATACTACAAGTAGAGCAAACAATACCTGCGTAGTACTCACATCCAAAGCAAGTAGATGGGATCGTGCGGCTAGTGAGGTTGAAGCAACACAACGCAGGCAACAGCATCAAATCTGTGGCGTCTTGCAGTCTTGGTTCGGCGATTCAGTCTAGTGGCAGCTCATTGGCTCGTGAGCTCATCATTGACAATATCAATGAGAACAGCGGTACAAACCATCATCGTACTAAGTAATAGTAAATTGATTCATTTGAAATGCACCTCCGCTTAAAGTCACCCCGCACCGGCCTTGATTCTGGTTCTACACAGCCCGTGCTCCTTACACAACTAAGAGAAGGAAACTGGCACCAGAGCATGAAATCACATGCCCGAGCAGCTCTTGATATTCTAGTAAATTGAACTGTCCCAGTATTTCGGTGAATGCTGAAAGGACCATTTGATATGATGATATGAACTGTTCACTGTCATGAGGAATCGCCAATAAAACTGTGTTTTGAACTCAAGGTACTCAAATTCTTTAGACTATTTCGCAGCAGCTTATTTAAAGTTGATGCTTCAACATGTTGCAACTGAGGCGCCTACAAGTCAGCGTGCTTGCAAATACGGCTGTCGAGCTAAAGCACCAAAAACATGAATGCCTGTTGCTGTTGCATCTACTTGCCAATCTGCAGCTCCTTGACCTGATCTATCTGCTGTCGTCTGTATCATCAAAAAGTACCTTTTGCGCCCCTGCATCGTGAATTTCCCTTATTTCCGCACTGCCAAGCAAATAACTTTTCCGTCCATTTAGTGAATTTCTGGTTTGCGTGACTATGCCGGGCCTTCCCCAAATTCCCCACTGCTCTGTAGTTGAAGAACTTCGGTTTATTGAACATAGGCTGAAAGCAATGGGCAGGGGACAGGGATCGCATCCATCTTCCCAAAGGGCGATCGACCGGAACTCTGATACATTCAATGCAGTCAAAGCTTTTATCCTACTGCGAGGAACCAGCACTTGGCAGCTGCGATTCTTCAACAAATTTCAGCACAAAGTAACAGCCATGGACCCGGATAGAACAATCCTTTGTGAGTCGGGGTACGCGTGGCCGAACCGTGGACCAGCGGTTGCGAAGGTCCTTCCCGGCATGCAGGTCCAACCAGGGATGGAGCTGCTGAGCTCGTAAGGTTGTAAGGGGCTCCTACCCTGCGCTATCCTACGCTGTCCTGCGCTTCCTGGCTGATGCAGTTCCTCTGTCCTGCTGCCACTAAATCCTTCCAGAACAAGGCCTCCATCCCGGGACTCCCAGCTACAAGTACAAAGAGGTGCAGAGGCCATGCATCGTCCGACCCCATGGAAACAGGGCGACACCTCCGCATCCACGTGGATGAAAAACCAGGCCTCAGACTGGCTGTTGGCCCACCCCGACTCTTCCGGCGTTTTAAAGTTGACAACCATCATCACACGTGTTCTGAAATGTCGAAAACAAGAAAACCAAGAGCCTTCTGGGGCTTGGGCATAAGCCTCCTCGAAATAGCTGTCCAAATCTGCCAGCTGGAACTTCTCAAACTGTCGCATGTACCTCGTCATGAGTCTCAAGCGACCACATCATCGTAGCGCATGCCTCCCTCACAGCCCATATGCATGACACCCTGCCTTACAGTACACCTCAGCACATAGGCATAATCTTACATGTCAAAAGCCTCGAGCTGTCAAGCGGTCCCCATCAAGCCGCAATCATCCACGAGACTCCGGCGGGTTCGGGTTGAGGAGCTCTGGCGAAGGAATACTGGCACAAACTCGGGCCCGCAACGGGTCCAAGCTTTTCCTTCCATGCGCGCTCGCCTGCCTGCATCGTAGAGTTGCGTTGTCATGCATGTTTTTGGTGTTTTGGCAGTCGACGATGCAGGCAGTTTGTCGGCAGCTGCTGACCACCCCAACAACATGGTGGCCTTGAATGACTGGCCTAGATTTCTCAATTGTGGTTTAGTATAGTAGCTCGCCATGTTGCCAAGGTCTGCCGTCTGACCCGCCAGCGTCTTTGCGCTGGCATGCAACATCTCTCGTACCAAAGGAGGGCCAAACATGTCAAAAGACGAACTCATCAGCCACAGGACGTGGTGGGGAAGCGTGAGATTCTCGAGGAAGAACTGCAGTACTTTCCCAGAACTGTCGACATGGTTCTCGTATTGCATGCAGAAGGCATGAACAAGAACAAGCAGAAGAGCACACAGAGACAAATGTATGGTAGGCAGTGAATGACACGGACGAGAAGGGCCCTTAAAGTGTTGATCACTTCGCTCTAAGAACCTCCTTACACGGCCACCTCCGCTTTCCCCACCCAGTGTAACTGGAGGCGGTGAGATTGGTGAGACATGGTGGGACACGTTGAAACATTGGATGACATTGGGGCATATTGCGACCTCGTACCGAGTTAGATATCGAGCTCTTGCTGGGCAGGTGTCAGGGATTTGAAAAAGTCTACACATGGCACTCTCAATCTGAGAAAAGCCTTGACATGAGCCGACGCCCTGCTCGCTATATGACTATCGCTGCAGGCAAGATCAGGTCCGAAAGTTGGATTGTGAATGGATTGGAACGTCATCTCAGGCTAAGGTTGCCATGCTCTTCAGGATTTGATCCGCAGGGCGGCGTCACGACCCACTCGCAAAAAAGGGCAGGCAATTTTCCTGCCCCGAGACATGCGAAATACCGATGCCTCCTGCGACAGCCTCGGCCTGTGTCATATGTGCCGTCGATGGCTTCAAATATGCCGCCGCGCTGCTTGGCAGCCACGTGGATGCCACGGACGCCTGCCATGGTACAGACAAAGTGCAAAGTTGCAATGCAGGATGCTGAGGATGCTCCACTCATCTATCGCGCATATACAGGGCATCAAACTTTGTCCGTGCTGCATGGGACTACAATGCTGGCGAAGAAGATGTTTGAGTGGGTGCTACTCCTACTTTGAAGAAATTACTGTACTGCTCTGTAATCTGCTTCTCAATTTAAAAGCGATGACAACGACGCCCAAACTACCCTCCGCATCCCTCCGCTTCAGCCTCACAGCACCGAGACCATTGTCGCGTCATCATTCGGATCAGTGGCTCGCTGCATCTTTTCCTCAGTGCAACTGGGTTTGGCGACTTCGGGTGAAGGTGCGCACCATGAATCTTGATTGATGGCATGCAATCCGCCGACACGCACGTTGCGAGTTGACATAGACGGGACACCCTGGCCAGTTGACAGGCTTGGACTGTTAATTTTGAGGAGCCTCCGTGAGCCTTTGTGCGGTGGTAGATTCTGGATTTAAGGCATTTTCGGAGTTGTTCAGGTCAGCAAAGTGTTTGGCTGTCTTCGGCACTTCTGGAGGCTGTTCAAAGCGGCACTGCCAGTGTCATCCAAAGGCAGCAGCAGCTATGGGGATTTACGAAAAGAGAGGACCCCAAAACAAAATCTCCAAGTTGTAGGATCCCCTTATCATTTGGCCCCAACAAGGTACCCCCGAGTTCGGAAACCCCCACTTCATGGAAAAAAGATCGGAAAAAGCCTCTGTAAGCCGGGCAACCTCGATGCTCTCCCGGAAGCTATAACGGCCAGCCTCCATAGTGGACCTGATGTGTGCATTTTTCGGCGCTCGGATTCGGGCTCAGGGCTTCGGCCCACTCGCAGCTGCTTCAACTCCTACGTGGAGCCTGTTGGAGGTGCCATGAGGCCTCTCTCACACAAGTTGCATAGCCATGGCAACTCTGGGTTGCCAGTGGCCCGGCCTGGTTGCAGTGACCGACAGCGGAATCCTTGAGTGGAGGCTTGGCGACCTTGTGGGAGTGTGGGGGCTGTGGGGGGGGGGGGGGGGAAGATGTCAGATGATGTTCTGATGCATGCTAGGTATTTGAGAACTAGAACCGACCATTCGGCCCTGAGCTGCAGGTTCGCCTCGACACCAGGCCTTGAAGCTCGCATTGACCCTTATAAAGTTTGGAGCTAGAGGCGAAAAAACGAATTTCGGAAGTGACGGCTTGCACGGCATCAAGCCTTCCGTTCACTCACTGATCTGACTGTTGAGCCTTTTGGCGAGACAGCAATCCCTGAAACCTGGGGCAGCTGGCTTGTCACGGGCGCTGGCTGCCACATCATGTGCTTGAAGGATTGACACATACCTTGGGCATTGACTTTTGTGGAAGCTTGGCATAGAAGATGAGGGGTCGCTGGGGAGGGGGGAGGAGGGTTGGCAAAAGGGTGAGAAAAAAAAGTATACATTGTTGAGGGGGCTGCCATCCCCCATGGAAGAACTATTACTTGAATGAATCCCGGCCAGAAGCCTGAAATCAAAGGGTCGAGGTACGTCGCTGCACGGCTGGACATGCGCTCCAGCTCCTCATTGCCTGTCAACAACGAGACACTTATTCGGCCCTCCACGCCTAAGCATCGTTGTTTGTTGTGTGCTGTTGCATCGACACCTGTCAGAGTGCCCTAGCCGTGACCCGAGACATGCAAAACCAACTCTCCGGCGAGGAAAAAAGGAGTTCCTACGAGGGTGACTGAGACATGGTGCAAGCAGTGCAAGCTGTCGTGAAGCAATTGCCAATATACTGAGAGGGTCAGCCAAGTTTTCATAGGATACGGCTGTTCTGAATTCGAACCGAGGGGCTCAGCTGGATGTCTGTGACATGCTCTTTGATGTTGCTACGCTCATCTCTGTTCTCGATCTCGCTGATCAGGAGAACACCTTGGGTGCAAACACCTTCCGCAGCTTGCATTTGTAGTAGCTATTTTGACGAGACACGGCTACTTGTACCTGACTGAGGGTATGTCTAAGAATGAAGGAGATTGTATGCACTTGTCATCACCTGCACGTAGAGGCCAGGGACGGCTTGCAGCCAAGTGACCGAAAATTTGCAGATGAATCCACATGGCCCCCCCAAACTTGTTCGCCAGGAGGGCAAACCTTAAGCTTTGGCGTGGAATAGGCATCAAACATCCCGTGGCTGTCGCAGCAAGCTGGGCACGGCTCCATGCTCCATCAGGCCGAATTAAGCAAAAGCGGGTGTGAGTGAAAGTAAAAGTCGTAAAAGCGAAAGTCAGCACTTCCACAGTGCGGCCTGCCACGTCCCCCTCAACTGCTCAGGCTCTGCAAGCATCATCGCCGGGGGGAGAGAACAGTAGGAATACAAGCATGATGACAACCCAAAACAACTCAGAACTAGCAAAAGATAAGGGAGATCTGAAGCCTCATGAGGGGCAGGATTTGCTTGAGAATCCTACCCAAACGCAGCTCATGAGGAGCAAAAAATTGCTTTCGTGTAGCATTTCATAGCGAGGCATGCTTCGGCTGTCGCACCCAATACGCCTTACAACTCGTGCCAGTGCCGTTTTCAGACTCACGCCGGCCTGTTTTCTGACTCGGTCTTTATCGTTTTCTGACTCGGTCCATCCCGTTTTCGACTCGTTTTCCCGACACGGCCCCCACCCCAGTGTGGAGGGCACGAACGAGCATTCAGATGCTCTCAAGCAAAGGTGTCCAACGTTCACCGAGAGGGTAGTGTCGCCCTAGCAGGGGACCGTGGAGGGAATCCTTGGCAATTGGTACTGCCCCCAGGGGTCTAGGCTCGGGGGAATCATGCCAAAGCACTCGTCTGCCTTGATTTTGATGTAGTAGCAGGTCCCGCTGCTCGCCGTCAGGCGGCCGCGGTGGTGCCAGTCGGCCCAGAGGGAGGGCAGGCAGAGCACATCCTCGTTCTTGACCTCCTGGTTCCTTGTGAGTATCCCGGCCTGGTTCCGCGCGAAGTAGTGCATCATCCCTGTCCATTGAAGTTTTGAAGGGCTTATGTCAATGTAGTTTCGGCTTAGTTTGTACATTCGGGTTTAGGTGCTACTCGGTTTAGACTTTAGAGCTGAGGATTCATCAAGTCACGTGGCTCAAGGGCTTTCCACTTTACGTTGCACACCCCTTTTTACGCCTGTCTCGATAACCAGGACATTCTTGCAGTCGGTGCCAGGCATGAACACGTCCTGCTGCTGTGTGCAGACGTCCTCGGAGATGCACGTGTGGCACAAGTTGGAGTAGAAGTACTGATGATCCGGCTCGGCAGTGGGCCAGAAGCCAAGGACCTGGACCAAGGGCAGGTACATCTCTTCATGCAGCTGCATTTTCAGCCGTTCGGGCATCTTTGCCAGAACCGGTACTTCACCTGAGTTCGGGCAAGCAGTCACCGAAAGAACGATGCTCCAGGCAGTCTTCGCACACGTGGCAGCACACGCGTGGGTACTCTCCCAGGGATGCCCGGAAAGCAAAGACCGAAACAGCACAAATTCAGCACCAATTCCACAAAGCCGCTCTCCTTCACTCGCACGGACGCCAAACCATCGATGCGAAGGGCCTCCTCGACTTTTCCATACAGGCCCACAGAAAGGTTCCTGCACAGCTGGCTTAGCAGCACGGTCGAGGACGAAATACAATCACTTGGCTTCCAAGCTTCTGCATGCGTAACATTGTACAATGAGTACAACATTGCAAACTGGGTGAACACAACGAGTCCATAGGTAGGCGCACGCATGTCGGCCGAGGTAGTCTGTGGACATGCCAGAAGTAGCTACCAAAACAGCAGGATGAGTAATTCCTGAATATTGACAGTCTAAGCATTTCGTCTCACAGGTGGCAGTTGACGTTACAGCATCAAATGCGGCAGCTGCTCCGAAGTCTCGACTCAGCATAACTCAGCCGTGCGTCCGCTGGTTGAAGAAGCGGAAAAGCGTCATGTGAATCTTGTTTGTATCGTCCCGGGCTTTCCGGAGAGAGCTCATGGTAGCAGTGATGGAGGTAATAAAGGACCTGACATGCGCGCATCGACTAATTCTATACATAATAATAATAATATAATATTAATAATCATAATAATAATAATAATAACAACATATATATATATACACATGTAGATGAAAATGCATATGTGCGCCGTACTTGCCTTGACCTGTCAAAATCTCACAAGTCACGAGCGCCCCGTGCCAGCTACATGCCGGCATTACGAGAACACTCCAATGGCCATGAGAATCACGAGGAGCGCGAAGACACGCTCCAACTTGGTGTTCAGTATTGTGAACCGAGCACGGAGTTTGAAGTTTGGCACGGCGGTGGTGGTGACTAAGGGGAGTTAGGGATTAGAATCGCGGCACAGTTACATGAAGGCTGCTACTAGTACTTCTGAAACTAGGTAACAAGCGCTGTCGAACTTTTGACGCGCAAGCACCACAAAGCCCAAACACAAAACTTAGACTACACATGGAGCTTGCATAGCCGGGTAGCCGCATTGCTCGGAGCGATGTCTTGCGTGGCTGGCGTAAACTGGGTCAGTGCCTGGTGCATGCAGGCAGTACCGCTAGGCAGCGGTCAACTACCGAAGTTTTCACGGTCGGCAGTCAAAGCAACCACGACCAAACTATACACTGCGCACCGACAGGGCAGAGAAACACTTGCAGTGACCCACACATCGCAGTCTGGCAGAACGGGCTGAAGCTCGAAGCTGACATGCAATCAGGATGCCCAATGCATCGATGCGGCATAAGCCTGACAAAGATGCCGCCAACAAAACGAGCAGTCTAATCAGAAATGTTCTGCTACGTGGGCCGGCAAAGTGCAGCGCAGCACGCACGCTCCACAGCGGCACTAGTTTCAGTCTTGCAGTCACGAGGACTTTACGTTTCGTCGTTATGCCATCTTACTTTCATGTCCCAAAGCAGGAGCCCATAATCGCCAACATCTGGGAATATGATCGAGAGCCTGCCTCGCCAAAAGACACAGTCTGCATGTCAGCTTGTGCAATCCAGTTTTTGCCGTCAATGTCAAACGTGCCGATACCTCGGGTCACTCATGACATCGCTGCACCATCTGGCACCCAACCGCACCCAACAAGGCACTGAAGGAACGCCGTGGACGTCGACCTCCTCAACCATTCAACCGGCGCTCTACACCGAGTACTGAAAAGACTGACATTCCGTTGCGTGCCCCTTGGACCACAAGGTTCATTCTTGGCGAAGGAGTGTGGGGGTAGGTCCGAGCTGCCGTACCAACAGCACGCGATGATGTGATTGATCATCAACATCATCACCAACCCGACGCAGATCTTCACAACCATAAAGGCGTGGGTCGAAAGAAAGCCTCAGCAGCTTGCTGACTTCTGGGTTCGTGCTCTGAGGACTGAACCTGGGAATCCTAGAGCACTCCAAACCATGAGGGAAGCCTGCTCCAAAAAATCCTAAGCACATCAAGTTCAACAAAGCTTCCATACTCACTCCCTGCCTTGTCTCCGTGCCCCTGAACTGAACTAACTTGCACCCCCCCCCCCCGGTGACCCAGGAGCTGTTTGCCAGGAGCATGAGCTCCTGCTGCAACTTGGCCACACGCACAAGGCCTGAAGTCGCTCATGGCTGAGGGCTTCGGCACTTCGGCACGCTTCGGAAGGCCTATGATATGGTTCTAATAATCTCTATAGATGCCTATCGATGCCTTTAGTCTACATATAGGTGGTCTGGAAGCATTTAAGGGGGATGTTTGTCTTGCGAAGGGTCTTCTGTCTGCTCGGTTCTGCTTGGGTTTTCATCCGGCATTAACGCATTGCTTGTAACATGGGCATGGGGCCCTTGAAATGCTGAAAACTGAATGCAGCCGTTCAATGTGTTTGAACGACACACATGCTGCAAACTCGTTCATGACTGCATTTGCACGTGTCGGGCCACTGCAAAAGTTAAGTGTAGTGTTTCAAGGTGAATGGTAAGGCACAAGTGCTCACAACCGCACTAGTTGTGAGATGTTCTACAGCTTAAGATGATGTAAGCCCTGCGCTTCCCGGGGTTTTGCAGCTCCAAACAAACGCCAATTACAGCCCATCGCGCCGCAAGTTACTGCAATTGGAGGTGTCCGCTTTTTGACAGAACATGCATGCTGCAAGTGACGCATGCCTTTTTAACGGAGAGGCTCCGCTTTGACAGGTGATCGTGGCACGGCATGTGGAACCCCAAAATGAGCGTGTTTTGTCTCTTCCTTCCGTCCTCCTTCCTCCCTTTCCTTTCCTTCCCTTGCCTGAGCCCTGTTCTTTCCTTGTGCCCGTCCGTAAGAAAACGGAGGAAATCCTATGGGAACCTCAAGCATATAATAATAACAAAGAATAAATACAAATAGAAATATGTGCAAACCGGAAACATGAGGCCTCTCCGTTCCTCAATGCGCGGTCAACAGTTCCGACAGTCAAGGTTCTGAACTTTCTGAAACAGGGCTCTGCTATGCTCTGCTCTGCTTCAGGTGCAGGGTGCGCCTACGAGCCCTACGTATCCGGAAGCTTGGACTCGGTCTCCCTGAACCCAATGACTCACATGACTAATGTCGGCCCAGCAGGCGCAGCAACCGAAGGAGGCGGAGTGTTCGAAGGAAGCGTGCCGACCGAAAGATGGTCGAGTTCCTGGTGGGCAAAGCGTCTGTGATAGCTTGGTCCCCGCGCGAAGAGCGTTTTTGTAACCACATGCTGCTAGTAGCCTTTAAAATCTTTAAAGCCTCTAAAGCCCGATGAGCCCGTCCCCCTGTTCGAGGCCAGGGGTCACTCCCATGTCACGAAGAGCTTCCACCGTGATCAGCGTGGCATCCAGCCCCACGATCAAGACATCCACCCAGAACCATGAGCCTGGGTCAAAACTCCTGCAACCCCATAATGAAATCTAAACACCATCTTGCAGCGTTCAAACTTGTTGTTTCATGACTAAGACCTCTCCTTGGCTGACAACTTCCTTCTCTCAGCCCCACGTTTACGGACTGGCTCGGGAGGAATGCCGTTGACAAACTTTTCGACTCGTTTGAGTGCACCGCAGTCTGGGAGACAGGCAAAGGCTGGGGCCAAGGGGCGCAAGTAGTGCCGCGCCAAGACAGAAGGCCGCATCTCGAGCTTCCCTTGAGGGCTGGAGCTCCGACCGAAGAGAAAAAGAAACGAGAGCAAGAAAGTGCGAGAGCGGAGGGAGAGGATAAGGAAAACAGTTGAGGCAAACAGTGGGCGGACCTTTTCTTTCGACGCCGAAGAAGAAGTGCACGGGGATGTCAAAGAGCCAATACCTGTCTGTGTCTGTGAAGGCTAAACATCGTCGACAGAGGCTCCAGAGAGTAAGCTTGGAAAAGGCAAATCTGGATGCACTAGCCAAGGCACACGAAGGAAACCCGTGCTACGTTGCTCATTGCTTTGATGAACTCCTCGAGAACGGGGCTGCTTTGTCGTTTGCGTACTTTCGGACTGATACTCAAACGAGCTGCATCCGGTATGAGAGATCACCAGCAAGGTACGCCCGCGCAAATGCAATACATACTGAATACGTATCGTGAGCAAAAAAAGCTAAATGCGCAGCTGATCTCCTCGACCTGGAACAGGCCCAGTGGGATAGTAATCCTCAGACGAAACAGCATGGCAAGGTCTTAAGAGGAGCTGAAAATGGTTGATCCTGGACACCAAACAAGCCTGCTTAGCGGGCTGAACGTAACGCAGCCTGGCACCTTCGGCCTTCTTCGCTTGAGCCGGGCAGCAGATCCCAAACGATCCAAAGGGTTCCCAGCGTGGACCAGAACATCTGCTGCTTGCTGCGTGGGCCCACAACAAAGCGCTGGAAGATGCTGTCCTCCTGGGCATGTGTGATGGCACTCATAGCCCATGTATGAGTTCTGAAGATGTCTCTCGTCCGCCTTTGGGGCCCATGGTGTGCCTTGCCTGTTGTCGGTTCCGTCAGCGAGGCACTTCAATTTCCTTTACCTAGGCACCTCCATCAGACTCCTTTTGAAGAGATTGCATCACAGGGCAGGCCGAACTCTTTCCACGCAGCTCCTCCTGCACCGCATCTTGCATCCGCAGCGAGGAGTTGAATCCGGTAAGTGTCGTCCGAAACGATCCTGACAGCATCAACAGGCTGGGAACGATACCTCTGACTTACACAGCCCAAATGCGGTCTGTGTCCCTATGGATAGCGATGAGAGGTTGCACGAGTCCCATGTATAGATGTATTCTTTTGCTATATTTGCATTTGCTCATATCCTTAGTATTTAGTTGCATGTGTACACATATACATATATATATATATACATATATGTATATATATGTATGTGTAAATATATATGCTTTTGCGTATCTTGTACAAAAACTCCAACGGCATCTGTACTGTCGGTCGGGCGACTGACTTGACGCATGTGGTGGACGCCAGCCGCCCAGGTAGCCTTCATCTGCAGCGGCACGGGCGCGTAGCTTGCCCTGAGGGTGCAGCGCATGAATGGCAAACTGCCGTTGCCGAAGGATGCACGGAGCTCTAGGCCCGCATACCAATGGTCGATCTGCACTCGGTTCAATAACCTTACCCGTTATCAGGCGTAGTTTGAAAAATTATACTGCAGCGATCGACGGTTACGCGGAATAATGCGAAGTTCTTGGGCCGGGGGGGCAAGAAACTGCCACAAACAATGAAGAAAATGCCATAAACAAAAAACAGGGTCTTCTGGGGGCAGCTGTTGAGCCAGAAAGTCTGAAGACTGTGCCCTGGCTTCTGACTATAGAGGGCGACACTACGCAAATCTGAGCCTTAAGAGTATGCACTGGGATTCACTGGGATGCACATGTGGGCCAGGTTTTACCATGGCTGCCGTGGCTCGCCAAGGGAGAACTGGGGCCATCCTCCTGCTGCACTGCCTGCCACGTGTTGCAAGGCCAGCTTTCAGTTGTGGTGCTGAGGTCGCGAGAGGTGAAGTGTCACACAGGATACTGTACTCCGTCGGTTGAGTTCTGTTCGAGCTTGTTGCAGGTTTCTAGCATGCTCAAAAATAAGACATGTGGAATGTCAAGTTCATACCCCCTACTTCGCCAAATGGCCCAAAAGCCCTGAACCTAGGCCCTTGGGCCTCACCGTCCAGCAGGGAGGCAGCGAGAAGAGCCCACCTCTGGGTCTATTGAATCTATTGCTTTTGGTGCTGGGATAGCGCTAGACATGCACTGGCAGCTCCCCTCAGATCTGCAGAAACCCCGCCTCTCCGCGGGTTTGAGCGCATCGTCTCGCTCAACCCTTCCAGGATGCACTTCCTCAGTCCAAGTGTAAACTTCCGGAGGGATTCCCAGCATCTTAACACAGGCACATACACAAAAAATGGTCACCGCCAATGCGGAAGAAGCGGCCACCAACAGCGGGGCGCTTGCAGCCGGAAGGTCCTGGAAGGCCATATCAGATTTGAAGCATGAGCTCTAGGACTCTATGACTTCCAGATACGTGCACTACATTGTTCGCAGTGGCCACCAGCAGGCCCCAGTCAGCGACCCGTGGCTTGCCTTGTCCGCCACGGTGGTCACCAGTGGGTCCTCCTCAGAATCAATGCCCTGGCAGGCCAGACTTGAGATTCGTCAGCGCTGCTCGGGCCTTGTCACAAGCCTACTCGGAGCTACGTCGCTACGCCCCCTTCGGATTTCGGACCCCAGAGCCTGGCGCGCCAGGCCCAGCTCCGTTCGGAGCTTCAGGTTCTGCTGGCGCAGCCGCTCCATCTCCTCAGATTTTGTGAACATCTGCAAGCAAATGTCGCGTGGGCAGAAAGAACGGGGGCTGTTTGTAGCCTACTTGCGTTTGCTGCACTTTCAAGCCAAGAAGGTTTTTGGCTCTGAGTCCGCTCTGTTGACGGCCCAGCTGCTGTTCGGTGATGCTGAAGCAATGTGGCACGGAGTTTGTCCAGCTGAGAGGTGAGAACGACCTTGGAGATGGTTCAGGAGGAAGAGATCATCTGGCAGTTGCTGGTTTGGGCATTCGCAACTGTCACAGATCCAGATCCCTCTAAGCCAAGAAACCTCATAAACAAACTCCTCTGGCGGCGGCCCGCCATCGCAGCTGCAGAAAGCCATGGCGCCCAAGGCGAGGAGCGAGAATATGGAATCCCCAAGAACCTACCAACGTGGCAAAGAATCTGATATGCATGAAATGTTGCTCAGGTCGCGTAACACCATGTAAGCAAAACAAACCCTCCCATTTTTGTTATAGTTATAGCTACTCTTGTCTGAAGTGCTCAAGTGGAGTACAGTATCCATTCAGCATTCCTCTAATATGAATGCCAGGCACCAAGTCGAAGCTTTCCAGACGAAAGTTGCGGGGTCGGCCATGGATCCAGATGTTCAACAGACCGTCCATAACGTCGACAGGATAATCTGTAAACCGTCAAATGCAGGTTATGACTTAGCCACAGAAGCCAGAGATGCCATAACTGAGAAGCAAAATCGACTGTGACGAGTTGTACTCCCCATTGCTGCTAACCCGGGCGGGGTCACATGTACGGATGTATGAAGCACAGGGGTCGGAGGGACCAGAGTGAACAATCGAAGGGCACTCCGAAACCAGCCGGCTGACGCCGAAGGTCAGAGTAAGGGCGATGCCGAACGTGCCTGGACATGCGGCAGTTGCTTGAGGAGAGGACTCCAAAGGTATCTTCGGGGCTTCAAGGCCCGAATTGCCAAACAGCCTAGTACTTGGGTGCTGAAAACATCCCGCTGAATAATCTGAGCTTGCTGCTGGCACCAAACCAGCGGCTACCTTCAAGTTGGCAGACAGCCGCAGAAAACACATTCACAGCAATAGGCAACATAGGCTACATTCAGCCGGGGGAAGCAGTTCCTCGACTCAGGTCTGAGCCTGCCCATCGGTCGTGCAACAGCTTGAAACCGACCAAGGCCGGAACACCTTTGGCTCACCCGCTTCGGCTTTTCGGCTTCTCCCTGAGCTTCCCTGAGCTTCCAAGAGCTTCTCTCCGTTTCATGAGGCTCAGCTGGCAAGAAAGAGGGCAGGACCTGCGTCTCAAAGACTTTCCGATAGCACAAGGGTTGCAGGGGAACTGCAGGCGCCGTGCTTCGGGCATCGGCGACGTCAGTATTCAAGCCCCCTAAGCGCACTGCCAACCAGGCAAGACGACCAGAGGACAGCCTCATTCTGCTGCCTGTGAGGCATCATAGGAAGCACTGAGATATCGAAGCCTGAGGTTGCATGCTGCCGGGCTGGCAACTTGCAGTGTACGAGTAGCCTCATCATACGGCAGCCTGGCCTTCGCACACGCTGGCTCACAGCACTGGTGACGGTGCACACCATCTCCAACTGGCGCAGCGTGTCCTCATTCTGCGCACTTGTGCCCGTAGCTTGGGGGGCTCCAAGTTTGGGACTCCGATCTCCCAAGCCATGTCAGCAAAGAACAAGGCCAAACTCAGACCAGCACCAGGCATCCCACAAGTCGAACCATCACTACAAATTATGAGCCAGGACCCCATCAAGTCCTCCGTCGCCGTGATGACCTGGGTATTTGAAGTGAGGCTCTGTCAACAATGAACCGCCGACAAGAGAAATGCCCGAGCGGCGTCTACAATTCTACGAACATGCGAATCGTCGACGCATCGTTTTCACGTAGATTTTGCAGCACGTGTGTTCGCCTTCTTCGCTAGGGCAAGACTCTGAATCCAAACCCCACAGATCAGCACCCAAACCGAAACCCAACACGCCTCAAGCGTTAACAGGTGCCGAGCAACATTGTCCCAATGGCGCGTTCGGGCGCGGAGGACCTCCTGGACCACCTCCTCACGCTTTTGCCGGAAGGCCTGGAAAGAGGGCTGGTTAAAGGCACGAGTACCCGTCAAATGACTCGCGCTGCGGGCCCTGCAGGCCAATGAATTTCTTTCTGCTGCAGGAAGCTGATGAGAGGCAGGACGGGGGAGGAATGCACAATGCATTGCACGGTGCAGTAACAGCTTCCAGCTTGACAACATCTGGCAGCACTTGCCAGCACAGCGCCGCTTGGTGCTACGAGCAGAAGCGAGTCGACTATGCCACCCGGCTGTTGATGCAACAGGCCGGACGGGCGAGGGGGTGTCTCATAGTCGCCTGGGTTGTGGCACCGCTCAGCGGCACGCGTGATGAAGAGCTGGAGCTCGAAGGCCAAATCTTTGTAGATGACAGCCTCGACAGCCCTCCGTCGACGCAGCAGCCCACAGCTTGCAAAATACTGTGCGGGCAGCGGCCGACCAACAGTTGCCTCTGATGGGCATATACGGTTTAAACTTGGGCGGAAGTGAAAGATCTTTTTTGAGATCTGGCGCGCAGGCTTGCCCAGAAGCGTGAATGTGTTCTTCGGAGAAAAAAGCACTGCTGTCGTGTGCTTTCATTGCTGGGCTGTGAACAGCCCTCAAGCCCTGAAACATCATGAAGTCCTGTTGCTGTGCCCAGCCTGCACTGCAAACCCTAAACCCTAAACCCTAAACCCTAAATCCTCCCCACCCACACCACCCCCCGCCCCTCCCCCTTGGCCCCCGCCTCCCCCCCTCGACCCACAGGACGCGAGATCTTTACTGCCCCATACACATCCTTGCTCCATACTCCACAACGTGCCTCCAGCGGGAGCTTGTGCTCGCGGACGCCATTCCTGAGTGGTGGCTGATGCAACAATGTACTCAGGGTTGCGCGTCTCGCGGGGTCTGTGGACTTGCTGAGCACTGGATGACTCTCAGTTCTGGACTCCGCGTGCTCCACGCCAGCCTGGGCTGGGGATCTCATGACATGTCATGGCTAGTCACGGCAGTCAAACCTATGTTTGCACCTCCTCGCACCCCTAGCGCCTTAGGCCTTGGCATTGTACATGGTGTAGATCTGGGGAATGTCCTCACGAAACGATGTGACCCTCGCCGCAGCCCAAAACTTCTAGACAGCCCCTGCTTGGGCCCTTGGGTCCGGATGCGTAAGCTGCTGAACCGCCAAACAGCCATGCAGCTTTCACACCCCTCTGCCCAGGCCTTCCGAGGAATTACCTGCACACCATGACAACGGTTTGACTCCAGGTGAACTACATCCTTTCCGATTTGCAAACCTAGAATTGGAGCCCTCAAACTCGTCGAATAAAACGATTCCAGTCTTGAGTTTGCATGCTCACCGGTGTAGAGTCTGCAGCAATCCGAGAACGACACAAAACCAGCAGGTTCAGGCAACCCCTACAACCCCTGACCTTGGACAGCGCCCACCCCAGCGTTCCATAAGCGCGAGCGAAGTCTACGCTGCTGTCGAGCTGGTCCACCTGCGCATGCTGGCAAATGCAACGACAAGCATATCTCAAACCAAAGCTCTTCAAGGACTTCGTGACCTTGTTGAGGATGATCACGAACTTGTGGTCAAGCCCAGCCTCAAGGATCTCCCGAAGCCCCCATGCGGCTTAGGGCCTGCCTGAGGCCAGCCTGCAACCCACAACATCCCTATAAAGTTCAACGACCTCGTCCTACCTCAAATTCTGAATCCTGGGGCTTCGAATCTGCGACTCCGGCCATGGATCGCGTCAGCACGTCCAAGGACTCGCCTGTCGTACCAGGCCTGAAAAGGCTCGGCCCCACAGTGAAGGGCTGATTGCAGTCAAAACGGTTGCCAAGAGATACACCACACAGCAGAAGCTGCCAACACCGATGACAAGTCAGTTTGAAACGGTGTGACATGCCTGAATTGCCAGGACATAACGGAACTTGGCACAGCACACCTCTTGGAGTTGCGCAATCAAACCAGATAAACAAGCTGGACCTCGCCCAATGGGTCTTCTCCTCATCACACATCCGGGGGTACAGCTCGTTCACCGTGCTGACTCTGGACAACAGCCCACACGGCCGGCGTGAACGCCCAGGGGCCAAGCCAGCACTCCAATTGGACGGTGAGCACGAGCTGTCTTCCCCTGCATCCCAAGCCTCCTCTGCTAGGATATGGCACAGGCCTGCAAGGAATTAGGAGCAAACTTGAAGGCTCGGGTCTCTCCCTGGCGCTTCTCCGTAGCTCTCGACATGGGTCAGGAACTTGCTGCCAGAGACTGGCGGAGCCTTTCCAAGTGTTGAGTTTGTCCAGCATTGGCAGCAGAGGCGGGCACGGACGAGCCCAAAGTAATGGCCACCAAATGCTCGGTATGGTCTCATCCGCCGTTCAGCCCCTCATTTTGAACTTCTACAGGCCTGGTGGTTGGCACTCGTCCCGGAATTTCCTGGGCAACCCCAAAAGTAAAAGCCCAATCTGTTCGTCTGTTAAACCCTGGCCCAGGCAGCTTCACCCAAAGCACAAAGTTCAAGCCTAAACCGTAGCCCTATAACCACAGCGGGGGAAAAACCCCGAATTCCAAAACCCCAAAATCTATTGAAACTCTCACGGCGAACACCTTGAACACTAAACCTCACAGGCCCAACAACCCGACCCCAAGCCTCAGACCTCAGACCGAAGGGCCAGGCTGTAGGGGAAGGGCGACCACAGGCGGGGAGAGGGCCGGGCGTGACCAGAAATGCAGTCGGGGCACCTGTCTGGATCAAAAAGGAGCAGAATCAAATCCGCACCTTGGCATGTTGGACAAAACATTCTCTCTGCCATATGAGTGAAGTACTGGAAAGTTCTCTTTCTGACTGATGGGACGGCCCAAGCGAACGACACGGGAGTGAGTCTCGACCTCTCTGGGGTGGTGTCGTTCGGTTACCCTTCTGGCGTTTCGAGGAAACCAGCAGCAGCCCTTGCGCAGAAAGGAAAGGTTCGTTCCTCTGACCGGCTGTCTGGTCGACGGCAGGCACGAGTCGAGCGCAAGGTCTTCTCCGCTTTTGCAGAGGGGTCCGATGAAGCTGTACTGTTTGCCATCTTCGTTGATCTTGGGCGTTGGGGACTGACCGCCTCTACTTGCTCTATCAGAGCTGTGCAGATATGTGCAGATACCAAGCTCAACGGCGTGAACAACAGAGCACTTCTCTCCTACTCTCCGACTCTCACATTGTGACGTTCGTACGTGGACTGGAGTCACACACAAACAAGTGACTTCTCCAGCACCTGGACCATAGCTTTTGCAACCAGATACAAGAAAAAGGGTCAAGAGGGTCAACAGTAGAGTCAGTAGAGGGCCGCACGCTTCGCGAACCAACGGACGACCTCCAGGAAGTTGTAGCCTGCTGGCAGAGTCATGGCCACACGTGCTCGCGTGGTCAGCAGTAGGCTGCTTTTCGTTCTTGGGCACATGCTGAATTTTCTGAATGGCTTCAGGAGTTTCGGGCCACACGCACAGCAACGAACCTCGGCCACCAGCCATGGACTCGGACTTTACGGGCATGTCGATCCTTAGAAGCAGGGCGATGCAGGGCGATGCGCACTTCGCTCAGAACAAATTCAAGCGTGCCATGCCACAGCCCATGGCAGCATGAACCCGAGAGTCGACTTACTTGCTTGCATCTGCCACGAGCCCCGGGCATTCCGGGAGTGTCCACGATCTGAAGCCCATAAGGCATGATGGTGTCCTTAGCTCAAGACCACCGTTGCATAGTTGTCAGGATCGTTGAGAATGGTTCGGCATGGGGCCAACCCAGGCATGCCCAGTGAATGCCTGACGCAGAATGCCCCGAAACATCCCGAAACCCTCTCGTCCCCGTGAGGAGCGGCCTCCGGAAGCTTGAGCTTCCTCCGTCGGAAGTGGCCCCAGAAAGGCTGGCCGAAGCGTTGAAGCTCCTCACAGGGCACCGACTCTGAAGCCAATGTCCCAAGCTCGTAGGGTGGGTTGCACGATGTGAAGAGATGGTGTGCCAAACTGCAATCAACTTGGCAAGCGGCCCGAGGTCCTTGAACGGTCGGTTCTCTGGACAGCTGAGGAGCGTGGGGCCGTCCTCCACCTCATTACCGACAGAGACACCAAATTGTCCAAGTTTCGGTACATGTACATGACCCAGGCCTCGTTGCCTGTCGGGTGGCGCTGAAGAACCTGGGTGAACGGTGGCATATCATACGGAAACATGCATACACATCTACATAACCTAGGTGCATACGTACACAAATACCTACACACCAGCACACGTCACGCACACACAAGCATAGGTGCATACATGCATATACAAACATACACATGTACACATGATTGCTTCTACATGTATACACGCATACTTATATACACATATGCACATATGCACACATGCACATACATGCACAGATACACAGATCCACAGATACACATATACACAGATACACGAATCACATACACACATATGCACATACCCACACATACCCACACATACAAACACATACCCCCGCATACCCACACAGACACACACATACGCACACCGTACGCATGCACACGTACACACACATGCATACATGAATGCATATCTATGTCTATGTCTGCGTCTGCGTATATACCTTTTCTCTGTATGTGTCTTTACGTATTGCTAGGGTTTGGGAAGTAACTAGTAACTAGGTCCCAGATATCCTTGTTATCCTCGAGTGCCAGTAGCCGACGTCTTGCGCGCCCCAGCCAAACCACGAGTGCATCGTTTTCTCGCATGTGCACGTACTGACATCTCTGCCTCCTGATTCTTGGCTCTTGGCCTTTGAGGTAAATTGGTCCTTGGCCTGTTAGCTCTTCGTTTGGTCCGCCGCGTGGCCATGGGAGAAGATGCCAAGAAATAAGAACCAGGAACGTCTGCGAGCAGCGCAGCATAACCAATAACATAACGCAGCGCAAACCCTGTCAAAGCGCAAGGAACTGCCTGCTTCAGACCTCCGACGACTCCGGCAACTTCCGACGGCCTCTGCTTCTTAGAATCAAACAGAACCAACGCCAAGCTTCGGACCCGCGCTCTGAACTCGTGTGTCTCGACAGAAGGACAAAGCCCGAAACGTAGCCAAGGAAGCGCAACTTGACAGTTGTATCTAAACAAACATTGTTGATCATTGTTGCACGTAGCAAGGTTTGCAGTACAAGCTAATCTTGGCCATCAGAAAACTCCGGTACCAGGTCTGGGGTCTGCAGGGTCATGGCCACAGCCTCGTACGCCACTTCGGCTCTGCAGCCTGCAGCCCTCTCTAGCACTGTTGCGTGCCACGCATGGCCCCTTGAAAGACTGAAGCTGGAGAGCATCTGCTGTTGAGCCCCACGGCGTGCAACATTATCATCTTTGAGATGGGCGAGGTCACATCCGCGTATCTATCCTGTTTCTGTGGGTTTTCTTACATCGTCAGACCTTGACTGCCCTTGACTCCTTGCCATGTGAGAGCATCCGGACCTCCATCTCAGAGCTTCGCGGCACTTGTGGCTGCGAACTGCAACATCTCAGGGGTGCCATGAGCTCCATGGACAGTCTGCAGAGAATCCTTCTTTGGAATGCCCTGCTTTGACGGCAAACATCACCTTCGTCAGCTTCGCCTGTACCAAAAGCACGAAGCCGAAGCTGCAAATCGAAACAATCGCCGCCCCACGGCGAAAATCCTCTGTACATCATGGTGAAGCTTTCGCATAGCTGATTCTGCACATAAAAAAAGCTGCTGTTCGTTGCGCAGCTTGGCCGAAAGCCGTGCGCAAGTCACCACTGGAAGCCTAAGCGTAAGACGTAAGACTTTAAGAGTACACCCCCGAAGTGAAGTCGTCGACTTCTATCCACCAACCAAAAAAAGAAAACAACAACTCCCCTTCCACCACCCTATTGCCCTATTGCCCTATTGCCCTATCGGCCTGGCAAGCTCATGACTCTGCGCATCTCGGCGCGCGGTCACCGCTTGACGGAGCCCATCAGCGCCTCTCGCGTTTGACTCCACAGTGTAAGCATGTGTAAGCGCTGCAGTGTGTTATGTTTTGTTTGAAGCGGCGGGCGGCAAGCTCAAGGCTTCGGATGGTTTCATATGGCTTCGGCGCCCCCCCGAATGGTTCTCTGGTGTTGAGTATCGAATGTATCGAACTTCTTGCATGGCCCGACGCCTGGAATTTGCGCCTGCAGAAAGCAGCGACAGCGGGAATCGGGCCCGGCCACTTCGGGTCAAGGCCATGCTCGAGATGCTATTTTGGGGGGGTGCTCCGGAACCTCTCAGACGCTTTTTGCGGGCTTGTAACCTTGCCCTTTGTAACCTCGGACGTTGGCTTGAGGTTGCAAGGTGCCTCTTCCAGGAGCTGTTTGGCGACATCCGCCTGCAAAGAACTGGACCATCTTGGAGCTTCCGTGCCAACCTACTCTTAGTGCGAAGCTCAATCCTGGAAATACTGAGAGCAGTGCTTAGGCAATAACAGCCACGAAGTCAGTCGGGCGAAAATGAACGGATGTAGCAGTGATGTAGCAGTCACATGCGCTTCCCAAGATGAATCAAGCGTCACCATCGCCTTGGTCCAACCCCCGTGTCCTGCCTTCTTCGTGTCCGAAGCCTCACGCTGCCCTGCATCGCGAAATATGCGCGCGAGCCGGAGCAATGCCTGCAGGAAGCGATCACTGTTGTGAAGATTCTCCTCTCAGACTCTTCCAGAGCCTCTGCAACATGTGCTTACACAGCGGTCGGCCTGCGCCCGGCGCACACGCAGCTGCCAGGGGATGCTGACGTCCTTGACAACCTCGCGGGCAGAGGGCGCAAAGGGAAGTCCTGGGCAACTCGAAGGGCCAAGAACCAAAAGCGCGCCGTTTAACTAAAGCCACGGCAATGTTGCCACTATGTTACACTGAAGCCCGGCCCGGAGCCTTGCCCGAGACGTTCTTCAGAGTGGAAGTGATGTCCAGAAGGCACACGTCCCAAAGCGTCTGCAAGAAGACAGGCAACTGGCCTGTAGGTCATCGATGAGCCCGGTTGGCTGCTTGTAAGGCTTGCAAACAACAGGTCCAAACTCAAGTCATGGCTGACCTTCCAATGATTCAGCGATGTTGCTATCCATCACCTGCAGGGTAGCTGTCTGACCACAATCAAAGATGTTTCCAGATTCTGGGCTGCCCTGAAATCCCTGAAACCTTTGGGCTGACAGCGGCTGACAGTCAGGTTCTTTACCTCAAGGTGCCTTTTCAGTCCAGCTTTCATCACGGCATGTCACAATGTTTGGGCTTGGTTCAAGTTTCACACCAACGCGAAGACCAAGAAATTGCAGAGAAGGGGCGCTTGCCCCTTCCGGAACATAGCTCGCACTGAGGTTGCTCTCGCCTGCAATCATCAGACCCACTCCAGCAAATGCTCTCAACCATATATAACTGCCCTCGTGCCAGCTTGTATAAGCTTGCGTGCAGACCGGTGCAGGGCCACGACACCGAGCTAAGCACCCAACTCATTCGCCGATGGACTCTCGCAGCCAATGTGTTTGCAGCGTATGCAGCCTGTGGGAGAGACCACTCAAAGCTAGGCGATGTCGACGCCGAGGCGTCCAACAAAACTGAAGCTTAGATCCTTAGATCCGACATGATCCGACTCTCCCGATCATCCTGAAGCGTGAACGTCGCGATCGCAAGATGAATTCTCGAAGCCGCCATGAACCCACGGCCTTGGCCAGGCTCAGGCCAGCCGAGGTCTTCAGCTGGGCATCCTCCGGCTGTCAGTCAGTTTTCTCTTTTGCTCAGGGAGCAAGCAATTTGGTCGGAACCGCACGAGAGGTTTCCGTATACTTTCATTCTACCCTCTCTTCTTCTTCTTCTTCTTCTTACTCTGATGTGTCTTGTTACTTTTCGTCTTGGATTTCGTCTGCTTGTTGTTCTTCTCCCAAATGTGTGCTCCAGGCGACTGGCTGCTGGTGTGCGGTGATTGCGATTGGTTGAGTGGCTGCTAGTGTCTCGCCCCGTAGCAAACCAAGACTGAAAACACAGAAGTTTCCCTGTTGCAGAATGCCTTGAAGAAGTGCCGGCAGCAACACGTTGACGAGCACTGACAGATCTTTCCAGAGGACAGGCAGCGATTGGACGTGCTCTTGTCCTGGAAGCCATGGCTCCAGCGGGAGAGCTGCGACTCCAGCGTGAGCGGGCCATACAGGCCTGGGAAGACTTGAGCTGGGTCGGGAGTAGTCGGCAGGACAATTTGCTGCGTTTGGTGGGCTGGCTCGTTTAGACCATCACGGCTACCCCCAGGCTACGGAATCCGGAGCCTTCTACTCACACGTAAAAGGAGCGAGGTGGATCGCGTACTGGGCCATGCCGCTACTTGGGTCGCCGGCTCGAGAGGTAATCCTCCGCGGTGCTCTGGTAGGCCTGGCTGATCGCCTTGAGGAGCCTGCGGGACACAGCATGGAAGAAGGGCCTTTGGCTGCCCAAAGAACAAATTTTAACAGCTGGAAGAAGCAACATTGGGCTCCCACTCACAAGTGGTGGGACACATCCTAATCGGCCAGCCTCCCACCGAAAGCGCACTGATTGAGGCTGCTGGCCTTGCCAGGGGCACTGACATGACCTATGCTGGTGAACTAAGCCTGTGGATCATGAACCGCCGCAAGGTGGTGCGGCGCGCATGATCTTACGCAGTCCTCAACTTGCGCGCAAATGGCTACTCTGCTCCTAATGTTTCGTGCAGATTCACCTCCTCCGAACTTTGTCGGACAAAACTGCGGCCATCACGTTGGACGGCCCACCTCGGAAGGCATGCTCGAGGCTGACATGCCAAGCCTAAACAGGCTTGATCTGCAGGCGTATTGCATCAGAGACACACGTCTACGAGACGTCGCAAATGACGCGCGCAGCGCACCTGTTCTCAACCGCAGTCAAGAGCCAGTCTAGTTGGTGCAAGGAATTACTTCCGGGATGCATTGTTTTTGTGTTTACAGTCAATTTCGGAGAGCTGCGCAAACGCCCGGCACACATCCGCAAGTTACTTGCGGCAAGTACGGAATGACGACTCTGCCCGCCCGTGCCCGCCTCGCGCAGGTGCTGGCGCAGTGGCATTTGTCGGTCGCACCTGTTCAGGACAATCCGAGTTTTTGCATTCACGGAAGAGCTCTCCTCCCGAATGGAGACTGAAACTTTGTTGGGATTGTCGATGCGTGAAAATGGCACCATATGGGGCCTGCTTCTCACGCCTTCCTCAGCTGTGCTTTGTCGCTGAAGCTCTTTGGCCAGCCTTGGGATGAGGTCCAACTCCAGGCCCATGAGCCACATTGCTGATAGTCACTTGCATCGAGAGGCATGTCCAGCGTTGGTGTGACCTACGCCACGCCTGGAAAGAAGGCCAGCCGAGTGGCTGGTTCGTCTGCATGGCCAAGTACAACTTGCCAATGTACTTTTCGCCTCAACCCGACTGAAAAGACTACAAACATGACAAAGCGAGGCGCGCACAAGCTCCATGGAACAATGCTGAGCAGCAATATGACAAGCATAAGCAACCCAGCAACAATGCTCCGAGCCGAAGAGGATGCCGAAGAACAGGATAGGGTCAATTGAAGGCAGCTCTGCCTCTAAACTTCTCAGCACTTGCTTCAGATTGTGCTTCAGACTGTGTTTCAGCTTTGAGGTGCCTGTTGGAATATTTGCCATGAACGGGCCTCCTTGGTCGCCTCTTCCCCTATTTGGTCGTATCTCTCACGCAACCTCGCATAGAGCATAAGCCAGGGCATGCAACTGAGTCCTCTTACTACCACGCCTTAATCTGCATGCCTTAGCTTACCTCACGAGCACACCTGCGAGCTCCAGCCAGGCGACTGTGGGTCGCTGAGCACTCGGTACGCAGCCGAAAGCTGCTGGAACTTTGCGTGTGCTTCCTCGTCCCCAGGGTTCTTGTCCTTAGTCAGTGAAAAGCTGACACAGACACAGACACAGACACAGAGACAGAGACAGAGACAGAGACAGAGACAGAGACAGAGACAGAGACAGAGACAGAGACAGAGACACACACACACACACAGACTCTGGCACGGCAGATGAAGTTCTTGAGACCTCTGCCAACAAAGGCCTACTCTGCCAGCCGATTGCGACAGTATGCTATAGAACACCACTATGTACAAGCAAGTTGCTAATTATGCTGATGAAGCACCGTAAAAAGACGATAGTTCCCAATATGAGAAGTCTGGCCGAAGGAAGGATTCAACTCAAGACCCTTTAAGAAACTAAGACTCAGTTGACCTCATTGGACCTGGGGCGCAAAGATTCCTCAGAGCGCCAAGCCACTGGATGAACTTGCAATGCGGCTTTGTAGTAGGCCTTCTTGATGTCCATAGGCAGAGACCCAGGCTTTACGCCGATGATGTCGTAGTAGGACGAGTCCTTGCGCTGGCTTGGTCGTTCTGGGTGCTTCCTAAAAATAAGCGGCACGCCGAATATACCCCCCCAAAATACTAGAAATAACCGTGATACAAACCCCAAAAACACAGGACCTCACGTTGCCCAAAAAAAATCACAACTCTCAAGCCAAGGAGCTGCCACCTCCTTCTTGTAGGCGCCGCCGAACAGCGGCGAGTCCTCCTCCTGAGCTGCGGAATGCTTTGCGGACGTTTTTGAGACCGGAACGATGCGCAACGCCCTCCTGTCATTCTGGCCAAGCGGCTGACTCGCACTCCTCGGGGGCCTTGTCAGCCTGGAAAAGCTTCAGATGCTCTCTCTTTTGTACGGCAACTAGACAGCGGCCAACATGAGGTGAGCAAACAATGCCCTGCAGCATCACTCGCAAGCGCCTGGAGCGCTAAAGCTCAAGTTCGGTCAAAGCGCAGCTGCTCAACAAATTTATAGATTCAGTGCCACAGCGCCCTGGCATGACCTAACATGCGCTGTTGGTCTCGGGCGAAAGGCCCGGCTTGTGCCGCACAATCTTGGCGGTCGCCTGCGCCTCCTCTTCTTGAAGGTTAACAAAGTCGTCCACCCACTTGCCGCAGGTGCCTGGGAGGATGTGGGCTTGTGCTCATGTTTCAGACACTGCCTTGCCTAACGGGCAAGGCACCAATGCAATGGAGAGGCTGTCCCATCTAGTTCCGTCTTGCCGCATCAGGGCCTGCACTACTGCGGTATGCTGCGGTTCCTGCATGATGCCCATGCTCGCAAAAAAAATGTGCAGCCCACCTCCGGTGTGTTCAGCACGCCTCTGGCCACCTTCGACTGCGGACTGAGTCAAAGCCCATTCACTTCTCATCCCCCCACTCCTTCTTTGCCCTCAGGACTCTTTGAAACCTAGGAAGGGAGCGTACCTGCGCGGCGCAGGCCGCCGTGCCGCACACGGCCAGGCCCAGGGCCGCGGCACTGCCTTGGGCTAAGCCCAGGACCTGGCATTTGTGTCCACCGTCAACGGGTATGTTTGCTTCGTGTCGCACTTCGTGTCGGCTTCGTCTAGCTTCCTCCACTTTTTTCTTACTTGGGTTCAAGATTCCGACTTTCTCCCTTCGTGAAACACCGTGTCGCAGGATGCTGTGCTGCCCGCTGCCCTGGCCACTGCTCTGTGCTGTCCAGGAGCGAATCCAGGCATGCCACCCTGGACAGCCATTGGCAAACTTGCACTGTCTTAAGACTTTGTGCGCGTGCCTTCATGAAAGCTGCTCTGCTGATGTGTCGACGTCCGGCCTCGGAGAGGCCCACAGCAGGCGCAGCTACCAGCGCAGCGCCGCCTGCAGCGAAGCCGACAGAGGCGGCGGTGAGGCCTGAGCTCAGCCCGAGGGTCCGGAGAGGTCGTCGGTGCAGCCATCACGGAAGGATACGGGAGGCTTAAGGCTTCCAGGGATTTGGCATGATTTGACACAATGGGGACTTAACCATGAAAGTGGAGCTTGCGTGCGTCTTAGCCTTGAAACCTTTGGGGGGACTCTTCGCGCCAAGGGGCCGCTCCCCACGCCGTCGATAAGGTCCCTGGGACGGGTGACGTCCATGAAACCTCACCCCACATCGGATCTCCCACCAAAGTCGTAAGGGTGCTGTGGGTGCTTTGACTCTGGCACAAGGCGTTCAAGGCCGTGGTTGTGTTTCAATTTCCAGCAACTGTCAAAACTCAGGCTACAAGGTGCGGTTTAGGGTTAAGGTCTCCGGCCTGAGGTACGGCCTGAGACCTTACCCATCACAATCCTTAAACCATCAACGAGCGGCTGGGAGCTGCGGGCTCTGGATCCTCAGCACGTGCTTGGGCCTGGGCCGAGCAGGCTGGAGAGTTTAACAGAAATCAGGAATACTGTCTCCAATACTGATGCTGCACACATCTTCACGCTCACACCAACACTTAAGAGTTTTCGCTATGGTGCCTTCTGCTACTTGCAACGCTTGGCCGACCAGAGATGCTTTGCTGTTGCACTGCCGTTCGAATGCAGCCCGCGCTGCCTCCCGCACGGCCAGTGCGCCGTGCTCTGCCTCCACCGGCTCAGGTGGCCTGGAACGAAGGTTCTGTGGCGCTTTCGTGGCTCCTTGGGTACCAGGACCTGGAACTCTGGGAGTGTGTTGTAGCATCATGAACAGTACGAGCTGCAAGCAGGTGATGCAAAAACAAGCATTCCGTATCCGACGCATGCAGGAAGACGAAAACAGCTTGAAAAGTACAGAGGGGCTTCTTGGAATTCTTGGGCAGCCTGATGGTGGCCGTGGTGGCCCGTGGCAAAGCTTCTGGCAGCGTGACCTGGGAGAGTCTTTTTGCTTGGGGGGCAATGCTTTTGGCTCTCCTGCTGTGGTACGAAGATGTATGAAGCTGTAAGAGCTGTGGCTCTGGAGAAGGATGTACTCAAGGCCACAGTGACAGGCCTTGAGCCGCAAGATTGGACCGCGCTCCAGGACCCGCCAGCAGCAGCCGTGCCTGACGGTCGGGGCATGTCCCGGCTGCATCCGGCTTCCACAACACAAGAACTTAGAGCAGCAGCTGGGTAGTCGTGAAAATGAGCATCGCCGAAATATCGCTATGCTCCCACATTCTCCCACGCGCGCGACTCTCCGTAACCAGCCGGCTCCCGAAAAAAAAACTCAAGAGGTTAGCTTGTGGTTTCTTACGGTTTCCTCAGCCGTGCCTGTTGCACTCGCTGCCGTTGACAGGACGGACCTTCGAGCCAGGCTTGATTGCTTCGCGGGCAGGCTTGCATCAATCTTCATGCTCTGCTTCTTGCTTTGATCTGAGCTGCAGATTCACTGTAGATTGCTGAGATTGCTGAGATTGCTGAGATTACTGAATTGCGCGTCTGGCGCTGGCCTTGCACCATTCGTTGTGGAGCTCCTCAGGTGGAGCTCCGAGGAAGGCATCAAACGCTGCCTGCTCTCGAAAACACGTTTGGGGCATCGCAACAGTCCATGTCAAGCCAACCACATGAAGATAGTGAGGCGTCAACACACACCGGATCGCAGGGCAGTAGCTCAGACGCACAAGGAAAGAAGTCCGGCTTACTCCCAACTTGCTTCGGCTGCCTCGCTGGCTATGGGATGGGAGAACACCAGGCTGAGGTACACGTCGAAGCGTGCCTGGAGGTCGGGCAGGTAGGGCAGTGTCCGGGTAGTTGCTTCGACTGTCGAGCTGAACTCGCTCAGATTTGGACTGTAGCAGAAGCAGCTGGACGCAATTCGCACAGCCAAGGCCTCGTTGACATACCAGAAGAGGCCACTGACCCCCGAGATGAAGTCAGAGCTACCTTAACGGCTTCTGCCCACAAACCGTCGTGGAGTCAGAAGATTTAGCCCAAGAAGTAGCGTATAGCCAAGAAGCAGAGTTTCAGGGTTGTTGTGGTGCCCGGCGGCAGGCAGTCCACAGCACCATCCACCCAGCTGCCATGCTTGAACCAGTCGTTGTCGAAAAGGAAGGACTCTGACGACCTGAGAGAGGCATACCACCAAAAAAACAGCAGAAACTCCGGGCACTCTCATCAGCCCTCCCCTGGACTCCGTTGAGACCCTCGTTGAGCCCAAAGCTGGTTTTCGATTTCGACCTCCAGGCGGCGCTCCGTCATGCGGACGCTCTTCCTCTCGAATGCGGCGGCATGAGCTACAAATGAACTACCTACAAATATGGCAACCACCTGCCGTGGCAAAATGTCTCGTGCATGCCGTTGCCGAGCAACAATGCATGCTCATAAGATTCCGGAAAAAGGTACGACAGCAAGATTGCAACGCACCAGAGCTGCAAATACCTGCCACAACCTCGGGAGCAGAAATCTTGCTCCTGCCAAGACTAGTGGCGGCAGCCCCATCTTTGCCCGACGTAGCGCACCTCGGCTTGCAGTTTTAGGCATCAGCACGCTGGGGAGTCTCAGACACCAACTTGCCAAGGAACCACGCGGCGGTGGTCAGCGCAGAGGAGAAATCGTCAGAAAGGCCTGGGAGTTCTGGCTCTTGTGCCCAAAACAAAACCGCAAACGACTCTCTGTCTGCAAAGGCACGCTTGAGCTTGCTCGGAAGCAGCACGCAGCGTATCACCGCCATGTCCTGCAGACAAGAGTGGTACAAATCGTGCGCAACTCAAGCCGGCCAGAGCAGGAACGGCTCCTGGACTCCAACATCGAGGACTTCCCAGGTGCCTTGCAGATCAACACAGCAAGTTGCTCTTACCAACACAGAGCTTCTCCTCTGCTGACGCTCAATCTTAGTCCAGCTGCACCCCTCGGCACGGGTGAGACCGTGGTCTGCAGGTTGCAGCGGCGGCGCATTCCTCTGAAAATGCGCGAAACTCTGTCCCATTGTCTTGCAAGCCACTCTCCAAATCTCTCCAACGTTGCACGCAAACAATGCAACATGACGAATTAATAGAGCATGCTGTACTCTATGTGCCAAGGCTCTCCAACAAGTTGGCCGGATCTCGCAACCTGAGCCAAGAAACGGTGCAGACAATCTAGATCAGTCTTTTTAGATCAATGGAAGTAGTGAAGGACACACATCAAAAAAAAAGAAACAAGCTCCACCAAGATCTGACATTGGAGCTGCCGCCATGGTACCCATGGTCGGCACCGAAGCGAGCAGTGAAGCAGCACGAGCCCAGCAAGGGGTACGACACCTCAAACTTCAAAGCAAGGATCAAGATTCTATAAAGGATCAGTTCAGAGGTTAAGATGGCGAAGGCCAAAATCCGCCGAGGCCTCGGGCCGAAGGTGTATAGGTTGTCAGAACAGGCACCCCCCTCCAAATCCTCCCCCCAAGCCCAAGCCACTTTTCGGCCGCTTTAAATGGGTACCCCCCCTGGGAGAGGAGGGTCCGCAAGCGGATGTCTCGCCAGGACCAGAGGCAGTTGCAGCCCATCCCAGCAGGGCCCCCCCCGTTTTTCGCTTCCTCCACCCCTCCCCCCCCCTCCCCCCCCACCAACCCCCCCCCCCTACCCCCCCGCCGACCCCCCCCCCTACCCCCCCTCACCAGGACCAGAGGCAGTTGAAGCCCCTTTCCAGCAGGACCCCCCACCCCCCCCCCCCCCACCCCCCCCCCCCCCCCCCACCCCCCGCACCCCCCACCCCACCCCCCCCCCCCACCCCCCCCCCTCCCCCCCCCACCCCCCACCCACCTCCCCCCCCACCCCCCACCTCTGCCGAAGAGTCGCCTTAAACCTTAAGGGGCCTGGCTCAACCCTACGATCACTCCAAGCCGAACCCTAAACCCAAAAAAACCCTCAACCCCAAAGCGTGAACCTTGAGCCCTAAACTAACCCTCAACCCCAAACCCCAAACCATAAACCATAAACCATAAACCCGGAACCCTCAACCCTCAACCCTCAACCCAACCCTTATTGCTTGGGGTCCAGCGACTTGGGCGCTGCGGAATCACCATGCTCACGCGGATGCGCTGGGCCGGGCCGAGGCGGGTCGCGTAGCGTTAAAATTATTCTTCCCAGGCCACCGAAACCTCCACTGCATAAGTGTCTTCGGATTGTGGGGCCCCTCTGGCCAACTACTCTTTGGAACGCTGGCAGCACCAAGCGCTCCGTCACCTGAAGATTCTTTGGAGTGGCCTGGGAGCCATGCCACAATAGATGACCCTCTCCCAATGCTGGCAGGCGGCAACAATACATAAAAATTGCGAGTGGTCGCTGCTGCGAAAGGTAACCTCGACTTCAATAACGTGCGACGCCAGTGTCGTATCTGAGTCCCATCGCAGTTCGGCGATACCCGTAACATGCCAGTGCGGTCGAGATTCATAGCCTGATAGGCCAGATATCCAGCTATTGCTTTCTAGCTCGATGCAGGCATCCTCGTCAGCGTGAAGGTGAGGAGTGCGGGGCGGTGGGCATGAGTACTGCATACATAACATGGTGCATGCTAAATCCCATCCTCGCCAACCTCCTCCAAGCGAGGGCCGACCTGTCATGGCTAGGAAGAACACATGAATGCTTTGGCAGCTCCACAGAAGCCCATAATGTCTCTCCCTATCTCTTCTTTGGGGCATGGAGCAGGGCTCCGCGCCGGAGCGCGCCCCCATCTGTATGGTCTGAGTCCCTATCTCCCTATCTCCCTATCTCTCTCTCTCTCTCTCTCTCTCTCTCCACACGCTAGGCCCTCCCAGAAGGGGACACAACAAACCGAAGGTAGATACCAGGCCTGACATTCCACTTCCCTCGTCAGCAACAGGTCCAATCAGAGCAAGAGCAAGCGACACTCTTGATCATGTTTGCATATGCTTGTGTGTATATATATATACAAATCCGCCGAGGCCTCGGGCCGAAGGTGTATAGGTTGTGAGAACACGCACCCCCTCCCCATCCTCCCCCCACACCCCCCCCTACCCCCACCCTACCCCCCCCGACCCCACCCCTACCCCCCCCCTCCCGCCCCGCTGGCCCCCCCACCCCCCTTTACGACTCAAGCGCTGCGGAATCACCATGCTCCGCTGGGCCGGGCAGAGGCGGGTCGCGTAGCGTTAAAATTATGTGTATGATGCCATCTATTTTGGTAACGTGCAGGCACAAGGCTGAGCGCATCGATCCACAATCTACAAAAACACATACATACATACATACATACATACATACATACATACATACATACATACATACATACATACATACATACATACATACATACATACATACATACATACATACATACATACATACATACATACATACATACATATATACATATATACATATACACATATACACATATACACATATACACATATACACATATACATATGCATATACATATACATATACACATAATACGAAGCTACTTGTAGGTCTAAACATGTCTCGAATCTGCTGACAAGGCAGAGTCACCTCACCGCATCTTGCATTTCACTCCTGGTTGTTTGTGGGTGCTCTGTGCTCTTTCAGCGACCCAAGCTCATTCGGATCACATCCTCAAGATTCCTCAAGAACAAGGGCACCCAAAGCGACACCAACAGCGGAGAGGCCACCCAGCCACCCGAGTTGAAAAACTCCCCGGCAAATGTCAGCAATGACCATCGCGAACCTTCAGCAAGTAGCTGGGATGCTTCGAGGTTGGTCAGATGCGACGCTGCGGCCAGGTCTGTCTCTGGACAAGGCGCAATTGATGACTTGAATGTGGACCTTTCGCCGGAAGAGGGCATCCATCGCCTGAGATGTTGAGATGTTGAGATGCTTAACTCCCAGCTAGACCCTGGACTCGCTGGCGCTCGGCCTCATTGCAGAGCTTGGGATCGCTTCCCAAAACTCAGCAAGGCGGTGGTGCAAGGCGCTGCAGAGCCAACACGGCCACAAGGCATCCACGGAGCCGTTCCCCTTCGCGGAAGAAACAACAAGACTCCACTTTTAAGATCTTTCAAGGCTGTTCCTCGACTCACTTCCAGAGTAAGAAAAACAGCTCTCAGCAGTACACATGTGATCTGTTGGCGCTGAGTCCCCGGGACAGTAAAGCCGTCGTCCGTAGGAGCCACACCCGTTTCCTGCGGCAAACAAGGCATGTCTGGGCAACGCCATGAGAACTGTCCCTTCTTCGGCTGTCTCCTGCACACTGGTGCCAAGGAGCCGGTTGATGAAGGTGGACCTGCCAGGCACGCTGCCCACCTTTTTGAGGGCCGACGGTGAATGCGGGCTTCGCATGACTGAGGCTGTTGTTTCACCTTGTCCTGGGTCCAACAATGACTTTCAGGTCTTGGCTTCCGGCTTTCCAGCAGAGTGGTTCCCCACCTCATGTCGTGAAGAGTCTGCATTTTTCTATAGTATGATCCTAGGCCCTCATTCAGCCAGCCACTGGGTGGGCGCTCGGAATATCAGTGCTTCTCAAGAGCATGGCGCGGGGGGCGCCGGCAGCACTTTCATTGCCGTTTCTACTCATTGCGAGTTAGACCTACACTGGCACTACTATGCGTTAGACCGTTAGACTGCACATCACCGACAGCTACGCATACAAAGGCACTCACGATATCATCAAAGGCACCACCAGGACCATCGGTGTGAAGGGGAAGGCCAGCAAGTCGTGCTCGAACGGTTTGCCTGCCAAAGCCGCTTCGTGGCTCTTCTCCCATGGAGCCGAAGAGATCTAGGGGAGGTAAAGGGCACCAAATTCGGGGTTCTCACGATTCTGCCGACGGCGCAGTTACGCCCAATGTTCGGATTCTCTTCCATCTCAAGCCAGCACTGGCTGCATTTCAAAAAAATTGCCCTTGCTGCATGCAGTTCTCATAGACATGCAACCTACTATTTGAAGTAAGCGAGACAAGCTTGTAGCCATGTTCCTGCTGCCAACTCGCGCATCATTGCTTTGAAACCCGTTGTTGCACATGTCAATACAGTATCACATCTTGTTGTACTTTACGGACCTTAAGGTATGTTGCACAAGCACTTAGAGAGGTATGGAATCAGGTGTTGGTCTGTATTCATTTGGGTTTCAGAAGAAGTTGAAGTTAGCCCTCGCAGCGATTACGTAGCAAGCGAAGGGGTGTTTTGATTTGCAAATTGATGTCATCAGGCTTTTGGGGCAACTGGCTAATTACGACTCCCGGTTGAATCACCATCTGGACAGGAATTAACTTAACTTATTGTGCTAAAACTTCCAAAGCATCAGCACATGCTTAATCTCGTTCTGCCTGCATCCGAAGAAGCCTCATCCAACACGGTATTCTTTCATGATGGTATGTGTGCAACTGCGTTATTTGCTTCTTCCAAGTGGGTCCCAGTGCTTGCGTCTTCTCAGGCCGCTTTTGAACGCCACGTTGGCCCCGGGCTTGTCAAGGCGACAGGGGTCGGGAGCCATAAGGAGGCCCTAGGGGGCCCCCAAAAGGCGTAACAGGGGAGACCCAGCGCCCAAGGCCTTCGGCCCGAGAGGTATATCAAACATTCGTTGAGTTTTGGTTTTTTGGGGCTCTCTTCTGGCATCAAACACATCCCAAGCCCTCGCCTGGCAGCCGAGCATCCAAGGGCCGAATGATCTCGTCCTGGTGCAAATTGGTGCGAGGCATGGCCCTGAAACCTTGTCTGGTGGGCTCCCTCTGGGGCTGGGGCCTGTAGCCAGGTGACGACTCGTGTAAGCTCGGCCAGGGGATCCTGTGCGCCGCCGCGCACAATCCATCGCGAAAGGCCTCCCTAAACCTAAGCCTGCGCTGCTGGACATCAGGATCATTCAGGAACAACCGACCAACAAATCCATTGTTTCTTCTGGGCAGCTTGTTTGGGCTGCCTGGCCTCCACTGTTTCGCCGTTTGCGAGGTCCTGAAGTATGCTGGGTAGTCTCCAGATATTCTTGCGATTGTGTCGGTTAGTGCAAGTCTTTGTTTCAAGGGGTTTTGATTGAGGTATTGATGTGGGGTTCTCAACTATGGTGCGCTGCCATTCTGGCGCCCCTCCACACGCCTGAGCGAAGGATGTCCGCCGTCCGACTTCTTTGGTTCAGCGCGTTGCAAGAAACCCGTCCTTGAGAATGAAGGGCCGCTTCAACGTTCTCGCACTTTGGCTCCTTCGGATGAGAAGTGCCAAGCACCACAGCAGAACATAGCCAAGAGACATGAATAAAGTGCAAAGCCGAGCAGAAGTTCTTGCACGTTCTGCCTTTCTTGCACGGGGTTTTGGGCGGGGCAAAGAGGAGCGGGGTCCAGCAAAAACTCCTCTGGCGGATATCCTTACAAAAGTTCCTGTAGCGTCCAAGGGAGGTCTGAGGGGCGGCTTTTCATCGTGATTAAGGTCTGCACAGGGGCACGCGGGGTTTCCAAAAGACTAAAGGGTTCCGAGGAGATTTGCGCTTGGAACTTATACGGACTTCCACTTTTGAAGGCCACATGCTCATCGATGGGTCTTGGGGGGACTTGGGGCTTGTCCTTTCCCTTCTTTACCCGGTGCGGAACCAGAGAAATCTCTACGCCAATTATTCCACCTGAAACATCACAAGCCCGAAAGTCCGAGCATTACCAGGGCGCGGAGGAGACGTTCTTAAAGGTGTCGTGCCTCCAACGCCAGAGGAGGCCCCCAAGCCCTGCGAAGGTGGCGATGCCCAGGGCCTTTGGGCCGGTGCCGGGGGGGGGGCGGGGGGGGTGGGGGGTGGGGGGAGCGGGCACTGGGTCACTGGGGTTAGTGTGCACCTTCAGCTTCAGGCACGGCTCAGACAAGCTACCGTCGGCTCCCTTAAGCCCCTGGCATCCCACATCCTGCGACCCTCACAAATACGAGAACCTTGCAACTCTGCGTGTTCGAGGTCCCCACCGCGCCAGCTGCCTCTGGGCTTGGGAAACTGTTGATCGCTTGGGGAATTGGGAGGATGTTGGGGAAGAGTGAGTTCAGAGGGTTCAGAGTTTGTTCCAGGGCCCCAACCTTCCGCTGGTCCTCCGGGAGCTTGTCTAGAAACCTCGGTGCCGCGCTTGTGGTTGTGGTCTTTCAATCCCCTACAACCAGCTTCACAGTTTCGCATGTAAGTGACCGACTCCATGGCCGGGAGCAGCTCTTGCAAAGTACTATCACAGGTACTATCATGTACTAGCACTACGGCTCTAAGATGAGACTCTTGGCCTCATGCCACCTGTGTCTCTGGCTGCTGACCCTGATTTTAGGAAACTGCGTTCGTGCCACATGGACCCAAATAACAGTCACACCTTAGACAGCCTTGACCTAGTCCTCTAACTCAAATACGCGGTCGGCTACAGCTGCGCCGCAACACCATCTGAATCGCCATGTGTGCGTCCTGTTCTTTCCGTTCTAAGCCAATGGCCCTGTGCGGCTCTGTGTCAGGTCGGTGAAGGCTTGGGCTTTGCACGACGTCGATGATACAAGGGTGGTTTCGTGTGTAGGTGTGTCTGTGTGTGTGTGTGTATAGGTGTAGTGTGGGATTCTGAATGAGAGTCTTGGCTTTTCTTGCAGATGCGAGGTGGAAAGCTTGTCTGGAGATAAGGCTTGCTCACGGTTTCTTTAAGTGCTCACAACGCGGTTCGGGGTTTCGTTCAGGGTTTACAGGGTTCACGGTTCGAGGAGGTGTTCAGGGTTGGAGGGATTGCATAGTTAACACGCTCAGGCCTTAAAGTGGAGGACTTGGATGTAGAGCCGGTAGGGGCACGTACAATTTTGGCTGTGCCAGCTCAGATGTGGCAACCGACGAAGAGGCTTCTTGCCCCGCGCTGTGTCTGCTTCACAGACAACATGCATGAACTAAATTAGTCCTGGCATGCAGGACAGCTAACTATGGCGCAGTTGCTTTGCCGCGCAGATGGCTCTTCTCGCCTCCCTGAGTCTTTCAAGGACATTGCGTTCTTCCGAATCAAAAAGTTCGTGGCCGGCTAGCCGGTGGCTTGTACAGCCTCAGACAGGAAAGCTGATAGAAAGCTGCATATGGCTTGCCGGGTACTTCAAGAACACAGATCTGCAACTGGGTCTGAAGGGGTGAAGCCAAAGCCTGGACAAGTTCTGAGCATTGCTGCCTTTGAAACATGAGACAGATCAGGTTTGATCAAGGCACCTGAAACGATCAACAAGCAACACCTGCTCAGGCCGTAGTTTGTGACGGGGCCCCGCACCGTGCAGTGACCGCAGCATGTTTGGCGGACTGGGCGGGGCTCGTGTAGAGTCGACAATCGATCCTATGTCTTGGATCGCTAGTCAAAAGCCCCTACAAAATTGTATAACTTCGCGCGCCTACAGATTAACTATTCTTATGTGGCTTTCTAGTGAAGGAAGTAGCTGCTGAAAAGTTGGACAGGAACCCACTCTCCAATCCACCTAACTCTCATAGCTGGTCTAGCCGTTCCCTTGGAATCACTCCCTTCTTCACCACACCTTTACCATCCAGGTTGCCAATCACCGGAAGTCAACGCGATACTCCTTCCGAGCGGCCATCGGACGCCGCGGTCGCTCGTGCTTGCCGCCGCTCCGCCTGCCCTGAATCAAGTTGCGTTGAGTGAGCTGCAGGATTCATGGTGATTGGCGGAAGGCCAATCGAACACTTGAACCTCTGGACTTTCGGCACATGTCGAGATGTCTGCTAGCACGAACTCCATCCTGGGCACATCTCAAAAGGCGCAGACGCATCTGTGCTGGTAGACGGTGTCTTTGTACTGCCGAACATCGGTCTCGTACCTGAAAGCATCTGTGGCTCAGAATTGAACGTCTTAGAGTCCTATGCTGGAAGGATTCAGTTTCTTTTTGCGAAGGCAAGCACGCCATCAGAGATTCACCGAAGACGAGGTGACGAGGTCCGCACTCAGCCCATGGAGAACGGGCGTGGTCCGCAAATGCCCTGTCGCGAGATGGTTGGAAAGATGGTTGCCACGGGCCAGAACCCAAGCACTGCAAGCACCGCATCAGCCTGCCTCTTAAGTACTTCTTAGACTACCGTGGCGACAGCTCCTGCTGCGGAGACTCGACAAACCGTCTCAAGCCCTGGATTTCTGAGATTGTGCCGACTGTATCATGTTGTGATGGTAACAGAATGTAACAGAGTGAAGACCGGCACGTCCTAGTCTGCGCAAGGATGGCACGTCATCTTATCAGGAGATGGCATGGCTGCACAAGGCTGACATGTAGGCTTGGATGGCTCAAGAGTACAAACCACGAAGTGCTTGTGATCTAGATCCCTTGGCGTAGATTCTCATTTGCTCAGGGGCTTGAAAGGACTAGAGGGAGGGAAAGTCCGTTTGCAGGCCGAGGCACTTCAGGATGTGGCCAGGAGTGGATTCCGGAAATTAAGGATATGTGAACTACGATGCGCTAGCTGATGCCACAGCTTTGTCATTCGCACTCTAGGCACCCGGACAATCACGCACACCTCCCCCATCCTCCCCCATCCTCCCCCACTCTCATGCGACCTGCAGCCGCCTTCCAGACGAGCTCCCGCTGGACCCCTGCCGAGGCAAAGGGCAAGGTACGCGACAACCATAGTTTCGTGTGATCAAAACATGCAAAGTCCTATTCAAAATGCATCTTTCGGGATTCATGAAAGTTGAGTTCACACCAATGTCCGAAAGATGGAAACCCTGGAAGACCATTTTCACGGTATGGACCATGATCCAGCCCCTGGCGTGCGCACGCAAAAGGCTCTCGTAAGATTCCTGCAAGATGCTGAGAAGAGCGCACACATGCGTACATACCATGTAACCCCAACCTTCTAGACGCCCTGTGGCCAACAGCCTCGGTAGCGCCACTCCCTGGAAGAGTCCTGCAGACCTCTCCGTGTGGAAGAGCTGGTCCTGGCGCAGATCGGCTCGGGGAACGAGAGAGTCTTAGACTGAATTCCAGGATCCGGGAATCGAAAGGTCAAGAAAGTCAGGGTCCCACGGCCTGGGAGCCAGAGAGCACAAGAAAGCAGACCGGCAACGGCCAATCAAATCAACAAAGCTCAGCAAAATATCCGCGGTAGTCTTCTCACCCTCACAAGTCAGATCTGCGCCGAAGCTGCAGATCGCGAGCGGCTGCGCCAAGTAAGACAGCATCGGAGATGGAAACGTATGCGAAGGAGTCGAGGTGAAGGTATTGTTGCCAGGAATCAGAGCCACAAGTTCGGGTGCACGATGGCGTCAGGCTCGGTGGCCAAAGGTGGACATCGGCGCGCTTGCTGTCGACATTGTGGTTCTTCTACTCTTGCTTGCTGCAGCGTGCCACGATGGCCTGAGTGTGCGGTTGCCTGCGTGCATGCCGTCTAGAAACTGCATGTGTTAACACCTCAACCACCGAAGGCTCGACAGAACACCTTCGAATAAGTCGGTCCTTGCCTTCACTTCCTGACAACCGTTCAGCCGTTTGAGTCAAAAAGCCAACACAAATTGTCTTGACATCGAAGGGGTCTTCCGCTGGTACGTCGGCAGATGCCACCAGAGGAGGAAAAGAGTTGCATCTTCTGTTGAGACATGTTTGGGGTATGGTACGGTATGTTGGGGTATGCTAAGTTGAACGAACCTTCAAGCAACTAGGACACCCTCAGATGGCTTTGTCACACTTCCTAGACTACGTCCGCACTTCACTTCTGCCTCTTCCGTGCCTGAGACATTGAGCCAACCACTGAAGAAGACCCAAAGCCGCACAGGTTCTCATTGTCCAAGAACTGTACACCGCCACATCTCAACATCTCCTAACCTCAACGAGAATTCACATGTCGCCCTTTGGCAGATCCTTCTGTGCCTCTGTGCTCCGCATCGCCTTGGATCTCCCCGGAGCAGGTGTCAAGTCTTGCAAGGCTTCCGGGCTTTCCCTACGGTTCCCTATGGTTCCCTATGGTTCCCTATGGTTCCCTATGGTTCCCTGCGGTTCCCTATGGTTCCCTATGGTTCCCTGTGGTTCCCTATGGTTCCCTATGGTTCGCTATGGATCCCTAGCGGTTCCCTCTGCGTAATCCATGACCCCGGGGGAGATGTCATGCCGTGGCCTAGGAGACGGCTGCAAACTTCAGAGGGTGCCCACGCGTCAAAGCTGCTACACAAGCTCATGTGCTGTGCACAGCAAGCTGCGCGCGCATGATCGGGCATGGCATGTCTTGACTATTTGTCGGAGAACATTTATCAGGACCCAGGGCCACGTCGTCCTGGCAGTGTCTCTTCAAGCATCGGAAACATGTGGCACGCGCTGCGAGACGTCCACGAACCCTCTGCTAAAACTAGACGGAAGAGCTTGCCTTGATGCAGCTACACTGCCTATAAGAACTTTGCGAAGCAGACCGGCAACCTCTCGTTTTATTCTTTAGCATGCGGACGATCATTCGGGATGATGACGCCGTATCATCAAGTGGCTGGCTGATTCACACTTGCAGCAACATCACTAAGACACAAACCGCTCCATGAACTTGCCACATGCCAGCATGTCACGCCTCATGACTCGTTGTGCTTCGTCCAGATTGCAGCAACAAGGTATTCACAACTCGATGATGCTCATGATGCTCGCGAGGCCGGCCAAAGGCGGCTGATGCTCATGATGCTTCTGTCGCAAGTGGCATACTTCGTAACTTAAGCAAGTAATGCTATTGCAGCGACTTCTTGCTAGCAACCCAGCGGGTATCCGAGCCCGTCTACCCTTCAACATGATGCAACTTATTCTTGCTGGCAACACGGCAGCTATCCGAGCCCGACTATCTTTCACTTGTCACATCACAAAAGACCTTGCATGCACCTCATGTGAAAAGTGCCCATGGAAGGATCATTTTGTGCTGATTAAGTTGAGCTACTGAGGAAGCAGCACCTTTCACGAGTCTCCTACCACCACATTAGAACCACCAAAGTCGACAAGAACGACCCAAATGGAACAGTCAATAAGTCCTGAAGATCATATCTAGACTCGTAACCCTGGAGCCCAATAATATCTCTGAGCACAGACTGCACTCGCATGGCCAGTTTCGTGATGCTCAGAAACCTAAAAAGCCCAAACAACAGAAGCTCCTTCGCAATCCATCCCTTCGGACAGTTCCCGAAACAAGGCCGTCTGGTACATCTTCCTCGCGGTAGCCCTGCTTAGCTTGGGTGGCCAGAATTCGATGTCTTCAACTTAGGGGTGGCAACTAGTGGTTCTTCTTGCACTTCTGGCGCATCAGGAGCTCCACTCTGTGCCACCAAAGCCACCCCGACGGCTAGAGCCACGTGGGTGGAGTCGTAGGTGGGGCTGGACCTGATTTGCTGAAGATGTCATCGAAAGGCCTGTGTGCTGATCCTACCAGGCCCTACCACATCTGATGCAGCACCTCATGCCGTCTGATGCCGTGTTCCAGGCGAGGTGGCGAAAGGCGCACCGGTTGCGTCAGAACCTTTCAAAGCCCATCTCTCGGGGCCTCAGCAACAGCCCAGTCCCCTGCAAGTCTGCATAAGTTGCATCATTCCAGCTTCAGTACTGCACCATATTCTATAGACCAACCACACATGGACAGATCCACTGCACAAGACACCGGAGCTCATGCGGTGCACATCAATGATGTGCATGACACATGAAACCAAGAGGCCTACTGTCAGCCTGCTACATGCAGCTACAGTTCACCAGATTGCAAAACGTTGATGAAGATAAAATGATATGAAGACAAAACGAAAAATTGCTGTGAAAGAAACCGTGGGGGGGGGGAGAGCTGTGCGATACTTGCCCCCAAAACTTCCACAGGATTGATTTCAGGTGCAGTTTCCGAATGTGTGCTACTTTCCGTGTTTGGGGTGGTGAGCGGTGGACGGGGCCGGGGGGGGGGGGGTGTCTATCAGAAGGTGTCGATCAGAATGCTAGCTACAACTCGAAAGCCACATGCCGGAAGCAAAACATTAAAGCAAAAAGCAGCACACAAAAACGGAAAGCAAAGGTAAAAAGCAGAACGCAAACCAAGCAAAAGAGCAAGAACAGCCAACAGCAACAAAAACAAAAATCGTGTCAAAAACGAGACCTTCTTGCACAACTGCGGCAGCTACTTTGCTGCTTCCAACGCGGCATAGTTCTGCCTCAGGCTCGGGCCATCCTCCCGGACACTGTGCCGGCGTTCGAAACCTTGGCACCATCTTCTGCTACAGCGAAAGGGGCCAATCCATTCCAAAGTGTGTTTTGATTGGGGGTCCTTCTGTTGAATTAATCTCATAGAGAAGAACTTGCAAGGAGGACCCGAATTGACAGCCGCCAATGTTCACAGGCAGTCAACGATTTATGTGTGCAAGGCTGGCAAGAGCTTGCAAACCAAAACTGCCCCACAAAGACAAGCAAGAAAGGTGCCGGGGCGTTTAGGGTTCCAGGAATTGCGGTCTTGTTTGGGGCAGCTAAACAAATAAAAGGAGGACGTAGGACGTCAGCGTTGGCACCGGGGTCCGCCCCAAGCAAATGTCCCGAACAGTGCTGGACAAGCCTGTGCCAGACATGCAAAAGCCTCATTGCTCCAAGCTGACTCTGCATTCAGCCTGTGGAACATGGCATCGGGTCTGTTTTGTTCAGCTGCAAACGACGGCTCTGGCATTCTCCTCTACCAGAGCAAAAGGCTAACAAGGTGTTTGGCCAGTCGCCAACACGTAGCTTTCATCAGATCTACTCGACACGTGCTAGCACGTGCCAGATACCGCAGTCATTCCTTTCGGTGGGTGTTCTTGTTCGGTACCTATCAGACAGCTGCGCTTTTCGCTGCAACTACATGCGCTCAGTCACTCAGGCTGCTTCCTTCTTGAAGATGCAGGACGACTGAGAAGAGTCACGGAAGTGGCCTTGACATGCTCGGCACATCTACGCATGCAATACAGAAGTTTCACCAGCCCCATAAAGCCAAGGTCACACCCTGCGGCCCTGCACCTGTAGCAGATGCCCAAAAGAAACCGAAACAATCCACGAAGCCTCTCAACTCGGCACTCTCAAAGCCGCGGGGCTCTCAGTATCATCGAGGTAGCCATCCACCAACATCAGGTTGACTGTGTCGCACTTGTCGTCGAAGATGCCCCAGCACTTGTGACCCATGCGCAAGCAAGCTTCCTGGGCGCATTGCGGACTTCGGCTTGACGGCTTTATCCTGCTGAGTTAGAGTTCGTCTGCCTGCATCCAAGAGTCCCGAGCAGAGGCCATGTTGCTGTAGGTCGTGCCGCGGATCAATTTCGTCGACTGGGATGCGGCAGAAGCTCCATTGGCACAAAGGATTTAGAAGTGCAGCCACCTACAGGACAACCACAAGGCTTGCGGGCGAACGGCAGTGAGATATTTGTTCTCGATCTTGGTGTAGTTGTCCGCATATCCTGTGTCCCAGCTCGCCACAAGAAAAGCTCTACAGGGCACGAAAGGCTGGCCAGGCCAAGGTCATACGCTGATCAGCAAGCCTCAAAACGCCTCAAAAACCCCCCAAACCTGTAATGAAGACTTACATCATAAGGCACTTCCGTGCCGCCGAGCGTCCATCACATTGGGTAGGCTTGGTAGAGAGCACCTCAAAGCCACTGAAAGCTGCAGGAGGATCCCAACATCTAACAAGTCGCTCCCTCGATGTGAAAACGAGGCTCCGAAGCCCAGCATCCTCTTCGGGCTCTTCGGGTCTAAAGCGCTTCTCATAACTTCTCAAAACATGAGAACATGAAGACCGCAAGATGGAAGTGGCCCTCTTCCAGCCGAGGTGACGGTGTTGGTGGCGGATGCGCAGCAAACACCGGTTCCAACTGCCTGTCCATGCCTCTGGGAAGGGCGTGCCATGAACGGTTGGTGGGCACTGTACAGGTCAACTCAGATACTCCCAGGAGCTCAAGTCGAATATGGGGGAGGGGGGGCGGGCCCTACTTCCAGCCTTGCCTGAATCCGGGGGAAAAGGTGCTTTCTTTGCCGCGCGCGGAGGCGTGAAGGCGTGAAGGCGAGAAACGCGGGACCGGGAATGGGCGACGCGGAGTGAGACCAAACCTACAAACCGCAAAAGCCCTGAACCCGAAAAGCTCAAAGCCCAAAACCCTATGAATACAAAAAGCCCTGAAACCTAAAACCCGGAACCCCTATCAACCCCAAAGCCCGTAACCCCAAAGTCCCCAACCTACAAACCCCCAATACGACCTACTTCTACTGCTACTGCTGCTGCTGCTGCTACTGCTCCTGCTACTGCCACTAGTACTTTTCCTGGTACTGGTCCTGGTACCAGTATACTGGTCCTGGTACTGGCACGGCTACGGCTGCTGCTGGCTTCTACTACGCCGACGCAGGAATTACGAATTTTCGCATACCGTTCATTGTCGTGCGTCTCGTCCATCACTGCCTCCCTTTTTGTCACGTTCATGGAACATCAAGCCCGCCTGTTCTTCAGCACCCGCACGCCATTGGCTACGCCGGAGGCGACGCATTCAGCTGCCTCGTCCAGCTCAGCATCGGCCTTGATTGTAGAAAAGGGAAGACAAGGCACCAATACCGCCGACAACCCTGAACAACTGCTAATAGCCTAGCAGCTTCGCTGGGTCAGTGAGTGTCTTCCTCACCCCCGAATAGGGGAGAGTACAAGTGCCCGAAACTTCCAAATCAAGGCAGACAAGGTGCACAGCCACTGAATCTGAACACCTGGGACGCGCACAGTAGCTCAAAGCGCAGAGAGCATGAAAAACTTGACAGCCTTTAAAAACGACATGGAGACAACAAAATCCGTCGCTGGACCTCACCGTACTCCTGCTTGTCCACGTGATAGGTCTTCCAGACGGCAGAGGGATCCTCTTTTGGCAGCTCATGGTGCAACAGCAGCAAGACCCATAAGAAAGGACATGCACTACGCACCCACCACGGTCCACATCAGTGCGCGAGACATTGACCTCGTAGCTGCAGATTTGGGCGATTGTGGTCGTCACAGTCGTTTCGGAGCCTCAGCTGCACTCACGAAACTCTGGAAACTGCTGGACTCCTTGAAACCTGCCACGAGGCGACGGGGCCGACGCTAACAGTTTGGGTAGGGAGTCGCAATCAATGCGATTTGGGAGATCCAGGAACGCTGAAGCCGTAGCCCATGTAGAGAATGTAGAACCCCCATCCAGTGAGGAGAAAGGAGAGCCCAAAGGAACCCCACAAGGTCACAAGGTCGGGCTGCAGATGCAGATCCGAGAGGCCGAGCTTCATGCGAAGGACGCAGCTGCCAATGTTCGATTCCTTGCTGCGATTTACTTCGGCCCTGGATCAAGCAAAACTCTGCAAAATGACAAAAGTTGAATCCGGGTCGATCTGGGCGCTGAAGTACAGTGCACGCAAATGCACGCAGGTCCTACGGACCGGCGCAGCAGAAGAATGCTCGGCGTGACCCAACCAACCCCCCCAAACTCTTACAAACCCGCTTTTTAGGCGCCCCTGCCTTGACGGACTCCAGGTCCAGGCCAGGTGCCTCTTGGTTCGTTTGGTTATGCTTGGACAGTGGTAACAGGGGGTCTTTGAGCCTCTGGGTGCAGACGCCTTCTCGGGTGCATCTCAAGTCTACAAAGATCGGCTGGCGGCTTACGTTTCGGGAATGCCTGTAGTCAATGCCTGCCATGATGTGGCCCATGTGGTCCTACACCCCATGCGTTCCGGCTTTGTACCGCATGCGTTGTTGTCACGGAACCGATAACAATCCCCTCCACGAGTGCCTTGATCAGCTTGACTGGGGACTCCTCGGTCGCGCCGTCGCATTTGGTGTCGTAGATTCCAAAGCACAGCCTCAGTAACCTCTCCTCTCGTAACAGCCTCAGAAACCTCTCCTCTCGGAACATTCCGGGACTTGATGTTCAGCTTTGACACCTGCGGAAGCCTCCTTGAAACCTTCGTTCCATGTGTCTTCTCCGTGCCCGCGAAAGTTCAACTAATCCGTCAACTACTGGACCCATAGGGCCAAAAGCAGGCAACCACAAGAACTCTGCTTTCCAAGCTGCACCGAGCCCATCATCTCACAAGCCGCTTTGGCCTGATTCAGCAGGCAACGCAAGGAATTTGGAGACTGCTGTCGAAAAAAGCCTGGACTTTCAATCTCCCAATTTCGGAATCGGACCTGAAAGCTTGCCGAGTCGATTTGTCCAACTACCCTAAGCACCCGAGCCCCAATGAGGCCCAAAGAGTATCCAATGTGCATTTGGTGCCTCATCCATGGTGCCGAAGGCTGCCACGTGGCCTACAGGGCACGAGAAGCGAGGCAGTGCTGGCACAGGGCGACTGCTTTCAGGTCCAATCCGTGGCCAGTGTCAACTGCACCCCGCACAGCTTCGAAGTCATTCAGGAAACGATAAACTCTGTCTGCTGGCACAATCTTTAACTTAAGGGTTAACAGAGGTGGAGATGGATTGTGGCATTAAGCATGAGGGGCGCTTTTCCATGCTTATTGGTGTTGATCTACTTCTTCGTCCGAGCCCTCGCAATGCTTCGACGCCATCGGTCAAGCTTTGGATGCCTTGCGGACCCTGCGTTTGAAACTCCACGAAGGAGGCTCACTGCCAAAGATCGGCCAATGAGGCTCATGTTCATCCCAGTGCTTGCCGGGTGCCTGTGTCAGCATCGATCATGTAGTGCTCTTGAGTCCTTAGGTCACCCCGAGAATACACGAACGGTGCAGATGGGACAGCACTGCCCCATCAATGGCCTGCTTCCGGGATCATAGCTTTGTCATCAGGAGCACCACCACCAACACGGACACCCGAACGACAACAACACCACAATAATAACAACAACAATCACTTGTGCATCGTCATTCCAATGCCATGAAGTCTTGTCTTGGCCACCACCATCGCCAACGGAATAGGCCTCCTCCTCCTCCTCTTCCTCCTCGTAGTCCTCCTGCTCAGCTCATCACCGTCATCCTCCTCATCCGCCGCCTCATCCTCCTCGTCACTCTCCGTATCTTCCTCATCTTCCTGATCCTATAGACCATCATCATCATCATCATCATCGTCATGATTGTGTTTTTTGTCGTCACGGTCATAGCCATCGTCATCGCTAGCTCATCGTCGCTGCCCATCGCCGTCGTCATCGTGAATCATGTACGACGTAACACAGGGCCCTCGACTGCATGCCCAACCCTAGCACTGCGATTGCCACTCCCGCCAAACTGAAGTCAGGTTTCACGAAGGCGTTGTTGTAGATGCTCCAGCTGTACCAGTCAATCGTGCAGCAGGACGCCAGGCACTTGTTCGCCTGCAGCTGCGAGGTTGGGCATTTATAGTAGACATAAGGTTCGCTGCGCAGTGTTTGCACACCCCCCGTGCACTCACCATAACCAACACGAAACCCTGTCCTGAATGCCGTTGGCAGTGTACTCCGTCTCGTTGAAGTTGGGGTCCGAGGGATGGAGGATTGACTGAACTCCTGGTTTTCACCAGTGGCTGTCTGGATTGTCCACACATTGTACATGCCGCGCAATCTTACAGGACTCTTGTGCTGGTGTCGGGGAGTGCGAAATCCACTCCTGGTCACCATGCACTCAGCTTCTAAGTTATGCTGAGAACCATGTCTGGGCTTTCAGATTTCGGAAACTTTCAGGCATTTTCAGGCTCAGCATCCTGAGCAAACCTCCGGCGTGGTGAAGCCTTGGTTCCCAGAAGGCCAAGTCAAGGTTGGTAATCTGGCAAAGGGTAGCACTGGTTGCCGAACTGCTGTGGCTTGAGAAGCAAGTCTCCATAAAGACATACACGGACCTAGCAAGCTGCTTGTGACCCAGGAGCTTGGCTTCTCGATGCCTGCATGGCTATCCACGCAGCTGCTCCTGAACATTGACAGTGCTTGTCCGCCTGGCTTTTTGGCCCACAGGCTCATCAAGGCAGATGCGTGGCTTCGTGCAGACATCAATCTCATGCAAACAAATGCAAAGACCCTAATTCATCTAGACAACCCTTGCTGGTCCTGACTGCCGCGGCTGAGTGCCTGAGGAGAGGGTATTTCAGGGTCAGCTTGATGGGGTCTTAGAGCCTGATGTAGCGAGCGCTAACGGAAGCCCTTCGTCTTGTACACGTAGGCAAGAACCCTTGCCTGAATTCTTGAAGTACTAACCCACTTGTAGTCACTGCATTGAAGATGAAGAAGCTCAGACTCGTGTCTGCATGTATCGGGTGGCCTCGCCGCGATGCAGGCATCGATCGCTGCATCCATGTCCGTCGCTGAGAAAGCATCCTGAGGTTGATCTGGGCAACCCTTGCGCTCAGAACCTTTTAGATTTCAGGACGGAGACCAGATTTCAATTTGGGTCTTTTCGAGATTCCGTACTCCCTTGGTCTCTGGAAGTCGTTGAGAGGGAAATGGAGGGAAGCCACAAACAGACTCTCCTTGCAACCCCGCGTCCAACAGGCACATGATTCGCTGGATGGCCTTGTACTCAAACTTCAGGTCCTGGCTCTCGCAATCTCTCCCAAGCTACACCCCAAAAAAAACCTTCGAAGCAAACGCTCTGGGCTTGGACTGCTGAGTCGGCCCTTCAGCTTCGTGTCTACCCCGTGGGATTTTAAGAAAAAAATAGGACTACAAAGAAAGATGTGTCCGTGCTCAAGAGCTATTGCTACTGTAATAAAGACAATTTTTTCGAACCCCAACCGTGTCTGCTCTTTTGGGATACTCGGAGACTCTCTGCTCCCGTCTTTAGGGAGATTCTCTGGAGGTGGGAGATGCGACAAGTGCAGTTTTGGAAGAACCCTTATTGCTGAGCGCACGTCTATGCTGAAGCTGGGCCCTTAAGCCTTAACTTCTGGACATTCATGCATGACAACATGCAGACCCGGACCTAAGCCTCCTGACCAACACCAACTCGCGTCAGCTCCAGGGAGCTTTCGTGACAACTGGAGGGGGGGGGGGGGGGGGGGGGGGGGGGAACAAGCACTATTAAGCCTAAGCCCAACAGAGAGGGCCTGGACAGTCTTGTTGGAGGCTGCCACTTCCATCTCCTTGGCGGATTTGGCTCGCGCTATTCACAGGGAGTCGGGAACGTTCGGCCGTCGGACTGCGTCCTCGCATGCCCTAAACGCTTGGTTGCTCTTTAACCGCCCAATAAAAATCTGATTTTAGCTCCCTTAATATGAAATTAGACGAACCCTAAACTTATAAAGTGATAAAGTTGTAGTAAACAGCTTGAATGTGCTGGCCAGGATGCATAGTTGGTCCACTTGGCACTGTAGCAGGCAGGGAGGGAAGCACAGGACTGGTTGGTCCTTTTTGTCAAGTCAGGTCTTCCGCTGACGTATGGACTCGTGGCCTGTACCTTAAAACCCCTCGCCGCTCTGCTGGCAATTTGGCGACTTACGCAGAACCTGTTCTCAAAGCGCCGTGTGCCCTTTTGCAGCAGCTCAGGGCAACGACCGTGATGGATCTGTACTGAGATGAACAAAGTATGTTCCACACTTCAAAACTGAGGGCTTGGGACAAGTCCGTCGGCCCATTCCTTCCCAGCCATTGTCCTCTCATGCACCTGGCAGGCGGTCTCTTCCAGCTCCAGCTGGGCAGCTTGGCCTCGAGTGCGGTTTCCAAAGACTTGACTTGATTTAGCCGAGCAAAGCACCTGTATTCATGGGGTGGGTGAGTAAGGGGAGGGCAGTACCACGTGCCGCTTAAGCTATAGAATCTACAAGAACTGTCAGAGTTGAGTAGGGAAGTCGATCCCAGCTGCACCATTGTGAATCACTGGGAGGAGGGAAGTCTCACTGGTCAAGCCGCGAGCTGATCGCAGATATCGCAGCACAAGAGGTTGCAGGAACCCAAATTCAACATGCATGCCACGGGGCATTCCGCAACCTTCTCGAAATACTCGATCTCCTGCGGTGCAGCACGAGCAGATCTCAGATGCCCTTGCTAATGCGGAAGTTCATCGAACTGTTCGCGACTACGTGCCTGTTGGGAAAGTGCTGCACATGATCTGAACAGTTGCATCTCCTCTCATGTTTGCAACATCCCAGGCCTTGTCTGTGCAGTTCCACTGAGTGATGTTCTGCGTCACGTTTTCCAGGTGGTAGTACGTTTTCCACCATGTCAACTCGGAAGCAGGATGGAGCAGGGCACACCATTGAGGTCCATTAACGCTTTGAGAAGGAAGGTACGGAGGTACAGCTTTCTTCTCAACGCACCAAAGAACAAGGCGCCACGATGCAACGGCAGTACGAAACATACCATGTACAAGATTTGCAAGACACAAGCCTGCTTGTTCTTGAAGTGGTCGCGCCTGGTGGGCGCTTCAAGTGCTGAGACAGGTCTGGGTCTTGGCTCTCCTTCCTGCTACTGGTACACATTAGCAGCCATTAGCAGCAGCACGTGCCTTGGACTCTGCATACTCCACATTGGGCACTCTGCTTTGCCCATCTCTGCCAAGGAGCATGGAGCCCAGGTACAGCAGAACGTCCTCTCCCTTGACGGCGCACTCCTCCAGAAAGACATGGCTGCTTCAGGGGAGCTGCCTCGCGCCCCGAAAAGAGGGCTAAAGCCCCTTGAGGAAGGAAGTGTCACAGCTCCCGGCAGTCCTCCGGACTTTCAAAGATGTTGATGCCTGTCAGGGCTGCCGCAGTCAGGGGAGCTGGAGACTCCTTTACATGAACTCTCTTCCTCCGCTATCATGTGCGCTTCTATCCAACCAACTTCGCAGGAGGGACCTTGGAACTCCGTCGTAAGTGTCTGTTCCAGAGAGATGAGGCTCTCCCGACTTGTCTTGCACGCATCGAGCTCCTGGCAGGGCAGGTTGGACGTCGGCCAGATTCGATGGTTAATTACTGGTTTAGATGCAAAAATGTGGCAGGTCAGGATGTTCATCCCAATTACGCCAGGCCCTTCGTCGATACTCTGTCACTCTGCAAAACAGGACATGACGACTAATCATTTAAGCAAATCTAGCCGCGATGCAACGAGGAGCCTTGGCACCTCAAGACCCTTGCCCTGTCGGTCTCGCCTGCTTCTTGGCAACGATTTCCGCGCGGCAGGCAGCATGCGTAGAGCGGAGCGGGGCAAAGTCACCTGTGAAGCCTCGGGCCGCGCCAGAGGCTGCCGAAGAGAAAGTCTTTGATCGTTCAGGTCTTGCAAGGCAACGCTGCGACCAGTGGGGGCCGGGAGTAGACATACGCAGGCACAGGTGGCTTCAGTCAACACTACAACACACATGACGACCTGCAGCTTTCTTTTGCTTCAACCTCACGCTCACCGAGAACCCTCCTATTCTTATCAGAATCCCACCGCAACCCTTAACCGACCTTCGGGAAGGAAGGTCGTGTTGCCGGAGTAAAGAGGGCATCCCACAGAGATGTTCGCGAGGGCCTCCAGGGTTCGCTGAGGGCTTGGTGGTTGGGATTTTGGGGATTTTGGAGACTTGAGACATCCGAAGCTTCTCGCACACGAGCTTCAGACAGATGACGGCAAATAAACACAAACAAGGGAAGCGGGAACAGCAGAGCTCAGCTGCCGGGCTCTTGGCTCAATGCCTCTCTAACCCACTCGGCGCAAAGCTGACAAAGCAAACGCAATGCTTGTGCTCTCCCACAAGACCTGCTTGCAGCCGGCTTCAGCCACACCAGCGGCATTGAGAACCTCCCCCTGCATCTTACCAAGCTCCTGTTCCGGGCTTCTGCGGCAATCGCTTTCTCGCTTGGGAAGCAATGAACCCCAGTGGGGTCTTCCGATGTGCACGCAACGCTGCCCCACTTGTGGACTGCATTCTTTGCTCAAGATGCTCGCTGAGAGAAACCCGCCGCAGCCCGCAGTTGCGGTCCTCTTTGATCTGCTTGACCAGCTCCGTCACGTTGCCGTCAGCGCCCTGCAAGGTGCGAGACCATGTCGAGAGATCTCTGAAAAAACAGGCTCGGTTTTGCCACACCAAGAAAAGTAGCCTGGTCTCACGCCAGGAGCCTACATGCATGTTGCAAGGCACGATACAATACCTTGAATCATGCCGTCAGGCTGCGTTGACAACCTTGAGACGTTCGCTTCCACATTCCAAACATCTTCCACCCCTGGCCTGCGATTGCTTCCTTGCAAGCTTGGCCTGCTGCGCGAGCAACATGACCTTGGGCCATGCCGTGGAATGTTCTGGCCCATTTTGTCAAACTGTACCAAAATGCGACAAAAAAACACACACACACACACAAACCAAAAAAGAAAAAGGAGTAGATCAATAGCTGCAAAGAAGAATATGCTGGGTTCGGGGGTTGTCGTGTACCGTTTACCAGGGCATACGTATCCCAAACGAAACAGGCAACCCAAAGACCCAAAGACCCACAGATCCAAAGACCCGCGGCCAATCTTGAAACCCGAAAGCACGACCCAGCCCCAGTGCAACAAGCAGCCATCTGCTCCATCTCGCTAGCCTTGGCCTGTGGTCAGGGAGCTTCTTCTCAGGGGCTTGTAGTCATCGGTTACGGCTCGTCTTCACCCCCATTACTGTATCAACGCAACAGGTGTACAAGAAATGAAGAACCGTAGCATCTAACACTTGGCTAGCACGTCTGAAAGTCTGATATGAAGTAGGGTATATATTTCTTGTACCCCCAAAAGGACACCAGGTATATACACTCACCAATTTTAACAAGGAACCTTATATACACTCACCAAAAACAGAAATATATACCCTGCTTCATATGTTTCTGAAGGCAGGCATAATGTAGAGATAGTAAACCACAAACCGAAGATCCCCAAAGACACGCACACAGCGCGGGCCTGAACACGCAAACGCACACGTACACACGCCCGCATCATCGCATGAACTACTGACTGGCCGTGACCATCGGGGCCCACCTTCGACTCGCTCGACTTTGGCACGTTGGCAAGCATGTTTACGATGCTGTCCTTCGTTCAAGAATCTCAGCTAAGGGACCTCTGACACGCTCACGCATGGCTCCCATACCCGAACAGAGGAGGCTTTCGGCTCCTGCTGGCTCGGGATGGGCACCAGCTTTGCCGCCTGCAAGGTGTTGAAGGCTGCAAACCTCATGCCCGGAGGGATCAGATCGATGGGGCTCTTGGCTTGCTGATGGTGACGGCAAGCGGACACTGCGGGCTCAGGGACTCCAGCTTCGACTCTTAGGGCTAAGTTTCGCAGAGGAGCACAGCCAAGAGCTTGAAGGACATGGTCTGCGCCCAATGTGAAGTTACCTGAGCTGGTCTCACCATGTCTCACCCCATGCCTTGAAGGCTCTGGGCCGAAGTGCAACAGAACTCTCAGGGGGCCCCCAAATTGCCCAATGCCGGATCCCCAAGCATAGCTACGTGCCGCCCGAGAAGCACAGACAGAGAGTTGTCCTGCAGGTGCAATGTTCACTCAGCAGTGCCTCATCTCCACAAGTTAATGAAACACAGAGCGTCCGCATGCCAAAAAAAGGACACGGTGGCATCTGCATGAAACTCGGTCCCGTCCTTGCTGCATTAACAGGTCCTAACCCGCGGTTCACTCGAGCCAAAGGTGGCTGAGGCTTGACAGACGCGAATCTCGCCGGCGGATTCGCACAGCACGGCGGCAGTGCTTCGGTTGCGGTGTGCCCAAGGTGTTAAATTTGGGAGTAGATCATTCCTCACAATTGCGGGATGCAACCCGCAACGACTATCCGACTATCCCCGACTTTCGATGTAAAGGATGATACTGCACCAGCTGCAAACGGGTTGTGACCACTCCCGGGATTCCTCATGCTGATCAGGCCCATCTCACCCCAACAAGGCCACAACTATATACAACTATGAACCTCGGCGCCACTCCTCCGAGCCGCGTCCCTCTGGGTCCCCTGGCCCCACTGCGATGCCGGCTTGCGTTGGCGCCCTGGGCCTGGGAAGGGCCCATGGCCCCTTTCGAAGCCTTAGCTGACTGGCTCTAATGAACCCTGCGCTGACTCAAACAGACAGAGAGGGCAAAAGCTCATCTCGAGCAGCACCGAACATACAAACGACCCCTTGAGAAGATGACTGAAGATCTGCGGTACGTCTGAGAAGCGAGTAAAAACGAGGCCCCAACCCCACGTTTGGCGATGATCTCTCTCCATCTCCGTCAAATCCTGTAGGTCCTGGCATCTGGTGGCAGAGGTACGGGGGATGCCTCTTTGCCCTTGAACGGAAAACTGACATGAGTCATGAGACGCCTCGAAGGCACCTGGCGCGTCGACATTGTCACGGCGGGGCATCGGCTCCAGGGCCGGCCAGCGTGGCGATGGGGTCCGCCTTCAATGATGTCAAAGAATCTCACAAGATGCACCGAGATGTATTTGTTGCTTAACCGTTGTACCGTGTGTCCACGCGACAGATCTCAGATCTAACAGTTAATCTAACAGCAAAAACTGCACGTGTTTGGGCAATCTTCGTGTGGCACTGAGGTGCCGGCGCGGAGCGCACGGAGCATGCGGAGCTCGGCGGCCGGGTGTCCGTCAGGTGCGAGCTTGGACACGAGCTTTGGCGCGAGCCCGGTCGGCAGCCCAGCCTCAGGACGGGGCAGCTGATAAGGGTACTACTGTAAGATATGGACAAAAAGCTCATGCAGAACAGGAGACACCTCAAGTACCCGAGGAAAAAACAGACCCCGCTGAACCCAGGGACCCTGCCCAATGAACACGGGGGGATTCTTGCGTGCGTGGAGCATGGGAGCCCGCTCTGCAACTTCCTCCGCCTCGACCGGCTGGAGACCTCACAACATGGGCTGGGTAGTGGGTAGTGGAAAGGCGGGATAGGCCATGGATGGGACAAGCTCTGCCAGGGACTTTCCCTCTTGTACGGGCAGCGACACTTTGGCCGACAGAGCAGGCACAAGGACGCCCCTGCCTGATTGGGGTGGGTCCAGCCCGAAGTTGACACAGCGCCTTCAGAGAGTCGGATGCAGCGTGGAGATCTGGGAACTCAGAGCCTCTTACAAAGCTCTGTGCATCTCTCATTCTTAGCTCTTCTTCTTCATCTCCTCCAACTATTATTGTTCCTTCTCCCTGGGGCCCCTGTTCGACGGCCAACACCGCCAGCTTCTGAAAGCGACGGATTGATGCGTTGATTCTTAAGGGCATCGGTGGCATCGGCTCTTCTCTGTGAGAGTTTGTCTTGCCCCTTTCAAGGTTGTTTGAGGTTGGCTCTGCTCCCCCTACTCCTCGCGTCAGTTCTTTCTAAGGTGCTTGTGGAAGGGCCCGACAGGGACAGTCACTCAAACTGCAGGACAGTCACCCAAGCCGCCTGCCTCCGGTCTTTCTCTCGCTCGCTCTCTCTCTCTCTCTCTCTCTCTCTTATTCTTCTGCTGCGGATAGGGGAAGCATTCATGGTTCATGGGTCTTCGGAGACGCGTGCTACAAGAACCACGGATAGAAAGGACGAGAATTTTACGTGCGGTCCGAAGGCAACTCAGAGATGATTGGGGACTACCAGTAAGGGGTGATGGTGAGGTTGCGGAAGGAGGCTGGGAAGCGGGTCAGGGTTTAGGTGAAGTAAGCTTTCGATCGACCCCCTTGCAAGGAAGCGAAAAAGAAGAGACGACTGAAGTTGGGACGACAGTGCACTTCGGTGCGAACCACCTCGGGGAAAGCTTGCAGGAAAGAAGGAGGCAGGAAAGAGGGGAAAAACCTTGTGGCGCAAGTCGAGTAGCCTCCCATAGCCTCCCCCCGGCTTGGGTCTCTGCGAGGCAAATGTCATGGAAGACAAGATCTTCACAATTCGGGCGCAGCAGCTGGGCGGTCGAGTGGAGAGCGTTTCAAGTACATGGAACGGGGTTTATGGTTTGACTGAGGTGTTGCTTCCACTCGGCACTTTGCGCTCTGACTTATCGTTTCTCCCAGCATGAAACTCCTCGCTCGGCTTTTGTGAGGCATCCACAGTGCGCGTCTGCGGCAGTACGGAGCCTCAGTGCGGGCACCAGCTGCGGTCGGTAGAGGAGGAAGCGGATGTCAATCCGGGGGCCGAAGTGGCCAACCTCACGGGGATCATCTGGTTGGGGACACCAGGTCTTTAAGCATTGGGAGCATCTGTGAAGAGTGCCTTTGACAGCCAATGTGAGTGTGGCACCCCAAGGCTCAATGACACAAAACACAAAGGCCCTGAACTCTGAGGATCAACTCCGAAGTCACTACTAAGTCTTGTCCCCGGAACTGAAAGCCTCGGCATCTACGATTTGGGAGGATCTCCGACATTCCTTTTGGCACTCTCACGGTGGGCCCCCCGACAAGCCACTCCATGTCCGCAGGAGGGATGCGGATTTCCTCCGCCGACACCGCACTTAGCATCGCTACACGCAACATCATGTCATGACGCGTATGCACACCTTCAGGGGCAAAAGGCCGCGCCTCCGAGGACTGGAGGGTCTCTTCGGCCTCCAACCTCGTCAAAGAGATCATGACACGTGCTTAGGCGGCTTACGTCCTGAGGGCTTACCTCTTTCAATACTGGTTTCATGGATGCTGCATGGGCTTGCACATCGGACATACAGAGGACTTTACTAGCGGCACTCGCGCCCGCAGTCCTGCTAAAGGAATACTGCCAGCCACACTATGCAAATGCGGCACAACATATGGTCGGTGACCAGGTGAGCCCCTTGTCTCGTCTGTGGCCACTGCTCAGCGTACAGCGCTGCACCTGTCTCGGGTGAGAGGCCAAGGTCCATCACCTTGCCGAACTTTGACTCTCCCGGCTAGAGTGCTTGCAGCTTACGGACTCACAAAAACCGTGGTGGGTTACAAAGAGCTCGAACCCCAATTCCCATTCCCTGAGGGACAGACGAAACTCTGGCAGTCTTCCAAGCAGACCGGAGCATCGAACTGCACAAAAGTCGGTGGCGTGGATGTCTTGGGCTTCGAGTTTGGGAGAACGTACTGCAACCATTTGCAATCAGGATCATGCGACATCGGCATTTTGGGCACAGAGCTGTGGCGAGCAATAACAGAAGCTTGCAGCTTGCAGCTGGTAGCGGTCACACCTGTCTTTAAAACCTTGCAGCTGGTGACTGCGAGGTGCTGGGTTCACAATGTTCACAACCCTATACTTTCTGCCTACGGGTCTGGGGTCTGGGGTGTCCAGGACGAATCTCCGACGCTGGGAAAGGATCCCCTCGGCCATGACGGCCAAAGCTAAGCAACCGCAGAAAATCAGAACAGGTTGCAACCAGGAAGAACCATCTCTGGGAATCCTTTCCGCTCCGAAGCGAGGGCCAGCTTGGGGCTTGGGCGGAAAATTCGCCCCAAGCCAGCTGCGGCTAAGCCGCCGCGTTGCGCAGCTGGAGGCCGCGGAATGAAATCGATTTTCGTGGAGCTGGGAGCTCCACAAGCTTAAGCTGCGTAAGCAAGCTGCCGTATTCAAGCTGCGTAAGCAAGTCCTGCCTGCATCGTGCCCTTGTAGCTTCTCACATTGCAATGGAGCGCGAGGTCAGAGGCTCCGATAGCCAGGTCACTTGCCCTCACCTGCAGAGCACCACACTGCTAATTGAAGGCTGAAAGCCTGAAGCTTAAGTCTCACATCAACTTGAGCCCTTGCCCGACCGTCTACATTATCCGAAACAGCCAGGCCACGAATCCAGACGCGGTAGTCCTTGCTGGGAATGGTCTTAAGGCTTTTGGGGGTTTAGAAGCTTGACGTGCAAAGGCTCTTCCGGTGGCCCGCGTTCATGTGCTTGCTGCTGACATCTCGCAGACGATCAGATCACATCAGATTTGTTGTCCTATCCTACCTATCCTTTGTTCTTTGCCCGAGCGTCCGCGCCCTCTGCGCCCGGGGCCCAGCCGCCGTCCACGCCCGAATGCTTTGGCCCCAGGGCGACACGCAGCGCTGCTGGGGAGCCGATCCTCAAGCAGATCACTCTATCAAGGCTCCGTCATGCAACTTAAATTGGGGCTCTGAAGGGACTTTCAGAGAGGTTTGCGCCTGAGGCGTTCTAAGGCGTGCTTACAAGGGCATCATGAAGGCTCTCGAGCAATGGCTCGTGCTGTTGAAGAAAAAAGGGATGGCATGGGGCGATAGTGGCGACTGCTGGCGTTGGCGATGGCAACGAAAGCTTCGAAGGCTCGAGGTGCAGGGCTTTGTGCGAGCTGGGGGAGGAAACGGTACGTCTGCGGCTTTCCAACTGCTGCGTTCAACCTCCTTCGTCAGACTGTTGTAGGTCTGATGTCCATGACAGTCAGCCAAGCCACTCTGCAATGTACAGGTCTTGGTCAGCACAAAGGATGTTCACCTGGTCATCCACCTTCGGAGAAGTGGAATGCTTCTACAGTGCTCCGACTTTCCCCATCTCAAGGTTGAGGGCTCATATGGGCTCATGCTTCACTCCCAAGTTGCACGGAACCTGACCAGCACAATGTCACTGTGACAGCAATATGCAGCTAATCGCGCCAAGAACTTCTTAAGAGCTCCAGACGCTTTGTTTTCCGACTTTCTGCTCACTCAAATACCAAATGCGCTGCAGGAACTTCAGGCGGTGCCTTGATCCCTGCCCTCCTGCGCAGCTGCAGAAGCGTCTTGATGCGATTTCGCATGTCCTGCCAGGAACCAATGGTAAGCTTCTGCTTTGCAAAGTCAGCCTTTGCAAGCTTGGGCCAAAGGGGAAGGCGCACTCCTCACCCCAGTCGCAGACGTGGTCCCAGAAGATGCATGGGATGCCTCACAACACATGCCCCAGTTCGGTCTTGCTTGGTCGTCTTTATGTCCGGCTTTTGGGGCTTGGTCGGCTTCAGAGTTCGATTTGAAGCACGCGGATGCCAGGAAGGTGCCAGGGTGAGTGAGAATGTAGGCGTAGCCCACCAGAACCTTGTCGTTTGGAAATGGCCTGCAGGCGCAACAAGCCCTCAGGCTTCAAGCAAGTCCCAGCCAAGCACGGATCAGCTCCAACAGGTAACGGATTGAATCTACCACCTCATATGTCTCATCATGTCTCATCTGAGGGGCCAGTGGGCTTGGGTGCTCCCCGTGTCGTGGTTGTCCAGGAAGGTCACTGCGTGAGTCGGCATCCAGCCCAGCAGGCCTCGCCAGGAACCCTAAAAGCCTCAAAGCCACGTTCCCGCGCTCTCGCCACTCTGCATCAGAATTTGTGAGCTTGCCTGGAGGCTTCCCATTGGAGTCCTTCAGCCGCCAGTACTGGGTATTGCGGACTGCTTCCTGCCCGGTGCTTGCGCATTGAAACTTGTTCCGGGCATCGGGGTGCATTGCACATGCTCCGGTTTGCTGCTTTGGGATACTGCTCATGCCAGGGCCTGGAGGATGCCTTTGGTTGTGAAGTCGAACGCCGTGCTCCTTTTGGGTGCTATGTAGGGTGCAATCGTTGTGCCCGGTATTGCCACATCGTCCTATGGGGGTTATGTGGGGTTATCGTGCAACATGGCATGTCACAACCTTCCAGAGCAAATAGAACTTTGGGTTTGGCGACGGTCTTTGCCAAGGCGCTCTTTGTCCGTGCCGTTGATCCAGTTCACAGTGTCCTGCCTGAGACAAGTACATGCACAAGTACATGCAGCTGCATTCTGCAGTGCGTTGCAACGCCGCACGTGCACGGATGCACCTCAAGCGATTTGCGACTTGAAGTTCTCCGACTGCTTGCTCCCGATGGCATCATCACTTCACTGGCTGATTGTCCCCTCCGCTCCTTTAGCCCATCAATACCTGAAGCTCCCGCCTGTGCTTGTCCTGGTTGTACTTCAAGCCATCGTGGTCGTACCTTTGACTTGACTTGACTTAGCACTGGACGATTCCGATCTCTTCATACAAGAATCAACCTTCACGCACTAAACTTTAACCTTCGTTCCTGCTCTTCCAAGCCACTCCATGTCCAACCACAGCTCCCCGACAGCCCAGGAAGGCTCGCTCTTCTTGCCTCAAAGTCACAGTTGCTTGGAGTTGCTTGTCGCGATTGCACGCCTTGCTTTTTTGCTGCCCTGCAGCAGTAGTGGCCAACATATTCGGCGCCATAGCCTCGTGAAGCAAAAGCGGGTTGTCGCGTATTCAAAGCCACACACACACAAAGACACACACAGACACACGCGCTCTGGAAGATGCTCTTCTCATTTGTTCACCGGCACAACATGTACAAGATGCGGCCACGCAGCCTTTGACAAAGTCGAAGCGCCAGGCATCGAAGCCGATGTCCAGGCGGAGCCAGCGGAGCCAAATTGCGATGCTGCTTTGCACCTGACACAGCACACTCTCCATCAGCTCCATCAGCTGTCTCCATCAGCCATCTCCCAGCCCCATCTCTTGGCCTTCTTGTTCCCGTGGTCAATATCAGGCGCTGCGTCGAACTTCCCGTCGTAGTTGCCAGGACCTGTTTTTGCAGTTTCTGTGAAACGTGGGATGAGAGGTAGAACCTGCACACATCGGCACACTTCGGCCACCCAAAATTGTTTCAAGTTGCCGGCTTGGGGCTGCCGCATTTGGGGCTCTTTGGGCAACTTTGGGCACTTCTTCTATCATGAAAAAGCTTGGCGCTTCTCCATCTAAGTCCACACCTCGCTCCCCGGTTCCGTCGGAGAACTTGTCGCCAAGCGTGATCGCCCAGCCTGGCGTTGATGCAGGGATGGTCGTGCCTCCGAGACAAAGGCCCACAGGACTCTAGACTCTCTGGCCGAGACAAAGGCGGTCTTCATGTTCAGATGCATTTTCTCGTTCTTTTGGTAAGGCTTATCTAAAAAAAACCTGAGAGAAAACCCTGGCGCGCCCTGCCAGTCCATGATGCCATGGAAGCTCTTCCGGGATTCGATGCCGGTGCTGGTGAATACGTTCCACCGACCCTGCTCGTCCTTCAGCAGGAAAAGATTCACAGGCACCACATACAGTTTAGCAGTCGCTGCAATTGCATGCTGTCAAAAAAACTGCCTACTTGGTCACAAAAGACTTCTGCCTGGGGCGCGATCCCCTAAAACCTGGGGTCCCATCGGAGATGCAAGGATGCTGTAACAAGCTCGTAGGGATTGGGACTATCAGGGCATTTCAGGACTAGGACGAAACCCCAAGACGTCAGACCAAGTCCTGCTTGTCCCCGCAGCGATGGTTGATGACGATGTCTGCGACGCCCCGCATGCCCTCGAGATTTTCCAAAGAAACAAGAGTCGCAGAACCAGAACCATTTTCGTCTCCAAGAAGACTCTCGTTGGATCTGGAGATGGGTCAAGAGTCAAGAGAGGCTGGTACAAGGAGCATCGTTCAGGAGCAAGTGCAGTTGAGGTCGCTTCTCCTTGCTGCCAAGCTCTTCCTATCAGACTTCTGGCCTTGATACCTTCACCAAACATGCGCCTTCAATCCTGCATTGCATCATATCATCCTCTACACTCGCGACGAGGCCAAGTCGAGATGTCTCAGCCCAGACCTCCCCAGCAGGGCCTTGTCGTGCAGCGCTTTCAGCAGGGACTTCAATGCATCCTGCGCACGACTGCAGCTTTCCCAAGGTTTGGTTGCCGTTTTACGTCAGTGAAAGAACACGCAAGCTCCCATTCGATGAGTTTGACTGTCATTGCACCCAGGGATATCCAAACATCTAACATGTCTTCTCACAACTACCGAAGCCCTAGGAAAGCAGCTGCGCCTTTTTGCCGTAGGCAGATGCATCGAGGTTGAACAGCTGCGAGGGCAGGTAGCCCTTTTGAGACAGCCGACATAGTTTGGGTTGCAGCTCGGATTCTCCATGCCAGGGGAGCTCAGCACAAATCCCAAGTCCAAGCACAGTCTCCACGCTGCCCTTCATATGCCCACTCATCCAAATTTCAGTGTCGCTATGTGTGGCTCCTTGCTCACACCGCACCTGGGGGGCGACGGACTGCGAGCAGGGCGGCAGCCAAACGTCCTGAAATTAGCTGCTTGTTACATTGTTGCTCGTGGTCTTGCAGGTGAGGGCGAGGGGTGTCGACAGGGTCTCTGTATTGCTCCTGAAACATGATGTTGGGCACTTGTGAGAGTAGAATGGCTGGCCACAACCAACTTGAACGATCGATGGCCCTTTTCGATTTTTCCCCTAACACCACGGCCAAAATCCTGAAAACCTGACACAACGGCTCCGTGATTCCCAAATCTGCGAGCATCTCCACCTGGGTCCATAGGCCGTACTTTGAAGGTTGGAATTGTGCTCATTGCGCTTTTCAGCACCTGCATCGACAAAGTGCGACTCTTCCGAACGACTTCAACACATAAAGAAAGGGGCACCGTCAGCTTGGAGACTTTTTGGATTGTATGTTTTGTGTATTCCATTTTCTGTTCTCTCCCGCGGTGATTCAAAGCCTCTTCGGCCTCCCCAAACCTCCAGATGCACCAACAGACAATCAAAGCAAACCAACAGAGCTTCCTTCTTTGCATCCCTTTTTGCGACCGAACCTGGCCTAGCCCTTGAAGCCCCCCGCGGCCTTGCCTTCGACTCCACGATGCCATACCAGTTCCCTTTGCCGGCTTTGTGGCTCTCCCAGTTGAAGCCTCTCAGACAGGGCCCCCCAATGGCCCCAAGAATCCAAGGCCACAGCATGGCCTTCAACCTGGCCTCTAGAAACCTTCTAAGGGAAGTATAAGGGGAAAGACCCCCTTCGAAGGGACCCTGAATCTTCTTCCCCCTGTCTAACCCATATATATATATATATATATATATATACCTTCTATGGTCTAAGGTCCCTTATAAGGGTTCCTCCTTTCGACCCCTTGAAACCTGGCATACCTGGCAGACCTGGCTTAATGAGCTTGATGAGTTTAATGACATATGGCCCTCTGACACTTGTCGAGATTTCGCCGCTTTGCTTTGTTCGAAAAGGCCCCCCAAGGCATTCAGACTGGAAGTCGTGCTCGGGCCCTGCATTTGGCCTTGTAGCATCACCGTGCCAGACGGGTCTGCGTAGTCGGTGATCTTTGCCATCTCCTTGCGCATAATGAGACAATATGGGACAGATATTATGACAGGTGGAGCATTCTTCCACTTGAGGGGTTGTACAAAAAAGCTCTAAATCTAGAACAGGAATGAGCGCTTCTGTCGCCCGGCTGAATTGTCATTGATTTGTAGGTTAAGCTTGTGGTACTGGAACCAACCTTCCCATGAGCCGGCTGATTTTCATTGATTCGTAGCACACAGTGAGCCGGCTGAGTTTCATTGGTTTGCAGTACTAACTTCGTACTGTAATATCGGCTGCCTGCCCCGATACAGCAATCGGACCGCGTCATAAAGTCATCGGTTTTCTTACTTAACTTGCTACAAACGCTTCGGGCAAATCCTTTCATAACACTGAGCGCACGCGGTTGTTGTGCAACTCCACTTGGGCATTCTGGGATTATCTCGGAGGCTGCAGCCGCTCTGTCCTCAATCAGGGTGGAGCTGGCGATACGCCTTGACATGTGCCGTGCAGAAATACAACAAAGGGTGTCAAAAAAAAATTGACCTGAAGAGAACTCGGGGGATTCGAGCCTCTGCTGCGCGTTGAGCCGGTCCCGTTCCAACTCCACAATGTGCCCCTCCTCGGCTTCCTTGGCTTGGGCCATGTCGGAGACTGAGCGACGCAGAGGAAAAGCATCTTGGCAGACTTCAACGCGGAGGACATCGAGGCCTGTAGTGTAGAATTAGTAGAATTCTTCTGAGCGACCGCTTCCGCACAGAACTCGTCCATGTCCACCAGCATCAAGCTGGCCGTGCGGCTCATCCTCGCATGGACTGCACAACAAGGAGCCAGCAAGCAACATGCGGAGACAAACAAGGCACCTGGCGAGCAAGGTGGCTGCGCTGCTTCCAAGGCTCTGCATGTTGAGCGAACCATCGGAATTCTGGAACAGGTGTCTTGACCTGGGCAGCTGGTACATTCCCAGTCGCGCCCTGATTCAGACAAACCGAACCTGACCCTCGGCTAACATTTTCTCAATGCACAGAGACGTCTCCCAAACTTTTGGAAGATGATTCTACGCCTCTAAGCGCTTGTTCGACAAAATTTGACGCTGGGCCCGCTCTGGGTCTAGCACTGGCGCTTCTGGAGCGGTGGCCCCTTCTCCGTCGTCCCCTTGCCAGAATGTCACGGCCACTTCGAGACGAGTGGGGAGGCTTTGAAAGAAATTGGGACCTTTTTGTCTGGCTTGTGGTGAGCACAGGCTGATCGCTGGCATCTCTGCATTGGGCAGAAGGCGCATCGAAACTGGCCAGAAAGGTGCCAGACATGAAAGGATAAAAAGTTTCGCAGAACTGAGGCATCAAAAGATGCTGCGATTGCGATGAGCATCGATGAGCCTTCCGAGCCCTCACCCGGAGGCGCCCTGCACGGGACCGCGGGAACGAAGCGAGGGGAAGCAACGCGAGCAAAAGCAGACAAACACCCCTTTTGACTGTTCTGATGGCTCGGGTCTGTGGTGGTGTATTGCTCAACGGCTGATGGTTTCTCATCCGGTGCTGGTCTATGGACATTGACATCATGCATGTCGGACCTGGACCAGAAGTGAACCTGCACACCTCACAACCTGGACGGTAGACCAATGGCGAGCGTGAGCAGTTGGCCTCTCGTGCTGTGAATATTCTCCCAAGTATTCCGAGCAGGGGTGTCTGTCCGAGACCTAAGATGGGAAGACGAGATACAATCAAGGTGACTCCGTCAGGCAAAACATCTTGAAAGGCAGCATGAAACAGTGAAGAAGGCGACATCCCACAACATGCTGACGCTTTCGCCTGAGTCAGGACGACACCGAAGACCTCATCCACCGCATGATGTGAACACTCAACGTATGGAGGCGTTGACTTACTGGTTGTTGGGGGCCACTGAAGGTTAAACCGGTGATGTGACTTCAACAAAACCTATGATGGGTAGCTGTCCTCCATACGCAATCGTACTTACGATTACTTACATGTGCCATGCCATAGGCTGGAAAACTTTCCCGGCCAAGGGACGCTATTCCACTGCTTTGGCCGCTTTGCGGTCTGTGGAAGAAAATTCGGGTGGCCGCAGCCCAGCGCAGTATGGCTTCAAGTCATATGTGGGGGGAGGGGGCAATACAGCTGAGTATGAAAAAAAAAACAGGCAAAAGACAAGCCAGGAATAATTTAGCTGCAACGCAACGTTGGCTCCCCAAAGGTGTCTCATGCCAACGGACTCAAAAGCCGATAAAGTCCTCATGCGTCTCCGTTTTTGTTGGAGGCGGAGCTATTGGAGCCCTCTCAGCCACAGAAGGCCGCGCTTCGTGCTTTTGCAAGAGGCCGCGCGGGGACGCCTCAGCCGAAAAAACCAGAGACTTGCACTGTGCCGTAAGTGAGGCGGGAAGACATCAAAAGCAGCACATAGCAGCGTCAAGACTTGAAACACGCTAACATGCTGTGACATGCTTGTGTTGTACCGTCAGGGAGGTCTTTGTCATTCGGCCAGGCTTCCGCAGTCCCACGTTTGGAACCCGAAGCAGCATGAAAGAGCACGCCCTTCTCACGGATGGTATCGCAGTAACCTCGCCAAGATGCAATGTCAAGAATGGTTTTGGAATTCACATTAGCTATCGCATCAGCACGTCTCTGCCTCGACTCTAGATGCACTCGCCACCTGTCAGCGCAAATCACCCCGACGTGCCCCAGCACACCTCAGAACCGCCACAGGCACCACCATTTGCTTTGTCAGGTGGCGCTGCGTTCGGGAGACCAGCTCCGAGATCTTTGCCATCTGTGCAAGGCTTCGTCTCAAAGTAGCTTCGGGTGGCCACTGAAAAAGTCTGCAGACGTTGCAGCTTCCTCCTACATGAGTGCTGATTGCCCCCCTAAGTCAGCGGCCTCACAGCACAGGTCCGTCGCGAGCTCACCTCCCTCGTCCATGGCCTCGATCCTGGGCCGGAGGTTCGAGGGGCTGCAAGGGCCTCAAAGACACAATCTCCTGCCTACAATCATTGTGGGGAATAGGGGGGGATTGGGGGTTCGCAAGTCATCGTACTGCTGCTTGAAGCCCAAACCTGTCCCTTCAGTTGACAGGCTGCGAGCTGATGAAGAGGAATCCGAAGATTTGCAGAAACTGCCAAAGTGGGCCGCCTGCGTGAGCAGCCAGCCTGCAGATGCAGGAGATGAGCTTCGCATGACGACCGCCCACTGCGGTTCCTACGATACATTCTTTTGGCCTATCACGCAGGGACAGCGTTAGCTTTGAGCGATTGTGAACGGCGGAGAGGCCGTCTTACTACAAAAGAAAGCCCGCAAACATATGAAAACAAATACACACACACCCACACACACAGACCCACACGCACACGCACATGCACACGCACACGCACACGCACACGCACATGCACATGCACATGGACATGCACATGCACACGCACACACGGAAGCGACGCTCCTGGAGAACTGAGCGACGTCTATCCCGATGTAGTAGCAGGTGCCGAAGCCTGGGATGGAAGCGGGGCATGGCGAGGCTGGATAGATCTGTGCCTTGGAGCACGACCAAGAAACCTAAAATCTGCCGTAGCTTGAAACAGCCGATACATCGGTTGGAAGATTTTGGTAGAGTCGAAACTGCGTGTGCTCGTGGAGTGGCACAGCACTTTCATGTACACTTGCGCCGACAAAGTCGTACCACCTTCGTCTCCGCTTTTGCAATTTTTGGCCTGGGAGGCCAAAGGTCCTGGGACGACAGAAGTAGGCATGAGGGCGTTCATGGCATGCGCATGGCGAGCGCCATCGATGAGCAGGGCTTTGCCCAGAATGGTTGAAAGCGTCCGGAACAAGCAGACCTAGGCGATGCAGCAACCGCTTCTCGCGGGTACCACTGAAGAAAAGAAGCTGCAGCTTGAAGTTTTCTCAAGACGCTTTGTTGATCTCGCGGATGTCTGGCTTTGCTAGCCCTCACCCAGCATCAGCCTCTTTTGATCACGCGCAGCATCAATGCGCCAGAAGCGCAGGGACTCCTCCCCCCCCCCCCAAAACAACTTTGCGGGACCGTGTAGGAGGCCCTTGAAAAGCCATCGAAGCCTCTAGGAGCGCCGGGCGTTTCGTGGAAGGCCCCTGGGCAGTGGAGGGCATGGGTTGGGCCGGCCTAACCGTCGAGGCGGCACGCGCAAACAATTCGCAAATAGCTTTTCGTGGCAGCAAGGCATGCTTCGTGCGGGTTGCAGCTCAAAAAGACGAGGAACTAGCAGACAGCCGGCCCCGATATTGCCACTCGGCCCAAATCGCAGCCATGCAGAGGACGGCACCTGGGCTAACGCGGGCCACCTCTTCTGCATCTGCTTCACAAATTTGCTGAGCCGACAGTGAAGAAATCAAAAAGGCGCCTTCCCGGACCCGCTCGCAGTGCCAGGACATTGCAGGCTCGTAGGACATGGACCCTCCCAGGGAAGGATGATGATTCTGCACATTGCCACAGTTACCACAGCTGCCGCAGTTCCCGCAGTCACCACCGTCACCAAACTTATCACCGTACCACAAGTCAGCCAAGCACCATGAACCCGATTCAGGTTGCGATTTGGGGTATCAGCTATGAGCTGAGTCAGAATGGGATTGCTCGACAGGAATCATACAAAATCTGCACAATCTATGTAAGCCATGCTCAAACGCTGCTACTGAGTGGCAACACGTCCAGGGTTCAGGGCGTGAGAGAAGCTTTTCTCAGCAGCAGCAGCAGCAGCAGCAGCAGCAGCAGCAGCAGCAGCAGCAGCAGCAGCAGCACTAGCAGCAGCACTAGCAGCAGCAGCAGCACACAGCATGAAAGCTGGAAAGCGGCATTTCGAGCTGAGGATGACAAAATCGACAGCCGGAAAATTGAAGATCAAGGGCTCCATAACTTTTTGCGTGTTGGGATGCTTTGGGTTGGTGCCTGAGCGAGCGAGAACGTCGTCCAAGTGTCTGCTAGAGTTCGGGGTATTGTCATAAGGTCTTCTCTGCTGAAGTAGAACAGTGAGGCTCCAACATTCAGGGTTCTGGGCTCAAAGCAGTGTGGCAGAATCACAACATGAAGAACACATATATACTACCAAGACGAATTACACCTGAGCGCGCAACTACCCAACAAATTGCACCCACTGCCCATCCGAAGCCAGCGCAGATTGTTCATCGTGTCCTTGCCTGATTCCACGACACACACCTCCAAGCAGTCCCCTTCGGGGGTGAAGGCATCATGTCCTTTCGTCGTCACCTGCACCAAATGGTTTGACATGTGCACTGCAGTAACGCGACAATCGAAACAAAACCGACCCTTCGTCTCGCGCGAGATATCAGGTCAGGGGTTTAGGGTTTAGGGATTAGGAGTTTAGGGGTTTAGGGTTTAGGGTTTAGGGTTGAGGGTTCAGGGTTCAGGGTTTAGGGTTTAGGGTTTAGGGTTTAGGGTTTAGGGTTTAGGGGTTTAGGGGTTCAGGGGTTTAGGGTTTAGGGTTTAGGGTTTAGGGTTTAGGGTTTAGGGTTTGGGGTTTGGGGTTTAGGAGATCGCAACGGACAATCAATGCCGCCCCATGTTGTTTGCCGGGTGGCCCGCTCCGCCATGGCACCGTGGCACAGGGCCTTGAAAAAGTGCTGGTCCTGCTGGATGCTTCTGGCTGCAACCCAAAGAACGCGACTATTCACACGAGTTTCAACATAAATCCATCAAGAAAAATGGATCCATCTTCAAGCTTTAAAAATTGCTAGTATCCATTCAACCAGTCGTTGTGTTGTATCTATGCTGCAGTGCAGATCCTTTACCGCAGTGTCGAACCTGCAGTCAGTCATCTAGTGGGGCCTCGCTTGAGGGATGTTCATGCCCTGTTCTGCCCCTGGTCTGTACTGTGCTCGGGTTCTGTGGTTCTGCCCGGATTCTGTTCTACTTCTGCTTTGACTTTGCCTTACTGCAGTTCTGCTTTAATTCTGCTCATGCCGTGCACCTCCCATGCAGAAGAAGCAACCCATGCAGACCTCGAAGTGGCTCCAGGCCGGCCAGAAGGGCAGCCGGTTCAGTTGCCTGGGTTCCCGCATGCTCCCTCCCGGCAGCCCTCGTGGTGCCCTCCGAAGCCTGGACTTGGGGTGATATCTCGATGTATCTCGATGACTTCAAATCAGTTCTGACAAGGCCCTCCGAACCGGCCACAAGTTGCTTAGTAGAAGCCAGCATGCGACAGGAACATCTCCTCATGCAGCTGGAACTTGAGCCCCCCTGGTACCTCAGGTGTTTTGCAAGCACGTCCGTCACCATCACGGGGCATTTAGAAAAGCCATCTGAAGCAAGAAACAACCCGCAACAACCCTCACTCAGGGGCTTTGCCTTGTGGAGGAGGTGGACCTCATCCTCCCTCAACCTGGCATGGCCACTCAGGCTTGCAGAGCTCTGCCAAGAGCTCAAGAAATCTCAAGAAGTCTTCAGAAGCTTTGACTCTTGACTTCCTGCAACCTTCCCAAGACACAGACACTAGGTCACTAGGTTAGATAACTCCCACGTCTTTGCTCCAGAACACCCCTTGCGCCTGATGCCCGTGTGCCGCTCTTTCCGAATCACCTCACAAGGTAGGATGCAAGAACTCAGCGAGCACACGTCACACTTGGGGTCACGCGAAGCCTCCCGGATCTTGCCATAGAGATCCGTGGACAGGTTCCTTTCCGTGAAGAACCGGAGGAGCAAAGAGTGTTGATGAAACCTTGGCGATAGGCTTTGGCACCGGGCATCGTGTCACACTAAGGCAGCAGGCTGTGAAACTACGCATCCTTGGGGAGATCGGGGTCGGGCTACGTGAGATAAGGAGCTGCTCCATTCGGGCGTTGCGGTATGCGCTCACTGTCGACGTGAGCGCACTGATGAAGGAAGAGAACCTGAGCATTCAAAAGAAGCAGACAAAAAGGTCAGGGATTCACTCAGCCCGCTTCTCTCGCAAGGATTCGAGCTCGGGGACCTGGAGCTTTGAAACTACATAGTTCACGAAACCTGGACGTGGCAATACTGCCGAGAACTAGACAGGCAGAACGCTGCCAAAAGATCAATGCAGACAAGGAGCATTCCCATTGCCAGCAAAATGACGAAGATCGCAAACAACCTGACGGGAAAGCAAGGATGCGACGTGAAAGCCGTAGAATGCCTGCTTGCTATGATAGCTCCAAGCCTCTCAAATGCGTTCTCCGGGGCAACGTTGTTCGTCGCCGGAGTGAATTGCGTCAGCGCCTAGCAGGGGGGCAATCTGGCTTTACATACCTTTACATTTACATTCAGCTGCAAATCAGCACTCGTCCTGACCTGAACTTGCCCCTGTGCGACAGCACCGCATGCACCGCTTGACCGTACGGCTTCTTAAGAGAACACAAAAGACACCACAAGTAACCATCGAGTTTGGGATTTTTGGGGCATCTTGGGGCCCTGACCCAGTGGATGGATGTGGCATAGTAGTCCAGGAAATCCGCCTTGATCCGAAGCTAAGAGACCGAACAGTCATGTTGCGGCGCAAAGTCATGCGAAGCTTGGCCAAGCGGCCAAATGGCTAAACCATGGCTAAACCTTACGGTGTTTCGAGTTGACACGGTGCAAGCTCAACCCGAAACTGTGATGCCCTGTGCCGTCCTCCTGCATCTCCATGCGCACGATCCAGCTGCGCTCTTCCGTCCTGCGAGCCACTCAAGAGGACGGGGAAGGCATGGGAAGGCATTGTTCAGGAGCAAGGCTCGCGGATCACGAACAGCGCATGCAAATACCGGAATGTATGACGGGTCGGCAGGCTTTTACTCGGTTCAGGGTCAGGACCCGTGTTGGAGCGGGCCAAGCACAACACGCCATGGGAACCCCCTTGTCCAGCTGCCCAGGCCATACCAGGTGCATGCGATGAGGTGGTTCACTGCCTGCAGCGTTGTTTGACGTGCTTCTTCGTGAGCAACTGGTTTTCCAAATCCAGTGTCGGGCCCAGCGAACATTGCCACTCGGGACTATAATAGGGGTACTATAATTCCTTTTAAGGACTGTTCGTATAAGGGGGAACATCCCCAAAATCGGCACATAGAAAACCCATAACCTTTGGCCACCCAAGCTGCAAGGATCCCGCAGAGGCCGGCCACGACCTCTCGGAGAGGACTCTCTCCAAGTGACTCTCCATGAGGACTCCAACAACTTCACGATTCTAGGCGATCATATTAGTGTAGGTTTCGTTCTTCTTGAGAACAGCAAGTCAACAGCCATCATCACGTAAACCACACCTGTGAGAAAAAGCCTCTTTCTGCGACGGAGCGCACTCTAAACTCAACCCTGCACTAAGCACTGCTCGGTGCATCAAAGTGCTGTGCACCAATGAAGCCTTCATCACCATGAAGGCGTTTGCAGAGAGGAAGCGGTTTGCCAAAAGTGTGAGCTGGTGCTGCAACCTCGCTACCTGTGGCTCCGTTCTGGCGCAACAGACATCAAAGTTCTCGAATGGGATAAGACGATGCGTGATGCCGCCACAAACCAAACGACTCGCTTCTACCTTTCGAAGTTGTCAACAATCGGATCAATCTGTGATGGCTATCCTTGCGATGGCAAGGAAATCGCTTCTAGCCCTGATCTACGCAGTCTTCACTATCGGACTGCTGGCCAAATCATCCCTGTGGCTCGCAGAAGTCGCACCAGCCGCAACAGACGCAGCGCTCGCAGGAAGCGCGCCGACTTCAGGCCAGCCTCCCAGAAGCTTAATATGCTTAAACAGGGACCCGAACCCCTAAACAGAGAGCAAACTGCAGCGAATAATTGTTGTCCTCAACGTTTGTTTCAACTTGGCCCAACAAGTCTTCAGGATTTTGTTTATGCTCAATTCATGCTTTGGACGTCTGGCTGGTTGCTAGACTCCACACGTCCACGACTTGCCTCGCTGTCTTCCAGAAATATCAAAACCGCGTCCAAGCTCACTACAACCACGTCCAATGCCTGAGAAGGAAGAAACAAAGATCAAAGGAGGATTGGCATCATCACCGTCACCACAAGCGCACTGCTTACAGCTCCAAAGCTGCGCTGCGTGACCTCTTGACCCTGCATCTTTCTCCTTGAAGCCTTTGCTTTTCCTCGACGTCTACGACTGCGAAGTCATGTCAACACCTCTCCTCGAAACTCTAAGCCCAAAGAAACCGAGCAAACGGTCCCAAATCGCAGTGCGGAGCTGCGAACCAGGTTCGCAGGTAAAGGCGCGCCAGCACCGGCGGCCGAATTTCCTAGTTCGGGCGACGGGAGACGAGGTGACAAGTTGGGGTTCTCCAAGGCGAAAACAAAGGAGACCAAGGCCATTTGCTATTCTGAGCTCCTAAGCTTAAGCATCCAGGACCGTCCAGGGCTCACAAATAGGACAAAGGCCGCATCCCCGGATTGAAAACAGTGTCAATACAGCCACGATGCAATCTTCCCTTCCACCTCCACGCCCAGGATAAACTGCAGCGGTATGTTGAGGACCCAGAACACAAAGGTGACCTGTGAGATTTTCTGAGCTTGGTGTGCAGCCAGGCGCAGAAAGAACAAAGAAGAATCCAGAGATCCAACAGTCTTAACCTGACACCTTCCCGCAGGCCGTCCTTGCCGAAGCTGACCAGGAAGCTCTGGAAATTGGGCAAGTCGAAAGGCTCCAGGGGGATTGTGATAAGATCCCACACCTCAAAAGGAACTGATTTCGGGTCTAGCAAGCCGAGAGTGAGATAGAGTGAGCTTGCGAAGCCATGCACGTATACGTACACAATCGTACACAGCAGAATGTAATTGAGAGACAGGGCACGATAAGGCAGCTGCACAATGCCGACAACACGAGCTGGGCCAGGCTTCCAGGAGGAATGATGAAGCCTTGTGAGTTGCTTTGGGTTGGCTAAGAGTTGCTGTGAATGACTTCGTGACGTCTTCGACGGCTTTGCCATTTGGATCTAGATTCCTGGAACCTGCCGGTGGCCAAGTGCCAAAACAAGAGATCTGCTGGCCAATGGCGCTGGAGACACGAGGAGTCCTTGATGGCTTCGTTCATCCTGAGCGTGGAGGTCGACTCCTGTGTGCAGGCTGTCGCGCGAGGCTGTCAACAGGTCCCACAACATGGAGATTGGGGAGTGAGGGTGGGCAGTTGGGAGCCGTTGGATTCTTCATTGCATCTTGCAGAGCCCGAGCCTTGACTCAGCTCCCGAAGAATGCACAGTGCAAGAAACATCGCTACTCCAGAAATGCACCGAGCTCCGAGAAACTGGACTTCAAAATCCAGGGTAAGCTCAAAGGAAGCAGGAAGAATCTCGTGGTATGCAACTTGCTGGTGCTGAGCTGGTAGGCATCTACAAATCTCTTACCAACACCAGCAGTCTGAACACGCCTTGAAGCAGACTGTCTACTTCCAGTGTCGCACCTCCACCCCTGGCATGTGGTAGTTTCGCAGTTGATGTCGTTTCATCGCCTCTTGGACGGAAATCCTGGGGGGCAGGCGTCGCGGGTTTGACCAGCTTAGGTGCTGAAGCTGGTAGAAGCGAAACCACAGCCTCGTTACCTACTTGACAGGTCAACTAAATTCTAGCCATATGAACGTTGCAGTGGGCGTGCACGCTAACTGGTTTTGCCTCACTTGCCTCCCTTCCGGAGTCGGCAATTGAATTCTGCCACTTGACCCGCGCTCCCCGTTTTTTCCTATCACTTGTCCAACTTGCCTCGCTTGCACACCGCTTGCCCCAGCTGATGGGGAGACATCAGTCTGGAAGATGTGGTGTGGGGGGGGGGGGGCCTCGCTTGCCCCACTTGCACCTTTTTGGCACTTGCCCCGTTTTCGAAGTGTGGCAAGTGACGTGTTCTCACTTCATATGCCGGGTACAAATAATTGAAGCAAGTGGGAAAAATAAATTGCCTAGCTCCTCCAGACAACCAAGTGGGGGCAAGGGGGAGAACTCGAACAATGGTTCTCGGCTGCGCCCGCATTGTCGTCCACTGCTTCCATCGCTTGCTCTGCATACAGTTCGGCTGGGAACTAGATCTGGAAGTCTTATGCATGCACACATCTGTTGCATCTACCTTCCAGGATTTAGGATAACGAGATGACGATGACAAAGACAAATGTGTCCAAAACCGATGTTGAGGGGTGAAGTACGAACGCATATCAAATCAAGCCAGGCACGTCCAGTTGGGATGCATGACCTGAGTTGGCAATACACTTCAATCTGCTTCAAAAGACTTGCCGTATGGGGCTGCTTCGTGCTTCAAGACCACAAAGTAGCGTCCCAGTCGCAAGGCTGCAGTTCACGGAGGTGGACAGCGCATCCTCCTCCATGTTCCGTACGTCGCTGTCTGCCAGCTTGATCGCGAGGTCGGCCCACCGATACGGGATCGTCCCCAGGCCATTTTCCAAGGGCTCTTGCGGATCTCCCATGGGCACCGAGAGAGGCGCCGAGAGCGAGGTTCCTAACGGTGCCCAGCCATGGGCAGATCCGTTGTTTCGCTCCTCTGCATAGCATTGGGCATCATGAGCCTGAGTCTCCTCACAGGTACAAGCTGGGCCCCTATTCTTATCACCAAGCACGAAAACCACTGAAACCACTGGAGGGCTGAAGCGGTGAAGCCTGAAACGCCGCTCCTTCGGCGGCGCGTTGAGCTGAGAGAGCTCTTTGCTGAACTTGTCGCGCCAGGACTGGTCGAGCCGCTCCTCGAAAGCACTAAACCACTATGCAGAAAGCTTTCCAGAGAAACTTTGTTCACGAAACGGAGATCTCTGAGCGCAGCCAGTAGAAATACCCTTTTCCCACTCTCTGCATAACCCTGGTGCATACACCGAGCACACTGCCCATTAATATTTAACATGTATCGCAAATGACCTTCAATCTTGTTCTTTGCCACAGGCTCGGTCTCTATCCGGTGCTCAGCCAGGAGCTTCTCATGAAGCTGTTTCAGCTGCACCGCCAAGACGTGCTCCTTAATTGCCAGAGAAAGGAAATAACCGACCAAGCTCGCTGTGACCACCTGGGAATTTTGGGCCACTCGTTAACCATTCAGTTGGCGCACTGTGCCTACCAATTCAAGCTTTAGCCAAGCGGCGTAAGAACCACCATTTGTCGTCAGCGATTGCCAGCCCAGCATGTTCAAGCAAGATTCAGCTGCACACGCTCAAGACATGTCTTTGTCTGCGTCAACTCCTGTAGATCTGTCTGGTGTTCTCCAAGTCTTATCACTGCGAGAAGGATTAAGAACGTGAGCCTGCACTGCCTGCACTAAACTAGCCAGGAAGACTCTCCGCCAAAAAATAGACATGCCCGTGGTCGTTTGATGCTTATCCAAGATTCGACGCCAAAGCTTGCGGCAACAGGAAATGCAGCACTGCCACAGTACTACAACACGTGTGAAAGGATGCATGCAGGCGCAAGCGCGGGGGCGCGCGCGCGCGGGGGCGGGCAATTAGGAGAGGCCGGCATCAGAGTCATGCCATGGATTGCGGCGGATCTGTTCACAACATCCTCAACGAGCCTCGTCCTTCAGAGGCTCCTCTGGGGCATCGTCTTCCTCCATACGCGAGCTGGTAATGGCTAGCTTCTCGAGCTTCATGTCATGAGCTGAGACTCTGAAAGAAAACAACACCGAGCCCTGACCCTGGAGTTCGGCACCCATGGCTGCCAATCAAAGAAAAGACGAAAGGTTCACACATCCCCTTCTGTGCACATTGCACCTTCGCAGAGGAGTAGCCGCCTGTGGGCTTCTCCGGCTTCACCTCCTTTTGTTCTCACAACAGGTCTCAACTTAAAATAGCAGCAATTTCAAAGTGATGGCCAGCACTGCAACTGCATCTTCCTCCGCAGTGGGCGTTGCGCCATTGACGAGTTCAGGAGCAGGGGTGGGCTTGTCGTCCTGGACAAAATGCATCTGCAGAAGGGGACCACATCTGTGCGGGACATGCGCAGATTCAGGATGATCTTTTGGACAGACTTGAGAAAAGGAAACATTTAAAGTACAGCTTTCCGTCATGTTTTGCGCAGATTCAGGCAGCGAGCTCGAGGTGTGTGGAACATGTTTATTATGCACCTGGCTGCGATTGGTGCTGACACAAGCGGCAAGTATTCAACTCAAACAACCTTCCAATCAGGATAGAGACGTGGCTCACTTGTAATCTCAGAATCGACAACTGCAAGATCTGCGGCTACGACTTCTATGCCTCATGCTAGTATGGCCTCGAGCGGGAGCACTGTTTCGGGATGTAAAGCGTTTCGAAAGCTGCTGCATTCTCACTATCCTACAACCCTAAACCCCCTAAACCCCCTAAAACCTAAAACCTAAAACCCTGAACCCTGAACACTCTAAACATGATATGTCACAAGCGACGATTTGCAGGAAGGCACAAGTGACGCTTTGCTGATGCTACAAGTGACCCTTCTCCCGTCAGGATATGCCAGGATGGTACCCAGCATGAGGCTCCCACATACAATACAACAACCTCCTGCAGTAGGTGGTGCCGGGGCTACTTCTAAGTCACGCCCCAAGGGTCGTTGGAAGCCGCAGATGTGGCAGCAACGAAATCGTCACCTGCGCAAGAAAGAGCAGATCCGAGCTTTGGGATACTTTTGTCTCGGACTCTCTCACTCTCTCACTCTCTCACTCTACTCTCTCTCTCCACACGCAAGGCCCTCCCCGAAGGGAGAGACGCCACATCTGTTGGAGAAACCGACACATCACCCCCGTTCTCCGTCAAAGTAGCACACCTCTCTCTGTCTCTCTTTCTCTTTCTGTGTCTCTGTGCAGCGTTGATAGGGTTCACAGGTGAGACCGCTCGTCAGCAGCCCGTTCAACAGGGCTCTTCGCAACCCTTCTCGGGTGAGTCAATGGAAGGACTAGGGTCTAGTTTCCGGCAACCGCGGGTTGGAATTCCCGCATGAGACAGGTAACCTCACGGCACTCAACTGCGATGCAGGTTGCTGGTGGTTTTGGGGCCAACTTAGTATCAACAGCAAAAGAGTGCAAGGCCGTGCCAAGTTTGATCGTATAATAGTGCTGAAAGCGTTTTGAATGGCATCCGAGTCTATGGCACTCCTGCACTTGCCGCTGAGGTGCTGCCCCAAGAGCATTTCACCTGGCTCTGCTTCCCTTCATACAGCTGCCTCGGCAAAGCTTCTCAACAGCCATGATCAAGGTCCCATGTCACCATGGGGTGGAAATCTGAGTTCTGTTCTAGGGTGGGCATGGCTCTTCTGTGGTCTCAAGTGGTTGTGCGGGGGTCCCTAGGGCTCAGGAAACGATGACGTGACCAATTTTAGGCGGGCGGCACTTCCTTGTTTTCACCACCCTCCCAGCGAACCCCGTTCGGGCCAGTGATGACGATCCTCGGACTGCAAGGACTCACGAGCTTGATAGCCTGATCTTGTAGGGTGCAATGCAAGCAAGCAGCTCAAAGCTGTACATGCGCGCGATCCGCGTTCTCGACCCCCGCCATGGTACCCCCCCATCCCCTGCCACCCCCAAACCCTGACCGTGTAACACCACCACGAACCACAGAGCGGGACCATGCCCTAACCCCGAAACCCTGAACCATACACTCACCACGAACCACCAGAGGGAGCCGGGAAACCCGAAACCTACACCTCAATCCTAAACCTGAACCCTAAACCCTGAACTCTAAACTGCTAAACCGCCATGACCACGGAGAGCAGAGTGTAAACCCTAAGCCCTAGGCCCAAGACCCACCATGAACCACAGACCATGACCCACCCTAAACCCAAAACCCGCCATGATACCATGAGGGGAGGGGGGTTCAGGTATGCTGCCGCATATATTGGTGCCATGCCATCTGTCCAAACTCCAGTTTTGCCGAGCATCTTGAATGAAATTTTGGCCGGGTCGACTGGAACCTAAACTTTGCAACCACATGTAGACTTTGTGCTCATCAGGAGGATTCTGCGACACGCCGAACCATCACATTCACTGCGGAGGCCGCTAAACACAGAAGATCTGTCCAGAAGCCCAGAACTCTTCAAGGTACCCTCAAGACCTGGACGAGATGCTGCGGCAGATAGCCAGCTTGGAAAGACGCTTGCCTGCTGCAAATCCACCGTAGAATACACTCGACCGGTTGACACTCTGGTTTTGCCGATGTTTGCCGAAGCCTGTGGCCGACTCCGTTCTGCACGCAGTGCTGGGCTCTTGTCACCTGTGTAGCACGCATTGTGTTCTTCTGCTTCGTGGAGTACGGCTGACACATCCCCTCCCCCCCCCTTCCCCATGTTTTCTTTCCACGTCGACAAGGCGGCCCCGCACGCCGAAAGCAAAAGAGGTCCAGCTTTGTCTGAGCATGGATTGGGTTTAGGGTCCGCTAAAGACCATATTCGCTGCCCATATTTACTGTTGTATCTGTTGCCGCGCATGCGTGCGAGCAGATACTCCACGAGATGAAGAAACCCTTGCTCCATCACCGAGCGCCCCCCCCCCCCCCCTACCTGCCTCCTTTTCCCTGGTGTACCGCCCCCCCCAACTCCAACCCCGTCTTTCCCCTCAAAGTATCGATGTATCGGTGAATTCGGTGTAACTCTTTCCATCCTCCACCACCTGCCCGTTTCCCTTCCCCCCCCCGATACCCGACACAGACGGTGTATCGGTTTGTCGGTGTAGTTTCTGTGTCTTGCTGCCCCCCACCACGGGCACACTGTGATGTCCTTTGTTGATTTTGGAGTTCGTTGTTCTTGGTGGCAGTAATGAAGTGTTAGGGCTTGCTGCTGCTTGCGGCCTCAGCCGGCTGCCGCTGTTTGACTTGTTGGGTTCAGTTCCAACGCTGGTCATGAGATTCATGTGCTCGCATCCACGCGTGACGGCACGTCACAAAACGAACGTACACTAGCCATGGCTTCATCACACGCCTCAGGCGAAGAAGGAACAACAAACTCGCTTATGAGTCTTGCTTTGCCAGTCGTCTGTTGTCAAGTGCGCTGTGGTATGCACGGCCGATTGTTGGCTGCAGCAATTCAATATGTGACGCTGGAAGGGGGAAGCTTCTTGCTAGAACTTAGGCCAATGACCGTGGGTGTGGTTCGTTCATGCTTGGCCGCGCCCCTTCCTCCCGATGTTCTTCTTGGTGCCTGCGCCACGTGCCAACCTCTGACCTGGCACCTCTGACCCGGCAACGCTCAAACAGCGCAAGTTGGCAAGGCTCCGCTCCAAATCCACAACCCTAAGCTGATCCTTAACATTCCTTAACATTCCTTAACATTCCTTAACATTCCTTAACATTCCTTAACCTCAAGACTTCAGTCAAAGGCCACCCGGGCCAACCCAGGAGCCTCCGTGGCAAGCTCCAGGGCCTTTTTGGGGTCCCACTCGCCAAGCCTCCGGTGACTTCTCGCACGAGCAAGCACGAGCAAGCACGAAACTGGGCAACGAGAGGGCTGCGTTGGGACTTTGCGGAACATGTCAGACGTCAAGACAGCTACATCGATGCGTTCCAGCTTGCTGGTCGACCTCACACTACAGTACGATGGCTACAATCGGACCCGTGCAACAGCTATGCTGCTCGGGTGCAAGCCCATGGTAACAAAACGACAAGTACTGGGCCAAGGAGTTTAGGCAGAGCGCTTCATGTCATGGTATGGGCTTCTAGATCTTCTAGAAATCTGTGCACTACACTGCACTCCTCAAATCAAACCCTTACTCAAGAGACATCAGCCGCGCGTCTGTGGGCACGATCCGACAACTGCCACGGTCTCGCCAGGTGCAGTGTCTTGGCAAACGACTTCGAACTTCCTGGTGAGAGGAACGTTTCATAACGCTCCATCGTCAGTGTTGGGGGGTAGGTAACATGTCCCAGCAAAACCGCAAACTGATATGGTTGCCAAGCAGCAAGCTTGCCATGGCTGTGGACAATGGCAATGGCGGCAGCCAAATCAGGCACTGTTTCGAAATGATTCTGAGCCATGCTTCCTCGAGTTTTTAAGAGTATCTGCTGCGTTCCGGGCCACGCGGCGTGTCATTTCATGTTCCTAGTAGAAAAAGCTTAAGAAAGCTTATGCGGCTGAAAGCCCAAGGCTCGGCGATGCTTTGTCGAGATGGCCCCTTACCCACTGCTACTCCTGCGCCCCCTCGTCTCCGCACCACGCTTCAAGACACAGAGGACGCCTAGCGATGTCCATCAACATCGAGGCACATCGAGGCACATCGGGGCACTTCGAGCCCCATTTCAGTCTTCCGAGTCTACACGGAGCCCTACACTACTGGTACAACCACCGATTCTTGCACCTGCTCGACAACAATGCACCCCAAGCCGTTGACCGTTGCGCCACTCTGAGAACACGACCCAAACACGACCAAAACATACCCAGCACACGGCCTCCCAGGGTCGTGGCTGCGGCGTCCTGGAGATTCCAAAGGCAGCAGAACATAGCAGAACTTAGCAGGACATGGCAGAACCAGATCGTGGGAGGGCAGTGTTTTTGAGGGAACTTGATGCGACTAATCGGGCCTAGCTGACCCAAGAAAAAGAAACGTGGCAGGCCTCTGCCTGATGTCCAGGGCAGGCGCCTCAATCGGCACACATGTTGGTAACTTCACCTTCGACTGCAAATGTTGAATTCCTAAACCCAATGCCGGTAGAGCCTGTGCACACCAGGGGCCAACCATGCTCAAGAGATCCCTTCATGAGTGCGAGAGTCTAGGCAATCTAGGCATAAAGAGGCCATATCGGCGTAATTTGGCGTAGCTGCCCTGAGAGAAGTGAGCAGTGCTGAGCTCACGGCTGCCTTGGGCGTTTGGCCAGTTCGGGGCTTGCGCAGCGGAAGGAAGCCAAGGCTCAGCGGAGTCTGTCAGGCACCCAAACATCATACAGACATGCGCTAGCAACAAAAGTGGGAGCAGCTTCTTCTTTTAGATCATAGTTTGCTCGTACTTTCCTATTTTTGAGAACAAATCTCCGATTGCGCTCTGCAATGGGGAGCAGAGCTTGAATCGCTGGAGTCGTACTCGCTTCCCATCCACGGCCTGCGGGCCGCACTCCTTCTGTAGATGCCTCTGGCCGTCGCCTTTCGGCCGGTACAGCGCAGATGAGGGCACCTTCGGTAATGCGCTCGCCGAGGAAGGAGAAGAGGGAAAGTGCAAGCAGGCTGCGTGTCTAAGTGGGTGTGCGACTCCATGTGCCAAGTTCAGCTCAGTTCCTCAATCGTCTGAGGCCAGCACACGGCTTTGGTCATCCGCCATGTCAGGCTGGGTGTGCCGAGAAGCCTCACAGCAGTCCAGTCATTTAAAAGCCCACATTCACCAAATATCCGCCCACAGGCCCGTGCCTCTTCATGATCCGTGCATCGCCGGCACTCACTCCGGGGCCGGTAAATGGACGTCTGATGCACCTTGCTGGACATATCTCTCTGCCATGGACTGTGTTGATATCTCGGACAACCTCCGGATAAACGTGCTGCTCCCAAGCAAGGACTGTCCGGCGAGGCATCCGTCCATAGCAGCCGAATCAACAAAGCACACCGTGCTGCTAGAGCAGCACAAAACAAACTCAATGGCACATCCGCCTTCCCCTTTGGTCTTCTGGCCTCGCCAGCACTGCTAGCACACCTCGCGCTGAAAAGGCCCTGGGGGCCAACGCCTTTGTTGGAAGCATCAAGCGCCACGTGATTCGCGTTCGCCACGGTGCTAAGTCTGAAGTATTCTGAAGTGCTGACAAGTTGGCCTCCCGAAGCTCCGGGCCGAAGAGAATCCATGTGCAGCTCTGCGAGGCGCGTTGTTCCGCTACTTGCGTGGCCTGCCGTGGGTTGAGAACCCGCCACGGTGCTAACAAAAGCCTTGCTTCGAAAGGGCAAGGTATGCACACCTATACACATCCTATGCACGCCTACAATGCCGAGCTTGTGAAGTTTCGACTTAACGAGACTTGAGCCAATGCTGCAAGTACTGCACATGGTCACTAGCACCATGCAGCTTGGCAACAAATCTCGCAAACAGCACAATGCAATAACCGCTGTGTTTCTTTTGGGGGGTCGGGCATTTGTGGTTTTCTGCTTTTGCTTGCACCATCCAGGCGCGAGCGGACGAGCCATTGCTGTTGGCTTCAGGATTTCGGTAAAGTCCTGGACAACTCGGCACTTCCTGCGGTCTCCTTTGGGCTCTAGCACTTCTTTTTTCAAACCTATCTCCAGTTTCCGAGGCTCCGGAAACGCGTCTTCTGTTCCACCCACCCCCCCCCCATTTTGACCCCCCCATGACCCTCTCCATTGTTAACCCCCTCCCCCCCCCGAACCCACTCCACGAAGCCCGTTAATCCCTCATTCTTTTTGGATTTCCCAGCCTTTCTTAAGCCCCCTCCCTCCGATCCCATCTGGGTTTTCGAGGCCCCGTCTTCTGTTCAACACCTCGACCCTTCCTTGCTCTCTTCATTGCAACCTCCCTTGCCCTCCCTGCCCTCGATTTGATTTCAACGCCTCCGCTCCATTTAAACCTTAAACCCTCCCCTTCCCTTTCCATACTAATCCCTCCTTCTATTTTTCCAGACCTCCCCCGTTTATCAACTCCTCTAGACACCTTCCCCTTGAACCGCCCCGCAAGCCCGAATATCAAATCCGGAATGAACGCAAGATAACACAAGCAAGGCCGCAGCCAGTGAGAGCGCTTTGCTTGCACATCAGAATCCCATGCCATCCATGCCGTTGTTTTTTCAAGCACACGTGTTACCATGCCGAAGATGGGGCCAACAGGCTGGCACGCATTGCATCGTAAAGATATCGTAAAGCTGCTGCTACCTCTGCTGAAATGCTCAGCAGCTTCACACATGATCTTGAACATTGGTGCTTCTCAGCCTTACTCGACCGTGCAATCCAGGAGCTGACGGCCGAATGTCGTATAATCTGTGCGGGGGCCTTCATGCACCGTCCCGTCTGACCGGAAGATTTCGATGGTCTGCCCCTCCACATGCGACACTGAGAAATGACTTGAGTCTACATCGCCAACTCTGAAGTTGCCGATCTGCACAAAGCGATCTCCAAACGTAACGCCCTGGGGTGCACCGATCTCACGATGCCACAAGCCGTAGTCCGTGCGAGGACCTTTGTGCAAGGTGCCATCAGAACGGAAGATCATAAGGGTTTGGCGAGTCCCATCGTCTTTTTGGTGCGAAATGGAAAAATGGGACTCGTCCACTTCACCCATTCGGAACTTGCCGAATTGAATGAAGCGATCGCCAAACTTTATCCTTTCATGTTGGACCTGGAATCGGATTCGAGGAAATCGGGGCCGCCGGCGTCTTCCAATCCCCTGCAAGAGGGAGGCACCCGGCCTTGTGACTTTCTTTGCCTCAAGGTCCCAGCCACCCCAGTCCTCGCGGGGGCCTTCGTGAAGCGTCCCATCGGATTTGTAGATCATGGCTGTCTTATGGTTGCGGTGCGAGATGCTGAAGTGGCTGTCGTCCCTGGCAGCAAGGCGCCAATCGCCCAACTGCATGAATCGGTCTCCCGTCGTGATGCCGGGACCTCACTGCCAACATTGGTAGCAAAGAGGGGGGGGGCTCTTTTCTGACTAAATCTTCGCTACTCCGCTACTCCCAGTCGAGGGGCAGGTGCCAAGGATTGTCTGGATGCCGCCACAGTGGAACTGGGCATAGCGATTGTTGAGCTTCCCGGCCCAGGACGCCGATTCATCCGGGTCAAGCGTGCCGTCCTTTTCGTAAAGCTGGAGAAGATTTCCGGTTTCGAGATGGGTGACCACGAAACGCCTCCGATCGAGACTGTGTGGCTGCACCCGGCTATTACGAAAGTGAATAAGGACTCTGGATCACAAGCGACACCGACAAAGCAGTCGAGTAAGGACCATTTGCCTGCCATCCACGTCCCCGATCCGGAACTTCCCAAGCTGCAGGAACCTGAAGGAGGAGCGGCTTTCTGGGGAGAGTTGAGAGGTTCTGTGGAAGAAAGAAGGACTTTCTGTGTGACTCTTGGACTCCTTCTGACTTATAAGGGGGTCTTTATTGGCGTTCAGCTAGCAGGCAGGCATCACTGGAGGAAAGGGGCCCTTGAATTTTTTCGAAGGAGCAGGCCGGGACCTACTAGGACTACTTGCATCCTTCCGCTCTGCTGGAGCGGTTCACAGCTGCCTCTGCTGGATTTTGCTGGCGCATGATCATGCTACAATCATCTACAACCCATCCCACGCGTGGAATCAATCCATGTTCCTCCCCTCACCCCCCGGCCCAGCTGTGAAACAGCTCCCTGTTCAAACCCGCCGCGCTCGTGTCCAGGATGGGTTCCAGCCAAGGCAAAGCCTAGCCTACGCCCTGCTCAATCAGGTGGCATTGGCAGCATGCCTCGTGCTTTTTCAAAGCGAAACCTGCAATACACGAGTAAGAAGCCCACCTGTCCCCGAATGTGACACCAGATGCTGGTCCAGCGGTAATCCCCCACAGGCTCCAATCTTGCCTGGGTCCTTTGTGGCGGGTTCCGTCCTCAGCGCCAAGGTTGAGGAAGTTTAGGACATTTTCAGAAAGCCCTCACGACCTTCATTCCCCCCAAAGAATTAGGAACAAATACGACTGTACCCACTTTGAGCTGAAGACCTCTCTGAAGATCTGTATGGTGTTGCCATCGCGGTGAGATATGGAGAGGTGCTCGTCATTGGCTGCTCCCAATCGGAACTTGCCGATCTGGATGAAGCCGGGCCCAAAGGTGATGCCGAAGGGAAAGCCGAGCGCTCTGTGCCAGGCCCCGTAGTCCGTACGTGGTCCAGGATGCAAAGAGCCATCGCTGCGATAGATTTGGGCAGTCTTGCCGTCTTCGTGCGAAATGGAGAAGTGAGTGTCATCGATTGCCGCAAGCCGCCACTGGCCAAGCTGGATAAAGCGATCCCCCCAAGCTCCAAAATCTGGATCGCAAACCTGTGCCAAACTGCTCGGGCCACCAAACGACGAAACCACAACAGCATGAAAAGCAAGTATCAGGTGTCACCTTCAATGTTTTTCGAGAACCCGGCCCCGAAGGCCATCTCGGCAATGTCCTTGCATGTCCACGCAGCAGGGCTCCGCTCCTTCACCTGTTTCCAGGCTCGCACGGCTGTGCAGTACCGGAAACCAGAAACTGGCATCTAAGCATGCCCAGCACATGCCTGTCGTTGCGTTTCGACACCTAAAGCCTACAGCACAAATCTCAACATCAACCGTCAACCGTCTCACCTGCTTGCCCAAGTTGTTCACCGAGACAGCTTTGCGGATGCGTTTGGTTGCTTTGCGAACCCGGAATTTCCCACGTGGCTTGATCACGAATGGCTTGAGCTGGAGGAGGCTCTCTTTATGCCTGGCAAGGTGTCGAGACATGCCATGAATGCCAAGCTTGGAGCTCCCAGTATGACCTGAATACAAGTTCCCTTTAACTCCACCGCATGGCGTCTGCTTTTCCGCTGGACCCTGCCTTGGACCCAAACCCACCTCCAACTTCACCATCCAGCATCCAAACCCCCCCTCGCCCCCCTGGCATGCTATGAGCTTCCTCTACTCGAAAATACAGCAGCCACGATTATTCGTTTGGGATGGCCAACAGAATACATCCAGCCAAACAGAAACAGCCCTGACCTTGTACCGTCGTGGCGATAAACCTGAATCACGTCTCTCTCTGCGTGGGTCACAACCAGATTGTTGCCATTGGAATCTCCAATCCGGAACTTGCCGAACTGAATGAACCTGACCAGTTGGCACAACTCGGGAAAGAGTCTGCGTCAAATGAGCTTGGATCCAAGTGCCTATCCCCGAAGCTGATGCCGGCTGGCATGCCTTCCGCACGGTCGAAGGTTGAGTAGTCCTTAGTCGAACCCTTCTCGGCTCTAAACCCTACTTTGGGAAGATGATACAAAGCAACAGAGCACAGTGGACGTACGGAATCAACACCACTTCCACATCAAGAAGCCCTAAACTCTGCCAAAAGTCGTCCCGGGGCCCGGGATGCAATGTACCGTCGCTTCTGAAAATCTGGGCAGTCTTGCCATCAATGTGCCTCGAGACAGGCTCCACAGGGCAGCGGTGTTTTTGTGCTGACGGTGCTCTGTCTTATGTTGACTGGACATTGTTTCTGCTTTTGCTGTCCAAGTTCGATTGCTATGATCAGGTCGCCCTAGGCAGCACGAGCGACAACCTCTTGCACACTGGATTGGCGTTCGCGGCAAAGGTCGTGTGGTTTGAGTGCGTGGTGTGCGTCTGAGAGTTGTGTTAGTGAAGGGGCTGCGAGGGCATCGGTGACATAACTAGGTCTGTGTCTGGTATGGGTGGGTTGTCTGCTGTGGGTGGATGTCGGTCAGCCATGGCAGAATTTAACAGAAAACAACTGCCGAGAACAGTATACAGTATACTCTCCATGCTATACGAAAATATGGTATACTATATCTGCCCAGTTTTTGCACCCTTTATGCCTGCAATGGGTACCCCCCGAGGCAAACGGGGGTCGCGGCGCGGAGGACCAGGGCAGCTTTGGGCGACACGCCCCCCATTCACCCCCTCCCAGCCCCCCTCCACCCCCCCCCCCCACACGCCCCCCCCACCCCCCACCCCCAGCCCCGCCCCCCCACCGCCCCCCCCCCACCACCCTGTTCAGCGTAAAACAGAACTGCACCTTTGTCTGGCAGGCAGGCAGCCAACCCTTTCGGGTTTAATCACAGCTTGGGTATGTGTTGTAGGCAAAAGTAAGCCCTGCCTCCCTAAACGCCCCCATGTCCCTCCTCTCCGAAAATTGCATTCGGCCAAACCGAAGCGGGTCGAGTATCGTTAAAATTCTACGATCTATACTAGACTATGCGAAAGCGGACGGGGCCCGGAGCTAAGGGCCAAGCGAAATCGTCAAATGCGTGTCGTCGTAAGCACCCAGACGGAAGTTCCCAATCTGGATGTACTGGAAACCAAAATGGATGCCTTTCGAGGCTCCACTCTCCCTTAGCCAGCATGCTTCGTTGCAACAAGGCGGAAACAAGAGCCACGAGCCACAGGAAATGTCTACTATGTAGTCGAACACAACAGACTATACCGTACACAGTAAAGAAGATAACCAACCATACACTACACCCTGTATTAGGGAAACGAAAACAACCCTACACTGGACCCCATATTGAGTAAACGAGAAGTAAGACGGGAATGTTTTCCGCCCCACTCCTGCTCCAGGAGCCCCAATCATCGCTCGGGCCGCCGTCCAAGGTGCCATCTTTCTCGAAGATCTGTGCAGTCTTCCCATCCTCCAAGCACACTTCTAAGAGCGACTCGCTGTGCCAAGTTCTACACAGTCGTACTAGCACGAGTGGTAGTGGTAGTGGTCGTAGTCGTCGTGGTGGTGGTGGTGGTGGTGGTGGTGGTGGTGGTGGTGGTGGTGGTGGTGGTGGTGGTGGTGGTGGTGGTGGTGGTGGTGGTGGTGGTGGTGGTGGTGGTCGTGGTCGTGGTCGTGGTCGTGGTCGTAGTCGTTGTAGTAGTCGTAATAGAAGTAGAAGTAGAAGTAGTAGTAGTAGTAGTAGTAGTAGTAGTAGTAGGAGCAGCAGCAGCAGGAGTAGGAGTAGGAGTAGGAGTAGGAGTAGGAGTAGGAGTAGGAGTAGGAGTAGTAGTAGTAGTAGTAGTAGTAGTAGTAGTAGTAGTAGTAGTAGTAGTAGTAGTAGTAGTAGTAGTAATAGATAATATATAGTAACAGTAAAAGTATTAGTAATAGTTATAGTAGGAGGAGGAGGAGGAGGAGCAGGAGCAGTAGGAGTAGGAGTAGAAGTAGGGGTGGGGGCAGGAGTAGGAGTAGGAGCTTTGTTCTTTGCCTATGTATGCCACCCAACATCGGAGGCATCTCCTTGTGCGAGATCGAGAAGTGATCGCCATCAATGTCCGCCAAGCGAAAGTTCCCAAGCTCAATGAATCGATCGCCCATCGGAATATCATGACAGGCTGCTGCCGCCCCAGTCGATTGGACATGGTTTGTGACCTGCTCGGGGACCCCATGTATGTATCACGAAACAAGGGCTCTACATACTTGTTTCGTCGCCACTGCGACCATGAACGGTTTGCTGGAGGCCATGACATACTGCTGCGAGCACAGCATACGCCTTTTCGAGACCGGGACGCTGTGGGAGTGCACTTTTTTCCATTTATTGAAAGACATTTTAAAACCACTCTCGCAACGTACCCGTATTGTATATAAACAAAATCACGAGACATGCATAACATGCAAGTACGCCAACATAAAGCAGCGATACAGTGTATGTCCTGACCTGAGTTACTGTCCCCGTTTTCTAAATAAATGGGCCAACTTTATTAGAAACAACAATAGGAATCCTCCATTTAAATCCATAGGAACCCTATTTTAAATTAATCGGCGCCGTAAAGTCAATAGGAAGCCTCTGAATATGAATTGGAGGCCCCTCAAAATTAAGGAGAATCCTCGTAGAATTAATAAGAACCCTGTTAAACTGAAGAGGAACCCTACTACAATTAACACGAACCAATCGGACCCCTATAAAAAAATGTGAACCCCTAGAAAAATAATAAGAATCCTACGAAAATGAACATGAGCCTAAATCGATAGGAATCCCTTTAAAGTGAATGAGATCCTTATTAATATTAAAACGAATCCCATTAGCATGAATAAGAATCTGACAACAAAAGGATAGGAATCTTATTACATGAGTAGGGGCCCTTGTAAAGTAATTAGGAACCCTATGAAACTTTATTGGAATCCTATGAAAATAAATAGGAATCCTCTATTAAATTATCGGAACCGGAAAACAGGTAATAGGAAGGAAGCCTATTAAAATGAATAGGAACCCTTGACAAATCAAAAAGAACCGGGTTATAATTCACAGGAATCCTATTAGGACGAGAATGAATCTTACTAGAATGAATAGGAACCAATAGGCCTGAAAAACAATAGGATCCTTTAACAAGAACTATACCTTTGCGAATCCCAGTAACATGAATAAGACCGCTGTTTAAATTGATAGGAACCGTATTAAATTGGTAGGAGCCTTAGGGCGTGATGTCTTAAAATATGTTGCTAAGGTACAGTGTTTAGTATAGATATTAGGTTTTGCTTATTGGGGGGTGATTGCTTGAAATATCCTAGCTAAGGTATAGTTTTTCAGGATAGATGTCATGTCTTGCGTATTGGGCCGTGATTGACTATATGGAAGTTTTGGTACTCTCGAGATTTTGCTGGATTCGATTTTTTTTGGTAATGCGGTGTGCTTGATTGTCCATGTTAGCGCGTTTGTCACGTACAAAAGGGCACTCAGAAATAAACAACACACACACAACACAAATAACAGAAACAACTGTGCAAACAAAAAACGTACAAAAAGGAAATAACACCAAAGAACCTAAAGAAGGCCCAAAAAACACCCTTCAGAAGATACCGAAAAACCGTACAAAAGGAAATGATACAGAAACATCTCCAAATACACAAAAATCCTCCAAAAACCAAAAAAACCAAAAAAAACCAAAAAAAACCAAAAAAACAAAAAAAACCAAAAAAAACAATCCTGAGAGACTCTTCCCAGGGGTCCGGCTCCCCAACAGAGTCCCTCAGGATTGTTTTTTTTTTGGTTTTCTTGCACAAAAATCCTCCAAAAACCAAAAAAACCAAGAAAACCAAAAAAACCAAAAAAACCAAAAAAAACCAATCCTGCGAGACTCTTCCCAGGGGTCCGGCTCCCCAAAAGAGTCCCTCAGGATTGGTTTTTTTGGTTTTTTTTGTTTTTTTGGTTTTTTTGGTTTTTTTGGTTTTTTTGGTTTTTTTGGTTTTTTTGGTTTTTTTGGTTTTTTTGGTTTTTTTGGTTTTTTGGTTTTCTTACACAAGAACCCCCAAAAAACCAAAAAAACAAACAAAAAACAATCCTGAGAGACTCTTCCCAGGGGTCCGGCTCCCCAACAGAGTCCCTCAGGATTGTTTTCTTTTTTTCTTGGTTCTTTTATTTTTGGTTTTTGTGGGGATTTGTTGTGTGTGTTTTTTGTTTTTTTCACGCTTTTCGTGTGTTTTTAGGTTGTTTTTAGGATTTGCATGTGTTTTTTGCGGAAAAAGTGCACTCCCACAGCGTCCCATTTTCGCCTTTTCATACTGGTGCACGCAACGGAAATTCAGATTCACTTTCGAGGCTCAAGGCTTCAACAAAATGCAACCCGGCACTTTCCCTGCTTCATTGCTGGCATTCAAGACATCTCCGGTGCTCGGCAAGCCTGGTTGCTTCGATGCTTTCCGTGCTCAGATGCTTCAATGCTTCTGCACATGTACCCAACGAAGCAGCTTTCGAACGTCTTGAGCATTCGTGCTGTGCATGTGCTGTACGGTATTGGGAATGTAGGCTTCTTAACTTGAAGGCCTGGTGCAATGTCTTCAAGGTCACAAGTGACATCATCAATCGCCCGCATTCGGACAACACCACTGCTGCAGGAAGAGAATATGGTGGGGAGGGGTGGCGATTCTCTTGTGGACTAATCCGTACACCCCTTGCGCAACAAACATCACGGCACCACTTGCAGGCTCTCGCTCAAGCTCAATACTCACAGAATCATGTCCATATTTGGACTGGCGTAATCGCTTGATAATCTCGGTGTCACACACTCCGTCCATGAAAGGGGCAAAAGCCTTAAGTATTCCAACAACATGAAGAAGGGCTTGTGCGAGTATTTGCGAGGGCGATCTGCCTCATCATCTTGAAAAAAAATGGGCTGTTGTTGCCGCTCTACAGATTGCATAGATGTTCTGCATGTTGCCGTCATAAATTGCGTCTGACCCCGGCCTGCTCTGGAGGCGCCATCTCAACTCCACCTGGGTCACTAGCGCTTGCACCTCAACCTGCTACAAGTTCTTCGATTCCTTGTATGACCCCACCAGGCAAAAGTCATCACCAGCTTCTGTGTTCCGTGGAACAGGCCACGTGGCGGTGGTCTTCCGGCAAACTTGCAACCGATCTCCGCTGCGCAGGGAGCAGCCTGGCTGCAGCGTTGATTCATTTTGGGCTTCTTTAGGCTGAAGGCAAAAGATTCTGCATTACCCCGGGACGATTGAGGGAGCGGCGTCGAAGCCGGGGGTCTTGAAGACCTCCTTGCACCAGAGCTTCTGAGGTGCCATGAGCTGGATGGACTCCACTGAGAAGTCGAGATTGAGATCTGGGATGAGGCCCGTGATTGCGGAGGCCGCCGAGTTGGCAGCCGACATGATCGTGTTCTCGACTGCATCCCCGCCTGGAATGCAGGCCATTGCACCTGTGACCAATCTTGTCATTGCTGTGGCACCAGCAATCACAGCGGCCGCAATTTGTTCCATTAGGAATGAAGTAGAAATCGCCGCCCGGAATGAAGACGGAAGCGCGAAGCTCGTGATGTCTACGTCAGCGTATGTGCTCAAGGCCTCGGGCAGCCAAGGAAAACCCACAACCCTATGAAATCTCCTGAGTCCGACTCGGGTCAAAGGGTTCGACGGGTGATGGGCTGCTTATTCGTGGACTAGGGACGGCTGCGCCGCACATTCCGATCTCATTGGACCTCGTTGAGCTTGCATTCATGTCCGTGCCAGTCGACTGGTTCGACTCCTCTTGGAGCAAGAACATGCCTGAGCTGAAGCTCAAAGTGCCCATGGCTTTGGCTTCGGCATTGATCATTGCATGGAAGTTGATGGGAATCCCTGGAACCGGCCACACCTGAGCTGCATTTTCTTCATGTTGGAGAGCCGCTGTAAACTGCAGCAAGTATACACGTCACATACGGCACATACGGCACACTTCACCAAGCTAAACGCAAACCTACAAACCATTATTAACCTATGGTTTTTCATCGCCGAGACGAAGAAGCATTTTGACGAGCGGCTGTGAGGACCGGGCCCATCCCCACACGTACGGACGAAGACGCACTTGCGCCAAGGGCAAAGCCGTCCTCCGGGAGCCAAAAGCACTTTCTCTTCGAGAATGTAGCATCGCATAGCGGTCCAACCGGCTCTCTGCTACTAGTGACTGGGTGATTTTACAAGTGAAGATTCTACTCTTGTCCTCACTTTCTTCAGCTAATGCTTTGACGAGGTCATGGCCATTTTCTTCTGCAGCCGTGCCTGGTGCTTGATCGAGGGGTTCCGGAAATTTGCATGTGCCTCGCCCAAAGGATTGACCGTCACAGTGCCTTCAATTTCGAAGTCCACTTCAGCCGAGATCTCGAGCGTGCCCGTGAGCACGCCCTTTATGTCCAGCGCCGCGACGACTGACAGCATTCTTGGTATCTCTTGCTGTCATTTCCTGTTCTTCCTTTTATGATCAGCACGCCCAAAGCTTGCCTAAATCAGATTTGGGTCTGGCTGGAAAAGGGACCACCGCATCTATGCACGCAAGGCCGCAACAACATTTTATTCGCTCTTTTCATTCACGTGCTCACTTCGTTCACCATTAATAATATAATCCTGTTGTTCACGGTCGAAACAGAGGTCAGTTAACTCACGCATTTGGCCGTTCACATGACTGCGTGCTTCACTTCGTTCATTACCAGTCTGTTCACTTCACCTTTAATAATAAGCCCCAGGAACCAGCCGAAGCGTGTAACATGACTTCATGATATGGTTTAGCTTGTGGATTAGTACTAACCTGGTGAGTGGGGTCCCGAGGGTGGGTTCTTAGTGGCTTGGAAACAGAGGTTGGGTCTCAAGGTGTGACAGGGAGAGAGCGGTTAACCTTTACTTTTCCTTGCTGTGCTTGCTTTGTAGCTAGATTGCCTCTTGCATGCACTTGGGTCATGACTCATAAAACTTTACCAGGCCCGGCATGCCTGGATCGTTCCAGCTCCAGAAAACCTCGTTGATTTCGTGCTCATGCTGTTTGATTGGCGCGGCTCCTTGCACATCCTTGAGCTGTAGGACAAACTGTTGCGTGCTGTTCTCTCACGTCCCACACGAATTTCCACATTCTACTCTGTGTGTGAACATCCTGTACCAAACAACGCAACTCAGTGAGCCGATTGCTGTCAAGTTTGTCCTAGAGGGAGACGTGGCACCAGAGCAGGGACTGCTGATTGCAACTTGAGTCTGGCGCCGCCTACTTACCTTTGATCGGCTAAATGCGGCGCATGCGGAAAAACGTTGCAATACATTTCGCGGGGTTAATTTTGCACCGGCTACCACTACAGACATCCACATACTCATTCCTCGAGTCCGCTGCTGCTAGACACGCGCAGATGCCAATTCAACCATGCACTCGTACCAGTTCTCTTCCAAGCACACGGCAAGGCCGAACTAGTGTGCGTGTCAACAACCTCTTACGCACTTGTCGTGCGGATCCCCCGTCAAGCTGCTCTGCTACTGGCATTTTAGCGGCATTTCTTGCACATAGGAGTTTGCAGTCCGGTGCGTGGTGGTGGGCAGCAGCACGCATCAGCACTTTCCTCGTGTTTTTTTGCGGTTCTGGTGAAGTCTTGCAGGACAGCAACCGATCGGCTGAAAAGGAGAAGCAACCGAGCAAAAGCGCAGAAAAAAGAACGCGCCTTGGAGCATGATGGCCAAGCAGAAGTAGGCCCCGCAGATCACCTGGTGGCAACGTCACGGCAACGTCACAGCCGCTCCATGCCGCTTCCAAGAGACATAGATGAAGGGAAAATATTTGGGGAGAGATGGGTCTTGCGGGGTATTGCGGGGTCGGCCTTGCTCTTGGGAAGCCTGGGAATGCCCTTCTCCGCGTGGAAGGAGCAAGAGCCCTGGGCGGAGACCAACGCATCGACAGAGGCACGGATGAGGCCCTTGATGCTAATCTCCGTGTCACCATTGAAGCTCATGCTAATGGAGATGTCCGGTGCGAACTGAGCTGCACCCTCGAAGGCCAGGTCCAGGCCACTCTCGCAAGAACCTACGGGTGCTTTGGCCTTCCTTTCCTTCAGGGCCTGTCGGGACCTCAGGACTTGGCCTGCCATCTTGTACGCTTGGACAAACTCATCTCCTGGCAAGATGACAGTGCCCGTAGCAGTGCTTCCGGGAAATTTCTGGGCAGGCACGGCCCGGATCCCGAAGCCCGATGCAAAATCTGAGGATGAATCAAAGACACATCTCATGGAGAACCCGGATGCGGAGGGAGTAACGTGTGAACCAGCGTTGCAATCACACACGCCACCGAGGAGAACATGGCACAAGGTCAGGGACTCAGTGAAGCAGCTCAAGAAGCCCTTGATCTCGTTCCAAGCAGCTTCCGCCAATCCTGCTACCAATGGGCCCAATTTGGCAACTTCGCCCCCCAAGGCTGCTGCTTTATCTGCAATGAAGTTGCCCAGTTTCTCGGCCATCTTCACTCCTGTCCAGCTGGGGGATCGCTGTGCTTAACTTGTGGCAAATCAAGATCAAGACCTTTCCTTAAGTCCAAGTTCAAGTTGGGCAAGTTTAGTGTTTCGAATGCCCGCTTCGCGCCTTGCTGGATAGAACTCTTGGCCCTTTCAAGGATGTCTCCTGCTAAGTGAAGACTGGCATCCGCAGCAAGCTCCCCTACATCCGCCACCACGCTTCCAACCTGCGCCGCTGCATTCCCAATGTGCTCGGCCGCAGTCTTGATCGCAGCTGGAAGGGCTGCAAGTTTGGTTTCTGCTGCTTTGACAATATGTTTCCCGACCACAACGGCCGCATTGGCCACAGCACTGCCAAGTGTCATGCCTGCTTCCGCAAGAGTATTCACAGTCTGAACAGCCGATGTGGCAATTGCGTTGCCAGCCGTCTCGACCACACCACCTAGAGCATTGCCTGCGTCGCTGAATGCGTCGCCGACAGCTTCCAGGGCTTTCGCTGAGACCACGGCATCCAGGCTGGAATCCAGGCTGGAATCCAGGCTGGCATCCAACGCCTCCTCCGACAAGTTGGAGGAAAGCGCGCTCCGGGCATTTCTCTGCGCGCGTCGAACCGCCCGAGCGGAGCTGGAGCGCTCAACGAGTGCCAACTTCAAACTTGTCGGCTCCTGGTCAGGAAATGCCCAGCAGCCCTTCAAGCAGAGCCCATGAACCAGGCCTCCTTCCCGAACTTCCTGGCGATCGCCGCCGGGATGAGCACCCTGTCTTCATTCAATTTTCGGAAATCACGCTGTAGTGAGCCAATGCAAAATGTCACTCTGAGTTCGGGACCAAAAGGCCAACGACGCAAACCATAAAGACTTCATTCTATTGCATGGGCTCACGCCCAGGAAACTGCGAAACCTAACTTGGTCATCGCTTGATCAGAAAGGCAGGAATGCACGACCTTCATGCTCAGGACTTGCTTCACACATTTTGGCTGCTCCGTGAAAAACATCAGCAGGCCTACGTGCACCCATGATAAGGCACTCTCGTACGGTCATGAGGGGGACAAGTTTGGCAGCCCGTGCCCGCATAATCCTTCCCCCCAAAGGATGTGCACTGATTATCACTGAATGCTGACGATCTTACTAAGTTTACTAGCTCTGGCAGCCGCTTGGTTGCACCAAAGTGAATGCTGCAGCGGGCCCACCCCGCTTTCTGCAGGAGCTGGCGGGTTCGTTCCGCCCGGACCCATCCTGGACATGTGCTTTTCCGCGACTCAAATAGGTGGAAGCAGGCACGTAAAAACCCGGGTTGTTTCGTGGATTTTTGGAAAGGTTTGGGTTTTGGGGGGGGGGGGGGGGGGGTTGGTTACGACCATGTTACTCTATCCATGCCAAAACACCGGGAGTTACAGCATTTTTGCTCCTTTACACAACATGCTGCAACAGGAAGTTTGAGTGAATGACAACATGCAATGAACGCGTGAACATGTGAGCGAAATAAAGGACGTCCTTTTGCCCGCTATAAAATGCATTTCCATTTCGTGCGGGCTTGTAGTGAGATGGTGAGTGGGCCCCGGGGGGCGTCCAGTTCGCAAGCTCACTCGTGAACAACAGGGTCAACAGGAAAGATATGAAGGTAAGAAGGTAACAAGTGCATGAAATTAGCGATGGAAAGAGCACCCGTTTTCTTATCATGCGTGCTCACTCCGTTCTTTGTATTATAAGATGCAGGATAGGATTCAATGGTCGATCAACGGGCCCAACATGACACGTCACTTTGCTTCGTTCATGTCTTCGCTTCGTTCGTTTCACTTTCTACGGTGTTTCTTGCAAATTCTCGCGTTCCTGGAAATGTACATACAGGCTGTGCTCGAGCAGCCAAAACCCACGCGAAAACAGCGTCCGCACCTCCAAATCACGCGCCTGTGACCAAATAGGTGTCGCTGTGTCAGATCAAAGCTAAGCTTCTAGATAAGGCAGTGAGTATAGCAATAGAGCGACACGCTTCTTACTACTACTACTACTACTACTACTACTACTACTACTACTACTACTACTACTACTACTACTACTACTACTACTACTACTACTACTACTACTACTACTACTACTACTACTACTACTACTACTACTATTACGACGACGACGACGACCACGACGACGACTACTACTACTTCTACTACTTCTACTACTTCTACTACTTCTACTACTTCTACTACTTCTACTACTTCTACTACTTCTACTACTTCTACTACTTCTACTACTTCTACTACTTCTACTACTTCTACTACTTCTACTACGTTCTCCCAACAAGCACTGCATGACCTAACCCTAGTTGGGGAGAGGAGTCAAACCCTAATCCTAAGTCCCAAAAGGGAGGGGCTTAGGGTACAACCGACTCGCTCTCCTGTTTTCAGCGGTGCTGCTCTGGGCGAAAGAGTAGAATGCTTCGTGGGAAAGGCTGGGCAATGTCCCACGAGCATGAAAGGCCATCACACCCCCTGTTGAGGTGAGATGAGGTCCCGAGGCGGGACCGGGGCTACTCCACTTTGGGAGGCAAGTAGGCAGTTCTGAGGGGCTACTCCACTTTGGGAGGCGGGATCCGGACGGATCCAGGCTTTTGGAATGCTAGGCTTTGAATGAGAAAGGGCAGTGGTGGGCGGGCGAAGAAAAGCAGAAGGCCCCACCTAGGGGTTAGGTCAAGGCCAGCTGTGAGCCGGAGATGCTCCAGCTGTGCAAAGGCATGCCTGGGCAAAATGCAAACGGCGGTGCATGATTCACTTGTGGGAAAACACACGGGAACCAAAAACCCGAAGCGTTCTCCCAACAAGCACTGCATGACCTAACCCTAGTTGGGGAGAGGAGTCAAACCCTAATCCTAAGTCCCAAAAGGGAGGGGCTTAGGGTACAACCGACTCGCTCTCCTGTTTTCAGCGGTGCTGCTCTGGGCGAAAGAGTAGAATGCTTCGTGGGAAAGGCTGGGCAATGTCCCACGAGCATGAAAGGCCATCACACCCCCACTTCAGGGGCCCAGGGCAGACCGGTGAATGCATTAGGCCTATCTACCCCCACCGCGGGCGGTCTGGCTGGTGCCCGGGGCACTAGACTGGATGTGCTGAAACCTGCACTAGGCCAGTGCTCCAGTTGGCGTTGGGCCATAGGCTGACCTCGTGCTCCGACCGAGCTAGGTCTTGCAGCTTGATGTGGAATCTCTTGGATTTGGTCGCGCCGGTGAACTTCTGCAGGCGGTTTCGGCTAAGGTCGTCAGCGTCCGTGTTCTTTACTCCCGGTATGTGCCCCACTTCTAGGCTCAGTCCTTTAGCGTGGGCCCAGGAGGCTACCTTCTGCAGGAAGAGGCTGAGGGGAAAGGCGGTGGTAAACAGCTTGTTGACTGAGGCTTGTGTTGGGATGTTGTCGCTGGGAGTGGGCAAGCAGAAGCGAAGGCTGGAGCAACCGGTGGCCGAGTAGTCCATCTGCAATAGGACCCACTGCGCGATGGTCTCGAAGCAGGCAATATATTGCTGGGCATCCTTCGTGAGGAAAGGCCAGTGCGCACGTAGTTCTGCTATGGACCACTGTTGTGCGAACCAGAAAGTTTGGCTGGACGTGCACAACCAGCCCCCGATCCCAACTTGCGAGCCATCTGCCATGGCGTTTGCTGCAGAGAAGCAAGGGAGTAAGGGCGGCTGGGCTAGGGGCATGCGGAATTCGTGCGTAAAGCACTGAGCGAGCCAGAGTAAGGCGGCTTTGCTGTCGTTGCGCAATGTGATTTCCTGTGCGTTTGACCCATACAGTCTTGTCTGCAGCTGGGATGGGCCAGATGTCCGTTTTCGACGACACCGGCTTCCCTTTGACCTCAATTACCTTGGCCTTTATGGGCAATTGTAGGAATGAGGCGTCCTTTGTGACCCGGCACTGAGAGTCTAGGCACCACAGGAACTGTGGCCAGCTGCGAGGTGGGATGGGGTATTGGGTCCCTGGCGGGCTGTGCAAGTCTGCGTATAGCGGGGCGGCAAAACAGCGCAGGTGTGAGCTTATGCTAGTGGCCCACATCAATAGGCCGAGGCAAGATCCGAGCTCCTTGCGGGGGACGCGCTTGTGCTCTAGAAGGCCGAGTAGCTGGGCGCGCAGCTTGTCCAGCTTGGGCTGTGCCAGGCATACGGATTCTGTGGCAAAGCAGAACTTCCAACCGCACCCCACGAGTTGGTCGCCGAAAGCGGCTTTCTTCCAGCTGAGTGGGGCTCCGATGACCGTGAGGAAGGCCAGTGTGAGGGCTAGCTGTGCTGCGTGCGTTGCGTGCCTGCGAGTCATCCTAAGCCCTGAGGCACAGGCGCGCTCGATTTGCGGGAGCTTGGGCTGATTTTTGGACAGCATCTCTCGCGGAGAGATTTGACATTGCAAGTGCAGGCCAATACTACTGGCAGAAACGGCCTTACTGCGTGCACGGCGCGCCGTGCTCGATTACTGGGAGCCTTGGCACTATTCGGCCGACTTTTGGGCAGCATCTCTTGAGGAGATGTTGGGCATAGGAAGTGTAGGCAAAGACTGGCAGAAACAGGCATTGCTGTGCCTGAGGTCCGGGCGCGCGCGATTGCTGGGGGCTTTGGCACTGTTCGGCCGACTTTTGGGCCGTGTCTCCTGAGGAGATATTTGGCATATGAAGTATGGGCAGTGCTGGCAAAAAGGGGCATTGCTGCGCCTGAGGCACATGCGTGCTCGATGTCGGGGAGCTTTGACCCTGTTATTATGCAGACTTTTGGGTGGCATCTCTCGCGGAGAGAGTTGGCTCGCAAGTATAGGCGAGTACTGGCAGGAATGGTAGGCGAATACTGGCCGGAAAGGCATTGCTGCGTGTACAGCGTGCCTGCGTGTCATCCTAAACCCTGAGGCACAGGCACGCTCGATTTCTGAGAGCTTGGCACTGTCAGGCTGACTTCTGGCAGCTTCTCTCGGGAAGAGATTTGGCACGCAAAACGTATGCGAACACATGCAGACATGCGAGTATTGTATGTCTGCGTGTCATCCAAAACCTTGAGGTATTGCGCGCTCAATTTCTGGGAGCTTCCGCAGGCTTCACTCGTGTTCTTGTGTGAATTCCTGCATCTACCCCGTGTGCGTGCCTCGGGGTCGCATCTCTCAGGGCGAAGACTCGTGAGAAGTAGCAGCCAAAGACATGGGCATAGATGGCACCGTCGCAAGCAGTATGCGGGCGCGCGCCATCCTAAACCCCGAGAACCGAGGCAGGATGGCTGGGTTGGCGTCGCGAGCTTCGCACGCGGACACTAGGGCGATTCTCTTAGGCGCCGGCTGGACTTTTGCGCCTGCATTTTTGGAGGTCCTTGTGAATTGCTCGGGCGCCCCGAAGGCTTTGCGACTTCTCCTCATGGTCGAGGGACAGGTTTTACCGCTCCTCTCGAGGCTCAAATGCATGAAAAATGGTAGCCAGAACATAGGCATAGATGGCATTGTTGCGGCAGGTGTGGGCGCGTGCCATCCTAAACCTTCAAAGGCTCAGGCAGGATGGCCGGGCTGGCTTTGCGAGCGGCGCCCGCGGGCATGAGTGTGATTTGCTAAGCAGTGGCTGGACTTTTGTGTCTGCAAGTTTGGAAGTCCTTGTGAATTGCTCGGGTGCCCCGAAAGCTTTGAGACTTTCCGCATGGTCAAGGGACAGGTTTTACCGCACCTTTCGAGGCTCAAATGCATGAAAAATGGTAGCCAATACAAAGGCATAGATGGCACTGTTGCGGGCAGGTGTGTGCGCGTGCCATCCTAAACCGTCAAGAACTCAGGCAGGATGGCCGGGCTGGATTCGCGAGCGGCGCCCGCGGATACAAGGGCGGTTTGCTTAAGCATTGGCTAGACTTTTGTGCCTGCAAGTT